TATTTCATGCCTATTGTTTTCTTTTCTTTTTTAAAGATGCAATGAGGAATTCTGTCCTTTTTTCATTAGTGCTTTCAAGGCCACCATCCCCTCTCTTGACATGTTCTCCACTGCCAGCAGTGGATTCCCTGAAAACATCAGCATAGAAGAGCTAAAAATAATTAATAAACTGGTTTGCTAAGATGATTTCTTTTGCTTATCTGCTGCATTTGAAATCTATCAATTGAGATAGCCATGTTTCCCTATTAGGAGTTTCTAGAGAATAAAACCTAACCACATAATAACTATTATATTGTGAATTAATAAATGTTTATGTGAATAAGAATTGGCTCAGCGGCTATTTAGTACAATGGTTAAGGACATGTCTTCTATCACATGTTCTGATAAAGAATATTTAGGTGCACCGTTCAATAGATTTAAAATAACGGTTTTGGTTTTCCAGATTGGTTAGTATGCAAGGTTTCCCAAATTTGATCTTGAACAAAAAGACGAATCCATTTTCAAGAAGAGCCAGAGTCAATGTGGCTAATTATTTTTATTTGAGATTGGTGGGACTGGAACAAGTTCATTTTCTAATTTGGAACAAGTCTGATAAATGAAACATCCTGGCAAGCTACTCAGATTCATGGGTATTGTTAGTGGATTCAGAATGCCATCTTTGCCCTAATATATCTTTCACCGTTTCTTCAACAGGAAGTCCAACAAATGTTGCAAGATCAGCAATCACTGAGATACAGGCCTGAGAAACAGGCCTGAGAAACCACGGCAAAGTCTTGTCTTCTAAGCCATATCTCCAAGTGTTTCCACAATGGACTGAAATAGTCTTAGACCACTAATGAGAACCAGTGGTTGTATGGAGTCCTAAGAAATCTCACTGCCAGATTTTTGGGCCTGGTGACCAAATTCCCCCAAGTTCAGAATCTGCAGAGTTGAAAGCAGGAGGAATTCTTTTCCAAAGGTATGGTGCATTATTTGTGTCATCATATATGAAGTACAAAAATAGGAGTTGACTGTAAAAGGGGGGAGAGGGTAACAATTTTACCAGGAATCTTGAACACCAGGTTTTTCCACAGATCCGTCAGCCTTTTGAAGCTAAGGATGGTGTTGTCAACTCTCACCACCGTGAGCCTTTTCCCTGGGGGGGGGGGACCCCAACCCTCATCTCCATCTCCTCCCCCCAAGTCACATACTTCTGTTAGTTTTATATTTATCTTGTATTTGATCCTTATCAGAAACATTAGGTACAAAGTTTTTTCTAGTTGGCCACTTCTTTTTATCCTAGTTGCATTAATTCTCATGTGAAACCTGTTCAATTCAGTGTAATCAAAATTACATTCTTTTGTACTTGCCTCTTGCCCTTATTAAGAATTCACCCCCTAACCACATCTGTGAATGATTTATGACCTGCTTCTGTCTTCTAATTTTTCCATACTATGTTCTTTAATATTCTGATATCACACATCCATTTTGAATTTGTGCAATATCATGTAAAATGTTGATCTAAATCTAATTTCTGCCAGCCTTTCCATTTTTTCCCAGAAGTTCTTATTAAATAGGAAGTTATTTTCTAGATAACATACATTTTCAAGCTTATTAACATTAGGTTTATTGAGTCTGATTATCTCTCATTCTTCCATATTTAGTCTATTCCATTGATTTTCTTTTTCTATTTTTTAACCAGTACCAAATTGTTTTGATAATTTCTGGCTTATGCTGTGGTTGGAGATCTAGAAGTGCTATTCCTCCTTCATTCCTATCTTTTAAAATTATTTTCCTTGATATGATAAGTCTTTTGTTCCTCTAAATTAGATTTTTTTTTTTTGCTTTTTGGTGAGGTAATTGGGGTTAAGTGACTTGCCCAGGGTCACACAGCTAGTAAGTGTTAAGTGTCTGAGGCTGGATTTGGACTCAGGTCCTCCTGACTCCAGGGCCAGAACTCTATTCACTGTGCCACCTACGTGCCCCCTAAATTAATTTTTAAAGTTATTTTGTTTGTCTCTATAAAATAATCCATTTGGTAGTTTGCAGTTTGGTAGCACTAACTATGTAAATTAACCTTGGTAGTATTGTCATTTTCATTATGTTGGCATAGCCTACCCATGAGCACTGAATATTATTTCAGTTATTTAAGTTGTTCCTCTTTTATTAAAAGAGAACTTGTATCATCATATTTATACAGATATTGACTCTGCCTTGGTAGATTGACTTCCAGATATTTAAATTATGGTGCAGTTATTTTAAATGGGATTTTTTTTCTATTATTGACTCCTGGGTTATATTATTACGTAGCAATATTGACTTCTTATGGGTAATTTTTACCGCTTGCACCTTTACTGAAGCTATTGTCTCAATTGATTTCTTTGCTGATTCCATGGGATGTTCTGAGTAAATCCTATAGGGATGATTTAGTCTGTTTTCATGCCTTTAATTTCTCCTTTTCACTATTACCAACATTTCTAGAACCATATCAGATAATGAGGGAATGGGGAGCATCCTTGATTTACTCCTGTATTAGAAAACCTTTTAGTGTCTTCTCATTTTATGTAGTGCTAGCTTTTGTGTTTAGATGATACTTTTTTAAAATCATATATAAATCCCTTTATGCCTATACTTTTTATAGGGTTTTTAGCATAAATATTGTGCTTTGTCAAGTAGTTTTTCGTCATTTATTGGGATAATCTTGTGCTTTAACATTTTTCTATTTTTAATATGTTAATTAACAAGTCTGTCTGTCTAATGCTAAAACATTGTTGCATCCCTGGCATAAATCCAATTTGATCACAATGATTTTTCAGTCTTTTGCCAGGTTTTTATTCAAAATGTTTGAATCAATATTCATCAATCGCACTGGTATATATATATATATATATGTATCTATATATGTATGTATATATACATATATATGTATCTATATATATATATGTATGTATGTAATTTTTTTGCTTTATTAAGCTTACTTGGTTTAAGGTATTAAGATTGTATTTGTTTCAAAAAAGGACTTCTGATAGAGTGCTTTCTTCCTCAGTCTGGTGTATAATTCTTTTTTTTTTGTCACATGGGGGAGGTTTAGAGAGTTGGAGTTTAGAGGAAGTAATTAGTCATTTTGTTGATCAGATGACTGAGAAGACATATTCTCTAATAAGCCAATAATCAATAGATAAAGAAGTCTGCTGGCCTCCACATAAAAAGTAGCTATAAGAGATCCTTTATGAGTAGCTAAATGAGATGCATGACCAGAATCCAAGGCTATATTTTATTCAGAGGAAACAGGACAGTTATTTTACATGAAAATAAGCATTATATATTAAGAAGTACTCATGTTAAAATACTGTGATTGGGAGATATTTAAATAAATTAAAAATATATTTTTAAAACGTCCTCATGACAAAATCCAGAAAGTAGAAGAGGGAAGCAAATGGATAGTATTTGGGTAAAGGTTGTTGAAGAATGAAAAGTGATAGTCATCAGATACACAGTCCTGCCAGAAAGAAGAAATAGATGACTTGAAGAAATAAACAGCAAGTCAAGAAATCACTGATTTTATCTTTTGTGATGGCCTCTATGTTTCATTTGGCTAAAAACTGTACTCCTCCCAATCACATAAGTGAAAGATACTTGATCTGATTCTCCTTGCTCTTTTTTTGTGGTGACTTTTAATATTCAGGTCACATATTTGTGTGACACACCTTGCCATGATGCCCTGACACTCTGCCTCTGCCTCAGACCACATTCTGCTAATTAATGGAAATTGAGTACATCTAGGCCGTATATTCTGTAACAGCTAATATCTTTTCCCACCATGCGCCACTTGTACTCACTCCCATCTTCATCTTTCCATCTCGTTTGGAGAGTACTAAACAAATCAGAATACTACTATTCCTGTGAAGAGTGTCTCAACTGACTGCCTAATGATTTCCCTCACCATCCCTCGTTTCCCAAAAACTAACACCTTTTCCTGGCTACCACTCCCTTCTATGTCTTATCTTCTATTAGAATGTAAGATCCTTGAGATCAAGTACTGTCTCCTTGTGGAGTCAGTATTCCCTGCAGTCAGCACATTTCCTGGCCCTAAATGCTTTTTCTTCAAGAACTGCTAGGAAAAAGTGGAAAGCATTTAGCTGAAATTAGGCTTAGACCAACTTATGATGTATGAATAAATCAAAGAAAAAGCATTTCTTCTCTATGTGATTTATTTTCCAAGATGTATCAAACACTGGGTTATCTAATTCATTTTTTTCGGTCTGTCCCTACAGTTGGTCCACTGGTCTACAAACAGTTCTGATAATTTCTGCTTTATGGTACTATTTCAGGTCTAGGAGTGCTAGTCCTCTATTTCACTTGAGATTTTAGATTTTTTGCTAAATTTTGCTAAATTCTTACTTAGTTTAACCTTTATAAGTTATATGTACCCCTGATAATGTAATTGGTATTGCATTCCAGTTGTAGATCAATTGAGGTGATATTTTCATTATGTAGGTGCATTCCAAAAATGAATTATGAATATACCTTCAAATTTTGGCCGTTTTTTATTTTTAAATAGACTTTGTACGTATTTACTTTTCCTTCTTCTACCCGGCTCCTTTCCCATCCTGGAAAAAAAATGGGAAACAAACCAATTCCCCCATGTTCAGACACACATGCATCCTCCTATGCCCGAATCCATCCCTATGGCCATGGTCAGGAGGCAGGTGCACGTGTCACATTCTTGGAGAGCTCTAGTCCAAAGGCTTTACTGCATCCCTGTCCTATGATTAACAGCCTCCCACTATCTCCTCTCCTAATCCAGCGGATGCAGAAACATCTGTGCTCGATGCAAAAACTATCTTGTCCCCATCCACCGCAGACATGCCTCCCCCAAATTCTTCCATGACTTCTGTCTGTGGTAACCAGTACAACCCTCCGGAACCCCCATGCATTGTTCACAAGCTTCCCTTCATTTTATCAGGTCAAACAGGCATTTGAAACCAGGGTCACTTAGATACAGGTAAATACATTAGCTATTAAAATCACAATAGAGGCCAAGGGAAAAAATTTTATTGATAAAACCATTTAAAACAATGTTCTACATACATTTAACTTAAAAGGGGACTAAACCCATCTGAACTTTTAACTGAACAGCATGAAAACATTTCTACTGTTTTCCTAAAGGTGAAAAACAATAAAAATATATGATGTAAGGAAAATGTTTATTCACGTGATATGATTGATTTACTAACGATGTCTGGTCATCCTTGTACAATGCAGAGACTGGCACTACATCTGGCACGATGTCCTCTCTTTCCTGGCTTGAATCACGTTACTGAATGTTCCCTGATGCTAGTTCATCTGTTCCCCACAATCCCCCGATCTGGTTCAAGTTCTGGTTCGGGTTCTTTCCCTGAGACGTCATTTCTTACAGTCAGTCATGCTGGTGTGGTGCATGGCAGCCTGGGCATATGCTGCCCCAAAGGCACAACTCGTTTCACGTGTTTTCTACTGTGGTTACCAGGTCATCAACTGCACGCCAGTCAATCTTGCTGAGGATGCTGCCAGTGCTTTCAGACCCACTATCCAGGCCATTGATACTTATGGGAAACCCTTCATCTTCAGCTGGTGAAAAGTCCTGTTGAGCAAAGGAAAAAATTTAGTTGGTCCCATTCTTGACAGCTTAGAAAAGCTAAATAAAACCTAAGAAGAAATCCCTGGAGCTGACTCCTGACCTGTCTCATCATGGTTGGTGTTCACAGCCCATTTCAGGTTGACGGTAATGGTAAGTAGAATGACTGTAGCAGTTAGACTGGAAAACATCTAATAAGTCCTCATATAAGCAATATTTCTCTTACTTGCAAAAGGATTACCTGCTGAAAGAAAATCTGAGAAGTCTTACTAGAATTCCCCTGAGTCCAATATTAGTTTAAAATGAGGTGGTTTTGAATATCATTCACTGTATTAGGGGGCAAGGCAGAACAGAGGTATCTTACTTATGATACCAAAAGCCCATTTACAAATGTCTCTGGTATTACCTTGAACAATTAATTTGGCATCCAGTCAGGGTTTCAACAGGATACTTCCACTCATTTCCAAAAGGGACCTCAAAATGTCAACAATCATGCTTTCATCACTGCTGTGACCCAACTGACCCCAGCCTTCTCTGAAGAAGACTCATGAGTAGTGGGCACCAACTTCAGAGGATGTTGTAAGACCCTTTGTATATCACCCCACAAAGGCAAAGAATATAAACTCCCTGAGAGCAAGGACTGTTTGAATTTTGTCTTCATATCCCTGGCACATAAGAAGCAATAATTCCTTGCTAAGCTGAAGAAAGAAAATAAATGGCTGAGGCCAAAGTCATCCTCATGTAGAGAAGCTAATACCACTTGCATCCCCCAAGCTCTGTCTCTACTGAAATCTCCCAAGTGCTGTTTATGAAATGGCACTAATTATCCTGTCTCTGCATAACTTTCCTACAAGCAAATCAGCTCAAAGCTCAGACCATTCAAACTTGGAATTCCCATATCACATATCTGTGCTTCTGGCAAGTGCTTCAAGTGCCTGTCTTCTCCAGTTGGAATAGTCTAGGAAATCTTCCTAGTATAAGAAATAAGACCATGTAATATCAAGATAAATCAGATAAACTAAGTACAACAAGATTTATAGGGCTGTGAGAGTGACTGTGGGATTATGTAGGGTTCTGAGAACCAAAAGGTAGTGACTCTTAACTTCACAAACCTGTTATGGACAACTGCTTCCTGGCAAAGTACTACTGGTGTAAAAAAAGGTGAGTTTAACCACCTTGATTTCAGTCAACTTCAGATATAGCACAGTTCTCCCTGCAAAAAGTAGAGAACAAAGATCTATCCACTATTCAACAGCTCTTGCAAGGCACGGAGCAAGGAACTTCTAAGAAGATGAGGAATCTGAGCTGAAATATAACACTGAAGGCATGAATGCTGACATAAGAGATGGGAAATCTAAGGCATAAGATCTGCAAAGTAAAAACCTTCATATCAGAAAAAAAGTTATGAAGTATTAAAATCCACATGGAACCAAAGATGACAAAAAGAGAAAGAAGTATTAGGAGACTGAAGGTGAAAAGTGGGGGCCTTCAGGTATTATAATGAGAAGAAAAGACCTTGGGGTTCATGAACTAGAAATCCAATTGAAAAAGGACAAGAACCTTAGGCAACATGAAGATTAAAAAGACAAAGACACTTCTCATCCCATTCATGCTAGGCTCATTCCCAGACCTTTGCATCCTTGCTGAAGCTAGTTTCTTCTTTTCATTCAGATCTCCTTCGTCCTTTCCCCATCCCAATCCTATCCTTGACACCCGACTCCCCTGCAAAAACTGTTGAAGTTATAATTCTTACCTCAAGGGAGGAATTTGGACTTCTGCAAAGAATTCTGTCAACCCCTTCAGGCATAATCCAGGAACTCACTTCATCGTGTTCTCTCTCATACTCTTCTGCATTACTTGTGAATGTACTAGTTGCAGAATTTTTTATGGATGTGGCTTGTTGAGGTGGATAACCAAAGTCTTCAAAGGAAAAAAAGCAAGCAGAGGTTATACATCTGGCTATACTGACAGGTTCCTGAGATGTCCAGACATCAGCATTTTCTTTGTTAGGACCACGCCATCCTACTATAACTCCACAAAGCCCGGACTGTCTGAGCAATACATTCTCAGGGCGTTTTATAGCTTCCATATGGTGCCATCCTAGATGAGAGAGAATAAGTTATTTTCTCTCATGGCTCAAAAATTAAGAGCTACTAAAGGAAAATATTAAGAGGCCTGGAGTAGAGAGTCCTTATAGATGCTAAGACAAACTCAAAAGAAAGACCTGCCTTGGGATACAAGATAACTAACCTTTCTGCCACTGAGGCTTTCTTAGGAAATTGCTTCAGAACACATTTTAAGTACATTCTTCTAAGCAGGGGTTGACGAACTTTTTGTGTAAAGGGCCAGATAGTAAATATTTCAGGCTTTGCAGGCTAAAACGCAAAACTGAAGATATTAAGTAGGTACTTACATAAGAACAGAAAACAAGTTTCCACAATTTTTTTATTGATGAATTTTTAAAAAATTCAATTTTGGTAATAAGGGTCTACTAGTGAGAAGAATGGAATTCTGTTTCTGTGGAATAACATTTTGCTTAGAGTTCAAAGTGAGTATTTCCTATCATCAAAATCAACTGCAAATGTTCATCTGTTAATGCTGACTTGTAATGAGATTTTATGTAGTTCATCTTTGAAAATGTCTTTTCACACAGATAAGTAGTTTCAAATACTGATATTCCATAAGCATATGTTTTTACTTAATCATAATCACTGATTGGAAGGCATTTAAAGAATTCTATTAGATTCTCTTCTTGAAAACTGGCTTTTCAACATGTCATTCTTTTGCACTTACATCAAGATCTAAAAACTGCTGCTGGAACTGCCGTTTGAGGCTGGAAAATATATCCACTGCAAATTTGTATGGGAATGGAAATTTTGCTTTGTGTTTTAACCCCTGACAGGACAGGAACAATATAAAAGCAGTTTAACATCACTTGTAAAAAACGATACGGAACGCAACACAGGAGTATATGCCTTTCAAAAGAATATTATCATTTTCCTTTTTTGATGATTTCTAGTTTTAGTCACAAAATTGTTTTCCTATTATCTAGTTTCATTAAATCAAGCCTGAAGCTTACAAGCAACCTAGCATGTGTTAATACTCTTGGCAAAGGCACCCTGCTATACCATAAACCACACACATACAAAAGGTTCATTCAGACTTAGATTAGCTCCAAATCAACACTAATTTGATGTAGTAACAATAACCATTCAGCAAACTACTCAAGCTACTTTGTTAGACAACAGTGCCTGCAATCTCTTTACAAATAAAGGCAAACATTCTCATACCAAGCTCTGCTAAATCAGCAAAATGTCCTCCTGAAGAAAAGAGCTACTGATTAAACCATTATTGTCATAAATAGTTACATATTTTACCCTATGGTCATATATCAAGATATATGTAAGAAATAACTTTATCTTAAAATGTTAGAAATAACTATCATGGTAAGATTCTAAGAAAAGAATCACAAATACTACACTGGAGTGCTACCTAAAATCAAATAAGTTAGTCTTATCAATCTTATACCATCTATTTAAAAATGATGATTTTCAAATACACAGTCAAAAGAAGCCTGTTTGATGTCCTTGTTGATTATGCTATCTAATGGGCTCAGAGGTGGCAAACATCTCTCTCTCCCTACACACACACATATTTTTCTTAAAACACTTTCAAATATGGAAGAAAAATTCTTCTAGAGTCTAGGGCAATTTCCCCCCAGAAACTCCTGTGTTATTAGAACAGAAGATGGACAACCTAGCTAAGGGAAGAGATAGATGTTTTGTTAACAGGAGAGGTTAGATATTTAATTTTGGTTGAACTTTAAGGTGACAAGCTAGATATTCACAAACTAAGGGTATGAAGAAAGATGAGGATAATGCTACTCAGCAGCCATCTGTACCATGACGATTCTGAAGACAGGAACCATGGCTGCCACTTCAAAGTCTTGCACGAGAATCTTATTGTCTCTGAAAAAGTTTATCTTTCCTGTTTTAAGTAGGATGTCAATGACTAGTTCACAAGGCTAGAAGTAAGTATAACTATAACTATAAGTACTTATAACTATAAGGTGAAGATATTACAGAAAGACCAAATCCTGAACCTATCTTTGCAGGAAATAGAAACTGTTCTTTAAAATAAAATCTATCATCAGAATATGAGCTGAAGATTTAATCTAGGAGCTGGATGATGACACTGAATACATGAACAAGCACCACAGCAAAGAAGACTGGCAGATGGTACAAAAAGAGAGATTAAAAGATAATGAAGAAAACAGAGCAAGGGCTAAAGAGCAGACTTAACATGCTACAAAAAAAATGGTCACTGGAAAGAAATGGGATGTGAAATTTGTTTCTCTCTGAGTTCAATACATAACAGAAGTTAGCAGCAAATGGGAAGCTTAGTCTAACACTACCCTGGGCAGGTTTCTAGGCTTTCAGAATTTTCATCTATGAAATGGGCATGATAATTATGGCTCTGGATTGCTGCATAAAATGGCTTATATCAACTTATGTATACAACATTATTTTACAAATAAAACTTTGAAATGTTAACAATTCTTTAAAAAAACTCTCTTGAAAAATTCAGAGCATCATGGAATCTGGTGAAATGAAAGTTCTCAAGCCAGAATTTTAGGATTGTCAGCTTAAATTTTAACCAACACTGGACCGGTGGAAAGCAGATTGGATTTGGAGTCAGAGGATAAAGGCTTGAACAGCAGCTCTCATTTCCTGCCTGTGGGACTTTGACCAAGACAGTTACTCCTCTGGGCCTCACTTTACTCAGCTATGAAGTGAGGGGGTTAAACCAGGATTGCCTCTGCCTTCCTCCTCCCAGCTCTAAATCTAGAATCTAAATAAGTGGCCATGACAGGCAGAGCTCTGCTCTTCTTGGATTCTTCTTCCTGAGAACCATTTTGTAGTAGCTGGTTCCAGGTCGTTCATTTTTCTCTGAGCTCTCCCTGAGACAATTCATCAGGAGGTAAGAGCAAAATATACAAGAAAAAGCTGCACAAATCTGGAGTAAATTTTATAAAATTTCCAAAAATAGCACTCAAAGGTGGATGTTTACTGATCGCAAAACAGAACTTGCATGATATTTTAGATGTAGGCTTTCAATAACAATATTAGAATGGCAGTTATTTCCAGTCCTTTCAGTGGATCATAAAATTGTATCTTTAAAGTACAGAGACCTTAGATATCTAGTAAGCCCTGGATTTTGCAAATGAGGAAACAATCCCAAAATGCCGCATCCAATTAGAAGACTAAGTACCTTGCAGATAATATGTGTTTTGGAGGCGCTGAGGGCCTATGCTTGGAGCCAGGATGCTATATGGGTGCCACGAGCTGCCGTTGGGGCCATGGCCTTTGTTTCTGCCAGCCAGCTGGAGGTGATCTGCCCCCCACTGAAGAAGTATTGGTGTGGCCAGAGGTGAGGGTACTAAAAAATGTCAGATATAGCATCCTTCATCCACATTTTCAGTACACCAGACTCTTTGTGAAGAACATCATCCAGGCTGTCCTATCCAAGAGAAAAGTTCCTTTCTGGTTTCACCAAAGCTGTGGATTTCTTTCTGCACCATCATGTTCTGCCTACACGATCTTCAGGTAGAGACTGATAGTGCCAGGTCCTTGGTACCACTGGCAGGCTGGTCAGGGAGTCAGGAGTCTACAGAAAAGTCAGCTTCCTGACTGAGCAATAGAAGGTGCTCCTATGCCTGATGTATTTCTAGAAACAAAACTGTCTCCACCAGTTGCATGTTACCATGTTCTACAATGACAACATCTCATCACTTTTCTCAAAATTTCATGGGACCCACTTATCTCCATAAGCACCAGTTTCCTGGAGATGACCATCAAGTTCATTCGACTTACATGCTCCTGAGGACAGTGCCTCAGACACTTTCAATTCAGATGTAGTTGTATGGCTTCAACCCAAGGCTGTGCACACCACAGCTTCTCCTACTAGAAGGGCCACCTGGAAGAGGAATCTGTTACTGGGAGTCGGGACAGACACACCCTATGGGCAACTTGCTCTGTTAGAAGTGTGTCTGAGTGATTTAACTACAAGAGAGAATGTCCCCTCTGCAGAAAAAAGTTTTAGCTGTATAAAAAGCATATGATACGTGCTTTTGGTTTTAGACAAATGCCTTTCATGACATTAAAAAAGGTCCCTCTATGCCTGTATTTGACTCTTTTTACATAAAAGAGTATTTTACTTTGTCAAAGGCTTTTTCTCCATCTACTGAGAAGATCATGTGGTTCTGGATATTTTGATTTTTAATATGATTAATTATGTTGATTGTTTTCCTAATGTTGAGCTACCCTTGCCTCTCTGGTATAAATCCTACTTGGTCATAATGAATGATTTCTTAGACTGTGGTCTGTTTGACAGGATTTTGCTGACAATTTCTGAGTCGATGCTCATTAACCTTGCCTTTTTCTGTGTTTTAGTTTTCCCCTGGTTTAAGAATTAGGACTGTATTTGTCTTCTAAAAGACTTCTGATAGATTCTTTCTCAGTTTTTGAGACTAATTTGTGAAGTATGGGTATTCACTATTCCTTAGAAGTTTGACTGAATTCTCCTGTGAATCCACCAAGATTAGCTCTTTGCTTTGGTAGTTCCTTTACAGTGAAATGTCTTTCCTTTTCTGAGAGGATATTTAAAACCTCTTTCTGGTCTTCTAAGAGTTTGGGTATTTTATATTTTTGAAGGTACATGTCTTTCATGTTCTCAATTTTGTTAGCATATAATCGTACGTAATACGTTCTGATTATTCTTTTTTTATTTCTTCTGGTTTTATCATGATTTTATCTTGTTCATTTGTTATTTTATTGATGTGATTTTCTGCTCTCTTCTTTTTAATCAGATTAGCCAAAGATTTGTCAATTTTATTAGTCTTTTCAAAAAGTCAGCTTTTAGTTTTATCATTTCTATGGGGATTTTTGTTTTTAATCTATGTGCTTCTCCTCTAACTTTTAATATCTCCTTTTTTGTGCTCATTTTAAGTTTTGTTTTAAAAGGCATATTCAATTCATTAATCTCTCTTTTTCTACTTTGTTAATCAATGATTTTAAGATTTTAATATGATCTCCCCCAGAGCTTTTTAGCTGCAGCCCAGAAATTTTGGTATGTTGTTTCATTATTATCATTTTCTTCTACATAAGTACTGTTTCTACAATTTCTTCTTAGATTCATTATTTAAGATTTCATTGTTAAGCCTTCATTTGGGCCTGTATCTTCTATTTGTAGTCCGTGAACCAATTTCTGGTTTTGTTGCTTTATGGTTTATACAGGATGTACTGACTATTTCTATCTTTTTACATTTGTTTGCAATATCTCTGTTAACCTAGTACAAGGTCAATTTTTGCAAAAGTTCCAGGTGATGCATATGTCTATTCTTTTGCCATCCTATTTAGAAGATACCATAGGTCTTTTAATTCTAGTTTCTCTAGTTTATTTCTAGTAATTCTAATTTAATTCTAGTAAACTGCTAATTTAATTCTCTAGTTTCTAGAGATTTGTTCAGTTCTATATTTTGCCTTTTGTTTATCTCTCTGTTAAACTTAACCAAAAACTGATAGAGGGATATTGAAATCTCCTGTTATCGTCTATGTCTTCTTGAACCTCAGGTAATGTTTCCTTTGTGAATTTGGATGCTAAGGCATTTGCAGCATATTAGTTTATTACTGGTTTCGGTTCATTGTCTAAGGTTCCTTTCAGCACAATATAGTTTCCTTGTTTATACTTTTGTATTTTTGGAATGTCTTTTTATTTTGTCTCATAGCACAATAGCAACTCCTCTTTTCTGGATCCACTTAATGCATAGCAAATTTTTTCCCATCCCCTTAGTTTTATTTTGTGTATGTCTTTGTTTTTTAAATGTATTTCTTGTAAGAAACAGATTGTAGGGTTTTGTTTTCTTATCCAGTCTTTCATTTTTTGTTTGTTTGTTTTATTGGATTGTTTAATCCATTCACATTTAATGCTATAAGAGTAAGATTTACATTGTTCTCTGACTCTAGAATTAGTTTTTTCAAGGTAAGATTTTTTTCCCTTTTCTGATATAAATACACTATTACATACTTTCACAGTTAGCTTAATTTTTTTAAAGGCAGAGGAAAGAGATTTGAAGAATATCCATGCCCAGGTGGGGAAATCGAGGATAAAGAAAGCAGGCAAGGATCAGCAATATGAAATGCTACAGGAAGGTGAAAGGGAAAAAGACTAAGAAAAAAGTCATTTAAATTGGTACTTAAGGCAAGACAAAGCAATCTTAACAGAGTAGTGAGAATGGAAGCTGAATTGCAAGTATGTGAATAAATGCAACAAACATGAATTCCTTTTTCTAATAGGTTGGCAATGAAGGGGAGGAGACATACTTTCCTTTTTCCTTATTCCAATGGAAAACAGTTCAAGTCAACATTAAAATTAAAGCTATTGTTTCTTTTGCTTCCTGGTGGTTAGTGAAGCTGCTGTGAGCTGTCAGGAGGCAGATGAGAGAGCTGTTCTTTTCCTACCCAGTCAACATATGCCCAGGTAACTAGGAGGCCCAGAGACAGAGTCAGTAGTCCACAGGAATCACTTGAAATGTGACAGCACAGTGACCTTAGAGGTCATAGAGTCTGCAAAGACCAAGAAGCTGAGCTTCTGCTTCTGGTGCAGCAGCAGAGGTCTCATCTGTTACCCCCCGGCACCCTCACTTGGTGAGGACTCCACAAAAAGAGACAAAAACTCCTCTTGCCACAGCTTGTGAAGTACCCCTCTGCCTCATGTGCATACTTTGCACATGGCAGCCCCACCCACTTATTTGTTAAAAGCAGCCAACCGCAACACATGGGACTAATCCTACATGCCCAAACAGATTTACGTTTGGGGACCTTTATATGAGACCTAGCTAAACTTATGTGAGCAGTCCAGCCCCTCAGAGTTATTACCCAAGGATATAACCACGATGAGCTGCTGTCCCTCTGGCAATTCAACTGCCGTGCCCAGAGCATGTGGTGCACGGTGAAGTCCTGTCTGGGAGACATTTTTTATAAAACATGGTATTTTTTGTAATTTACCTTGACTGGAGAAGTCTGGAGAGCACAATACATTTCGGGCAGGCCTTTTGGTAATTTCTGTTGTTTTCTTTATTGGAACAGCAGCCATTCCTGAGAGGGAAATGCATGTAACACTCTTGACTTCAGTCTACAACATGAAGACATTCTCAAATATAAGTTGGAAGGGACTTTTGGACTTACTATCATTCTCCTTTTTAGCAAAATAGTCCTTTTCAAGAGAGCTAGCAATGGCACTTCTACAAGACCAGGAATTCTTAGAAGTCAGTAAAGAATGGAAAATGATACCGTAACTGGAGAATTCTTGGGAAAGATATCAAGCTCAAGAGATCAGAACATATCTGTGATATCTCCCTAAACAGCTGCCCCTTTCCTTAAAACATCTCAATGTTTATTGTTATTAATGGTAACAGCAATAACAACAAAAATGGAACAATGGTCATAAGTCGTAATGTTTATATGGGGGCTAAAGGTTTATAAATCTTACTATTTCGTTGAGATGAATGTTGATGTTGGCTTAAAGGGGATCTTCCATGAATATAAGTAGGTTTGGAAGCAAATCTAACTTTGGCATTTCGACTTGGTGACAAGGTACTAATATTACGGTCCTTTCTAAAAGTAGGAAACAAATAATATTATTCACAATCTAAATTACATTAGTAATAGGCATGAGTTATAAATTTTTTAATTCCCACAAATACAGCACAATTCCATAACCAGATGAGTGATTTTACCAGAGCTTACCAGCTTGAGATTTTCTTTACTTATCTAAGTGTTTTCACAATTTTCTAATTAATCCATTCCTTCAATACCTTATAACCTTCAACAAATCATTCTTTCTAACTCAAATTGCTATTTTTTTAATGGAGCTGTAGAAAGGGTAGCTCTTCTTTATATACTTGACAATATTTATTAAATGATCTCTGGATTTTCTCCTCCCTTAACTCTGGAGGATTTGGTTTTGTTCTGGTTGCCACATTCAGGAAAGGGCACTGAAACGTACTAAGATATTAAAGGGTCTCAAGATCATGCTATATAAGAATAGGCTCAAGAAGCTCAGGCTGGCTAGCCTGTATAAGTATTTGAAGGTCTGCCCCACAGAATGGGGAGGAGATTTATTCCACTTGGCTCCAGCAAACAGAACAAGAAGCAATAGAGTAGAAGTTTCAAAAAAGAAAATTTAGCTGAGTGCTTGGAAAAACCTTCCTAACAACGAGAGCTATCTCCACATAGCTCGGTATGTGGGGGACACAGAAGGTTCCTCCTCACTAGAGGGAGGTCTAAAAGCAGAAGCTGGATGACACTTCTTTAGGTGTGTTGCTAGAGGGGTCTTGTTCATGTCCTGGTGGACGCACCCCTTGTAATGCTGACATTCTGTGTCTATACTTCTTTATTCAGGACTATGATTTCAATGGTACAGGGAACTCTCAATGAGAAAACTCCTTTCACTAATGCAGAGCAGAAACTGTTCTGCTACTTACATCCATGAAAGGTGCTCAGGGTCACAAAGCCAGTATGTCTTAGAAGTGGGACATGAACACAGATTTTCCTGACTTGCAAGACTAGCCCTCTATCCACTATTCTGCATATGCCCAAATCTTTTAACTTTTTTTTTAAAAAAATCCTTCACAAAAGCGGATATAGAGCTACATCAGAGATCATCTACTCTAACCCTTTCCTTTTGCAGATTAGGAAACTGAGGCCCAGAGAAGTGATGTGGCTGGTCCAAGGGCACGCAGGAAGTAAGAAGGGAAGCTGGGGTTCAACTCTAGATACCTGTGATTCCATATCCAGCACTATTTATACATTATATTTCCCCCTTTTATAACTTCCTTTTTTAGCCTTTTTTAAATACACTTTTCTTTTAATTACTTCTGTGTGCATTTGATTCTTTAAACATCCTGATAGTATGCCTCACTTGTTATGGAACAGCACGATGTTGCTAATTCATTTTCAGTTTGTGACCCATTAAGACACCTGGATCCTCATCTGATAGAGAGATAGACCAATCAATTTATGGTTTATTTTGTAACCATGTACTCTGTTTTCTTAGATATTCTAAGTGATGTTTATTCCTTTTTACTGGACCCAGGCCCAAGGTAGAAAGAAAACCACTCTGAAAGAAAAAATGGCTTGTAATCAATATTATTGGTTATATATCAGATTCTCCAATATTTAACATAAAGTTTTTGTTGGTCAATTGCAAAAAATTCACCTTTTTGTGACCCCATTTGGGGTTTTCTTGGCAAAGATACTGAAGTGTTTGCCATTTCCTTCTCCAGCTCATTTTACAGATGAGGAACCTCAGGCAAATAGGGTTAAGTCACACAGCCAGTAAGTGTCTGAGGCCAGATTTGAACTTAGAAAGATGAGTCTTCCTGACTCCAGGCCCGGCACTCTGTGCACTATGGCACCACCTAGCAGCCCCAAGATGAAGTACATTATTCAAATATAGCTGTTTAGGTGGCAAAATTAAGACTTCTACCCCTTTTTATGGTGCTACTGCAACTCAAATTCATGGAGTAACTATAAATTCACAAAGCCTCTGTGACCATGGTTTATTTACACTTTTCTCAATTCACTGTTTAAAGACAGACACAAAGATCTAGCCTCATATGAATTATATATATGAAAGACAAAATGCTTGATTTCTGCCTCTGAAAACTGAAAAGTGACCTTTGCCCAAAGACCTATGTCAGGGCTTCTCTTACCCACTTGGAGGAAGATGATGCCGTCTCCTAGAAATGCAAGGAGATTTAGCTGGGCTTCCTGGTGACTCTGTCAAGGATTTTCTTGGCACCTGTGTTGACTCAAATAGCAACTCATTCATCAGATTATATGCTTGGGTAACTCGGCGATGATAGTGTTCAGATAGCTGTAATCTTTGGAAAAGGAATTAAAAATACAAACATGTTAACATACTGTTTTGTGAGTGTTATTTTGAAATTACAGAGGTTTGCAATGGATTCTGGGCATTTGGTTTTCACCTCTAAGAACCATGATATCAAAAGGCAGAATGTGTCTGCATGCGCATATTCCTGCTTGTAATGCTGACGTGATGTTTTATAGTTTACAAAGCCCTTCACATACATTATTTCATTTGCTCTCCACAAGAGTCTTATGAGGTAAGTAGTGTAAGCAGGCAAGCAGCTGAGGATGCTGAGATTCACAGAGGTTGTGACTTACCCAAAGTCACAGAGCTAGAAAGTGGAAGAACTGGAACTCCAAGTCATATCATGACTTCTGACTCCAAATTCAGTGCCTTTCCCATTACACTACAAAGCCTCACAGATGTCAGATTCATATGGACAGAAGAGAAGCCATAAGGATAAAACAAAGAATAGACTTTGCATGCAAACTAAACCCTACTTAAGCCTGCCACGTTCAATGTTTTAACTAGTGTTCTTTCCCCCTGAGCACAGCTATATTTACTAAGAAAGAGGGGATATTATAGAAAGTAGGTCTTTTGATGCAAGATGTAATAAACTTCCTTGTCACAGCAGATAAAATCTTTTCTCACTGTAACCAGGAAATCTGTCAATGAAAATTCTGTAAGATTTAGACAGATACAGGTGATAGCATTCATGGTATAGTTGCTCAACTTACCTGTCTTTTTCATTCTTCATCTGCTGATACAGCCTAATTTCCTTTGAAGTCATACACAACTGCACAAGAAACAGCAAGTTAGCTCAATCCAAACAACTGCATTATCATGTTCCACAGCTCATATATACTCGAATGGGAAGTTGCAATCGAATTTGCTGACAAAAATGTACAACACACAACAATCTTTAGCTGGTTCAATGCACTGTCTTTTATAGATATGTCTCTGTAGGCTTGTGGAAAGGAAATAATAATCCTGGCTGGAGTTGCAGTCTCAACAGCCTTGAGGGAAGATTTTGCAGAGTGGAACACTTACATTTCATTACCTGACAAAGAGTTTTTTTGTCCGTACCTCCCATTTCCTTGGCGTGGGAAACTCCCTCCACTGATACAGATTCACAACCTCTCTGTAACTTAAACTGTTCATTTTATTTTATTCTGAATTTTTAAAAGTACATTTCCAAAGATCCAGAACACAAAAGACTGCATAGGAAACCATAACTCTCTGTCATCCACTTGCTTTTTTTCCCCAAAGTATGACTAAGCACCGTCTGTGTCTCTTAGTCTGGCAAAGTTCCCCAAAGGCACACTGCGCCAGGGCCTGCCCCCCGGTCACCTGGGCATGGGGGCTGCCTCTGCACAACCCTCTTCCATCTCCTGAAAGTGATCTGAATTGAGTTTGGAATGAAATATCTCTTAGATAACCTATAGTCCCTTTCGGACACATAACTAGAAAACAAGATTCAATTCAAGTGTCAAGTAAACAACCTAAGAATGATGTAAAAAGTCTGTGCAAAAACTATTTTACAAATGATGTCCCCACATTCTTGAACAGCTACATTTTATGTGGAAAACAGGCAGCATTTCAGAGATTAGGACACCTGTCTTCTCTGGTTTTTTTGTATTCTTACTATCAGAATAACTGACGGAAGTATAAGTGAATATAGTTCTTTTACTTTTTAATCTAAGTGGTAATTGTGTTTGCTTAAGATTTACTATAGCAATATGGCTGATTTATAAGCCATAGAATGAATACTGTGGGTATACAGGACAAAGTGGCAAATATCATTTATGTAAAAATTATCATTCAAGAACCTACTAAAGTTCATTTCTATGATTCACAAAGGCATTCATGGCCTTTTATATGCAGAAAAATCGAGGCACAAAGCAATTAACTTTCTCAAGGCTTTACATAGATAAGCAAAATGTTAAAGTGATTTTTTGATAAAAATTCTAATATAAACTTTATAATTACAGTAAAATCTAATTTATTTGGTTATCATTTAACTGGTAACCTCACCTACTTGAAACACAACTGAGAGCCAGGAATGAAGAGGGGAAAATATCTTTTAGCAGGCAAAACAGGTATAAAAGAATATATTCCATGCCTAAAGCTCCTGGATTTAAATCATAAAATAATCCTTTCTGGCCCATTTACTCTTGCTTCACAAATAATTCTAACAAGGTCGGTAATTTGATTCCCCATAACAAATTAATATCAGCAAAATGAGTGGAAAGGGCATCTAGCTTTGTTAAAGGCATACACTTCTACGGGCTGGCAGAAAAAAAGTGACAGAAATACTATAAAAAGCAGACACAGGATTTCAAGTCACAGCAGTACATTTACTGTGGTGGGAAATAGCTTTTCATTTGTCAATAACCTCTGACAGCATCACCGATTACAGCACAATATACAATAACTTCTGCTATTGTTGTTCAATCACGTCCAACTCTTCGTGTCCCCATGGACCATACTGTCTATGGGGTTTTCTTGGCAAAGATACTGGAGTGGTTTGCCATTTCCTTCTCTTGTGGATTAAGGCAAACAGAGGTTAAGTGACTCGCCCAGGGTCACATAGCTAATTCAGTGTCTGAGGCTGGATTTGAACTCAGGTCTTCCTGACTCCAGGCCCAGTGTTCTAACCACTGAGCTATCTAGCTGTCTCACATGTTAATAATTGCAATTTCATAATGACACCCTTGAGTTATCAAAAAAAAAAAAACACCACCACATTACAGGGCACTTTTCAGCAGTAATTACTTTCTTTTCTTTAGTGCTAGTTCCCCAGCAGTCACTTGTTAGATTTTTGATGACTGATTTAAAAACACAGACATGAGACTGTTCTTGTGGTGCATGGCTGGGCCATAAAAATCTATATTTTCTTTAAGCTAAGTGGGAGATTTAAAACTAAAAAGTTGAGTAAGTAGGACTGCTTTTAATGCACAAGGCCGAATGATCAACTGAATAACATAAACACACCTAGGAAGACTGGAGGAAAAAAAATCCTACCTTCTCATTTGGCTAATGTTCAAACCATCATGTACCCATATGAAAAGAGGTTCAGATCAGTTTGCTTACATCTACATTAAGATGAAAACTAAAGGATTATAATTTCCTCTGTTTATCTGAGTTGAGGAAAACAATTAACATCAACTACCTTTCCTATACACCCAAGTGTATACTTGACTCCTCTGATATATTAACACAAAAGAAGTAATCACTTTCTAATTTTAAGCCAAAGATTTCAAATAAAAATAAACTAGGAGAGAAAGGGATTCATACTTCTAAGTACAATGCATGCAAATCTCTTTAGGGAAAAACTTTTCTGGGTATGTTTGCATTAGCATACCCTGGTATGCCAACCATATCCCCCCCTGTACTTGATCTTAGCTGGAATTAACAGAATAGGACAAAAGAAATTCATCAGACAGGCCAAGAAGGGCTTCCCCGTTTGTGTCAAAGGCCTTACCGGCCGCTTTGGGGATGGAAAAGGCTGGTGTTCTTGCTCTCTCTTCTCGGCCAGCTGTGCCAAGTACTCCGCCATCCTTTCCTTCCTTTTTTTTTTCATCCAGGCTCTTATCTCTCTCTTCTCCTTCTCTGTTCTTTGTGATTTTCTCTTCTTTGGGGTGCCATGGATCCTGACAGATTGAACAGTCAATGTATCTTTACCTTTGAAACCTGGTTCTGCAGTTGAGAATAGTCAAAACTAATTACTGTTGACTTAATGGGACTCATAAATGCTGCCAAAAATACTCCCATCTTTCAAAAAAATACAACTTTTGGAGTGATTCTTCTGTTTATGTGTGACAGAAAGCAAAAGGTTTTATGCTCTTTTGTAGCTTGGTCTGAAGATACAGAACAAATCAAAGTGATGATCTGTCATTTAAATAGATCATTTCACGCAACAAAGCCCAGTTACTCCTTCTTTACCCTAAAGAAGAGTGTTTAGAACTCATTTGATTAAGCCTTTCCTAAAAATTTTTTTTTAAGTTGCATGCCCTATTGTACATACAATAGAGACCATCTCTCCCTTTAAAAAAAATAATTTTTTCAAAATAAGCCCAATAAAAATATCTTGCATTCATTGGGGTGAAGGATGAAATTTGATTAAGGATAAAAAACAACTGTGGCAGTAACTTTAGTGGCTCTTTAGAGTCAGATGAAGTGGCCCTACGAGGATAACGTTCTCTAGGAAAATACGAGGACTGTATTCCAATCTTTTATTTCTGGGAAAAAAAAAAACACTCGCCCTGAAAAATTAGCAAAGATAAGATCTGTCTTGACCTAACTTTCTAACTAACAGTCATCTTAAGTTTATGTCAGGGTTAATATTTCAGGTACTTTAATGTATTCATATGAATCTTAAATATTAATGAATAATAATAAGCTAAATAAGCTAAAGTTCAACCTAAAATTATATTACGTGAATCATTTGACCATTACCTGGAAATTTTCCTGGCTTGGTGTTCTGTTAAACCAAGTTCTTCACTAGATACTCCACTCTCAGTGATAAGATCACTAATTATGTCAGCAACATCAGTTAGTCCAGTTATCTGAAAATCTGCTAAAACACTTCATTTACAAATGTAGTTTGACCAAGTTAATGATGATTGAAATGAAAATAACATTAAACACAAAAACAATCTTTAAAAAGTACCCAAACTTCCCAACTGCCCAATTATTATTCAATAAGTTGAAAAGCTCACAAATAATCTGTCAGTCTGCTCCTTTTCAGAGACCTTAAATATCAAGTCTAACCTCCTCAGTTTCCCCGTGAGGAAACTGAGGCCTAGAGAGGAAAATGACTGACCAAAGGTCAGGTTATATAACTAGGTAGGAGCAGAGCCAAGACTAAAACCCAAGGTCTCCTGACTAACATTCTTTCCACTATATCAGGCTGTCTACAGATGTACATTTAATGATCAGTAGTGTTTCATATTCACCTAGTTATGAACCCTGAGAAAAATGGCTGCTTTTGAACATTTTTCACTTGACAGGGCATTCTATAACAATCATTCACTATGCCCAAATTCAAAGAACAGTAACTACTACTTGGTAGAAGGAATCTTTCTCCTGATGGATCTTGATAACATTTTATAAATGAAAAAAAATTACCCAACCAATTAAAAACTTTTTCAACTGGGGGCATGAAATTACACATAAAAATTTTAACAGTAAGCTTCCATTCATCTAAACAACAAAAAATTGCCAGAATATTTTATATTATAGTTACAGTCATGCCAGTGTTCACAATGCTAACTCTAAAGTACTATAATAATATGAATATTCTCTGCATCATTATCTCAGAGATTGGTCTATGTCATGGAACTCTTCTTGGGATGTTTTTAAATAATTGAAGAAATAATAAATTTCAGAGAGCAGTCAGTAAAAACAAAGATGTAAATGTTTTCCTATTCAAGTCCACAGACCTATAAATAAAAACAATTTCATAAAATCAAAGAATTTTAGAATTGAAGGAAACTTTATAAGAAATCATTCAGTGATCTTTAGAGATCATTTATAAACTATTATCTTATAGAAGAGTAAACTGAGGCTGGAAAGATCAAGAGACTTGTTCACAGTCACACAGTTAATAGCAAAGCCTTGACTGAAACCCAAGCTTCTTGTCTGCCCACTGGTGTCTCTGTCTCCCTTCTCCTCCCCAACACTTGCACACATCCAATGCCTCCTGTCTGCCTCCATCAGGATAATCTCCCGTTGTCACCATTGACTCAAAATGTACAAAACTTATCATCTATCCCTTCAGATTTTCTTCTTACTTTCCTATTTCTTTTAATGGTACCATCCTCTCTCCTGTCACCAAGCCACCAAACTTTAGCTATATCTGACTTCCTTATCTCACAGTTCCTGAACATGGGTTTAAAAATATTCTAGAAATGACCTGTTTGCTATTTCTGCATATCTCAGTTGAAAAACCTCTTCTATGGGTCTCTAACATGGACCATCTAACATGGTGATAGCTACCACAAAGAGCCTAAGAGGAAATAACCAGCTCAGGCCGGGCATGCCTGGTAAAAAACGAACCAATAAATCTTAGTAAATCTCACAAATCGACAAATTGTGAAATTATTATTTCAGATAGCTTTAACCCTAAATGCATACTTGAAGCAAAAGAATGCTGAGAATGAGACTTAATCTGGAGGTCTTAAGGTGGTTTTTGTTTTGTTTTGTTTTGTTTTAACTTCTAACCTTTACCTCAAGTTTTATGACTTATATGTGAAGATCAAAGCCTCTAGGTCGGTGCACATCTTCATAGGCACACAACAGCTGGGAACAGGGATAGTCAAGATAAAGTGAAATAAACTATTCTTTGAAGATATAAAATTATATTCAATATACTCATGGAATGTGAGGGAAGAAGCACAGTATTCAGCCTTGACAAGGGTGCACAAATGCTTTAGCTAGGGTCTAATATATAAACATTAGATTATCCATAATTCTTTTGTTAATCAGAGCACCACATCCCCCCGTCCGTTCTGGATAAATGGAAATGTACCATATTGCTTTCAATCAGATTATAAAATATGTGGAACCACGGTTTACAGTCATACAAATGACAAAATTTGGGGGACACAACACTCAATTTTAAGTAAAATTAATGATTATACCTATATCAAATTGCTTGCCTTTTCAATGAGGGGGGTGGAGAGGGAAGGAGAGAATCTGGAACTCAATTTTAAAAAGAAATGTTGAAAATTGTTCTTACATGTAATTGGGGGAAAATAAAATACTAAATTTAAAAAAATTAATGATTTTAAATTAAATCATGATATAGTTACCTTCCAACAGAATCTTCACTATTAGCTGTGTCTAAAAAGGAAAGTTTTTTATCATTAATAAGAATTTTGGTAAAGTTAAACTTAGAAATCTTGTCACTAATAATCAAAATATTTTGAACACATTCAAATTGATACTATAAACATAAAAGGATATATTTATGAGAAAGATGCTACATACTCTCAAACAATATTGCAACCTGGTAATTAAGGTACTTTATTTTAATCACTTTTACTCTTTCAAGCAAGGACTGTCCATAATGCACTTAAGGAAGCACACAGACTAGTGAGAACACAGAATTAGTACAGTACCACCCAGTACACTGGCAGCATGAAAATTAATACAACTCCAAAAGTGTCTAACTTAAACTCAGAAAATAGCTTCCCTAGAATAACCTGGCTCAAAGGGTAATAATGTCTTTAAAATATAACTAAATTAAAATTTAAATATACCTTTTCATTTTGGACCAGACTAACAACTAAATATTTAGGTCCTAATAAATATCTGTAGGTGTTCTATCACTCACCATGACTCAGATTAATTAAATACTTCAAGACAGAGCATAAGCTAGTAAGGGTATATCAGCACTTGTCTACTTATGAGGGATAAATGGAAAATAGTCTCTGGTGAATGAAATTTGAGGTATGGGCAAATAACTGTTGAGACTGCCAGGTTTACTACTATGAATTCCCAGCTGGGAATTAGTATAGGCAAACAGCCTTCAGGGTAATAATGATAGGTGTAGGTAGGGATATTCATATAAAGAGAAGTGAGGAAAGGACAAAGTTTCTATCTTTCTGATTAAGAGTTAAGACAAATAATTGAATGGTCCTGTAATCAACTGATCAGTAAGACTGATCTAATACATCATAATGGACAGTTAGGACAGCTAAGTTCTAATTCTTCAATAATGAAACTGTATGACCTTAGAAACATTGACTTCTTCAATTTTTCTATCTGTTTCAACTAAAAATGCCCGGGGGGGGGGGCAAGAAACAGACAAGACAGACAGACTGATAGACAGAGATACAACATGGTATAGTGGATGGAGTAGTCTCACGTTTACTGAAAAGTTAAATGATTTGCCAAAGAGTCACATAGCTAACATGTATCATTTAACTTCTCAGCACCTTGGCAACTCTCCTAGGTTATCAAATTCTGAAGTTATTGAATTGCATTTGCTTCATCAGCAGTTCAATACGCTGATGAAATCAGTGATTCAAACACTGCCCTCCCCTTGCCAAATGGAGATGTTATAAAGAAAAATGAATTTGTTTATATAAAAGCACTTTGAAATCTTTGGAACCATTTTGATCCTAAACCCCACCTGCTTAATTAATTTCTCTCCTAAATTATAGACATTTTATATATAGTGTAGTCCTATTATATGGTATTTTTATACATCACTTCCCTTCCCATCTTTCATGGTCCAGCCAAACTGGTCTTTCCTCTGTTTCTCATGCACAGCATTTTACCCCTTGGCTACTTATCCATGTGTTTCTGCACTGGCCATCCCAAATGCCTTGAACGAATATTTCCTCCCTTACCTCCATCTCACAGAATGCCTTACTTCCTTCAAGATGCAACTCCAGCACTTCCACCCTCTACATGGAACCTTTCCTGACTTTCCAAACTTCAATTCCTACCTCCTACAACTTGCCTCGTATTTATTATGTATATACTTACATGTGTATGTGCATATATATGTGTGTGTGTGCATACATAACAGCTAGAATTTATACATCCTTTAAAATTTATAAAGTGCTTTACTAATATGATCTTGTTTAATCCTTGCAACACTCCTGGGAGGTAGGTGTAATATTTTCATCATTTTATAGATGAAGAAATTGACATTTAAGTGTCTGAGGCCATATTTGAACTCGGGTCTTCCTGACTCCAGGACCAGTGCTCCATCCATAACTGTATGGATTGTTACATCTTCCACAATAGAATGTAAACTCCTTTGATAGCTGAGATTTTTTCATTTTTTTTGTCTTTCTATCTCCAATGCCTAGCACAGTGCCTGGCCCTTAGAGCTTATTTATATAAAATGAGCAGTTATTTAATAAATGCATGCTGATTAACTGGTTAGCATGAAACCATCTTAACCACATTTTCTTTCTTATGGGCACTGGGTACAAAAATCCTCTACCATGTCAGTTTATATGTGAGTATGATCCCAGAGTCCATGTATCCTATGACTGTTCAATACGAATTAACTGAATTGGACTGAAGAGGAGTATTATATATAAATGTAAGTTAATAATAATAGTCGCAACAATAATTACTTTACCTTTTACTTACAAACAGATGATGGTCAAACAAACTAGTAATTAGAGAGGCAATACATTCTGTCCGTGGTATAAAGGCCCTGCTGGCCTACTGATGTTGGACACCCAACAAGAGTTCCAAGAATCTGGCCCCTTGCTTTGGTCTAGAGATAGGACTGTTACTTCATAAAGGAAAGCAGGTTAGCCACTAATTGTATCAAATGAGGTACATATCTATAACAAAACCATGTATTTCTTTAGCACTTTACAATTTTCAAAGAGCTTTCCTCACAAATGTACTTTGAGGTAGGTGGCACAAGTATCATTTCCATTTCACTGATGAGAAAATTGAGGCTGAACTTGGCTGAGCTCCAACCAAACCTGAGATCATTTAACTGCAAACTTAAAGCTCTTTCTACTATGTCACACTGTCTATCCTGGTAAGGGTATGATATTACAATGTGCTGGATACAGGTGATTCTCAATGCTCTCTCACTTTTAATGAAAAAGGAGGCATTACTAAGCTGAAATTCCAACCAATGACATTTAAATTCCACTACTGGTAATACATGTCAAAAGATTCTGATAAAAAAAAAATCTCTTTTAAAGATGAACAACAATCAACTTGAATCAACAATTTCTGGACTCTCTTTTCTCCATATAGTAATCTAGAAAAAAAGGTAAATGACTTCACAAAGCCATCATAAGTACATGGCACTAACAACACCTTTGATAACACAATTTTTCTAAATAGTCAATAATCAGTAGACAATAATCAGTCTATAAGATAAAAAGCAAAAAGAGGTTTAGTAAAGAATAGTACCAGTAGAAGTAATCTGGTCACTGGAAACGTTAAAAGATGAAATGACAGAAGAAAAGGAAGAAGAGTTCCATACAGTATGCTTTGTTTCAGGAAATTCAAGTAATGGAGTTTCCTCTTCTTCAATTTGATGGCTAAACAAGTACGCTGATCCATCAGACAGCAAAGACAGGAGTGGTGGCAGGCAAAAAAAAAAAAGGGAATACTTCATAAGTTAATTAATATTAACCCACTTAGCATCAAGACAACATATATATATATATATATATATATAGAGAGAGAGAGAGAGAGAGAGAGAGAGAGAGAGAGAAACTTCCATGAATTCTAACAGTTATCTAAATACAGAATTCTAAAATGATAATTCTCCCTCAAAACAGGATTATTAAAGAATATTTCAGAAAGTCACTATATTATTTTCATTCTCTCAGTAGGAAAAAAATCAATTATCTCATCACTACCCAGATATTTAAAAGTTTAGTTAGCTTTTCCATTGGCTCTCAATTGCATTACATATTTGCTATTCCTCAAGATTTCTTCTGGATAAATAAATAGCAACTGCCAAACAGAGTTGTGGTCACTCTAGGCAATTAGCCCCATGAGTATATTCCAATGTATACATATGTATTTCAGAAGAGCTACATCCTTACTCCACAAAGAAGCTCTTCTCTGCACTGCCGCCTTCTGCCTTCTGTAACAGTTTAAATAAAAATACCAGAGGAACTTGAATTCTTGGTTTTAAAAGGGTAAGTTTAAGAGCTGTTTACTATTGGGTTCCTGTTACATGTCTTAAACAGCTAGAAAATGTAAAATAGATATACTAAAAATATAACCTAAAATCTATTCCAAGCTCATTTCCTTATCCCTATCCTCCCAATCCCCCCAAATCTTCTAATTGCTTGTCATTCTGAAGAGCATGTTTGTTCTTGTGGTATAAACGAACACTGATATAGTGAGTCATTATTTTTCTGAATACAAACCCTCTTCAGGACTTCTAAAAGTTTGTGAAAATATGGTCTCTTTATCCACTTCTGGGGAATATGACAATTCCAAGGGGTCTTCTGTCTTCACCACCTGAAAACAAATATCCAATAGCAAAACAATCCTAAATATCAATTTATTCAAGTTTCTTCGACTGAAACATTTTCTTAAAACATATTATGGCTGAATAATAATAATTATAACATATATTATTTAAGAGATATGCTTAAAAAGAAGAAACAGTGACTTCTGAAAAAGAAATAACGAGCTCAACCCTAAAATTAGACAAATGGTGGAGATTCAGCAAATAGGATTTAATTTTAAAGTAAGTGTAGCTTAGTACATTTAAATAGAATAAAAACAGAGAATCTTACAAAGCTTGAGCTTGAAGGGGCCTCAGAAATAAACAACGATAAGTTAAGATATACTGGAAAAAATTTCAAATAAAATGTTGAACCTACAATGAAGGAACCTTTACAATTCCTTAAGAAGAAAAAGTATACAAAACCAGGCACATAAAGCAACATCTGGATATAACTAGATTCTGGCTTTGCAATTAACATTAATTTCTATAATAGAAGAAACATCTTTTTCCTAGAAACTTAAGATATCAAAAACCACACTATTTTGATAATCTAAATATGATAAAAACATCACATCAAAGACCTAATATCAAATGTTTGAAAAGAAAAAAACTATGCTTAAGGCACAGGGGGGACCTACCAACTTAATGTTGCCAAAATCTTGTTCTACATTAGTTGCAATGTTCTGTAGTACAAGTAGTTTTTCATCTATTTCCAGGAGTTTAGTGGTAAGGTGCTCTATGTCAATGTTTTTTTCCGATGGTACCGTATAAGGTAAAGCACTGAAATCCTGGCACCGTTTCCAGGTTAAATAATCTTCGACACCATGTAATTTTACAGTAGATTCTTGGACTTGAGGTTGTACTTTTGGCAGATCTTTAATATTAAAAAAGTACAATTTAGAATCATACTTAAGAAAATTATGAACATTGATATCCCTAGAATAATAAATACAAAACACACAGAAGTTGCATTTCTATCACTTGACTTCAAAGACCTAGCTCTGTTCTTGTTGTATGAACATAACACTACATTGTGACTACTATGTTATCCAAAATACAAGGCAGTTTGAATTTAGGGTTAAATAAGAGTCCATTAACTACAGCAGAAACTGCTGTTTTATTTCAGGTTTTCTTCATGAAATGATTACATTTTCAACCTCTAGCTTTGCCTTTCAAAATCTATTTTAGTCAAAGATTAAGAATAGCTAGTTCTTTAAAGGAAAAGCCAACTAAGAATGCCTTGAGAATATGTTAAAAATCACAAATAAGCAGAGAAATGAAAATTAAAACAATTTTGAGGCTCCAAAATATATCCAAACAGGCAAAGATGATAAAGGACATAAGATGAAAAAGTAGTGAGGATGTGGGGAAACAGGCATGCTAATTCACTGCAAGTGGAGTTGTAAATTGGTCTGACCGTTTCGGCTTGCAATATGTTCATATGTTTAACTCAATAATCCCACTTTTAAGTTTGTTTATTTAGGCTTCTGTCAAGAATAATAGACCCATCTATGCACAACATTCATAATAACACTGTTTATAATAGCAAAAAAACCAACAACCATGAAATAAACCTTTGCTAAATTGGCTAAACTGTGGTTTAAGAAGATAAGGAAATAAATTTTGTTCAAAACAAAGGAAAAGAAATATGGCAAGAGTTAGATGACGTGAAGCAGAGTGATCAAAGCAGAACCAAAAGGAAATACAGACTACAACTTGGTAAAGGAAGATGACATAAAAGGGGACCTAAAGCTATGGTAAATACATGTTTTATCTTGTTAAAGTTAATGCACACTGTTTTTGTTTCTTCTCTAGGTAAATACCAGAAAGCTACAGTGACTAATATAATTATTTCCAATCACTTCTTCAGGTTGGTGGTGGTGGCTGGGTTCCCCTCCCTGGGCCCCTCTATGATTTAGGAAAACAGAAGAAAACCTTCACATGTGAAAACAAAGAAACAAAATCTGAAGAAAGCAAGCAAAATCCTAACCTGCGTCAGGAAGTTGATGAGGTAGAACAATGTCACAGAAAATGACAAGAAGAACCACTAAACACTTGCAGCTGAAGCTAAGAAATAAACATGAAACTCTTCCCAAAGAAAAGAGCTCGGTATTCTGAACGGGAAATTGAATTCTCTCTTCGGATGAATGATGATGTGAGTTCACAGCTGCTCTCAAGTGAGGTATGCAGTAGAGATGAGAGGAAGAATGTATGAATTTAGGACAGCTTGGTGAGACAGCAAATGGAGTGCTGGGCCTGAAGTCAGGAAAGACTGATGGAGTTCAAATCCAGCCTGAGCAGGTCACTTTACCTGTTTGCCTCAGTTTCCTCATCTGTAAAAAATGGGGATAATAACAGCAACTATCTCCTCCCAGGGTTGTTGCGAGGATCAAATGAGATAATAATTGTTAAGTGCTTAGCACAATGCCTACTACTGTGTGCTATATAAATGTTAGCTATGGTGATGACAGCTATAATAATCATCATAATGGTGATGATCACTGGTAGTTGACTCTGCTGAGTAGCAGTGAGGGAGCTATTTATTGACCTGATAGGAACAACAGCAATGTCTGCTTTCTTCTGGGAGCATGTTTCTGAGATTTGACAAAAAACTTCCAAGACCTGTCAAACTGGATGATTACACTACCCACTTTTGGTAATGTAGCTAAAAATGACAGAAAGAACCTAGAAAGCATTCCAATATTAAAAAATCTGGCAAGAAACTAAAGACTTTAGGATCACAGGTACTGTTCTCAGCTCTTCTGGACCAATGTAAGCAAGAGTTTCAAAGCAGAAAGGCAATCTGGGAAGTAAAAAGTGAAAAACGATTCTATCTAGGAATGGCATTTGGATTTATTTTGGATCATATCTTAAAATAAAAGAATGATAAGCTCCTGACCGACCAAAGATGTAGCACACCATGGCTGGTTAGAATGTATTTGCCAAGAATCTAGCAAATCTAATCAAGGAGCCTTTAAGCTAAAAAAACAAGGGATGAGAGAAAACTGTCAACATAGATCCACCAAGAGAAATATACAAGAAATACAGAATTTGAGAGCCGCAAGGAACATCAGTGGCCACCCAGTCCAACTCTTACACGAAAGAAATCTCCAGTCTACTATATTGGACAAGGACACCATGTTACCATGCAGTAACTACAACGCAGGAAGGAGAAGAACAGGAAAGATATTTAGGAGTTCACAGGAGACAAAATCTAAGAACGCTACCAGCCAATAAAACCCATGGCCTCAAGTATCTATACCAAAAATGCACTGACCTTTTAAGCTGCCTGAAGAGGAGGCTGGCCATCCATATCCCAGGATCTACTCTAGGAAAATTCTGAAGTGTGCAGTGTATTTATTGACTAATGATAAAGAAATTCTATGAGAAACTGCAGATAGTGACTTCTCCCAGCCCAGAACCACCAAAAGTCAGCCAAAAGTGTGCAGGCAATAAAAAAGGGGAGACCAGGAAGGCCAGTGCTACCCCAGTGTAGGCTTCTAGCCTAGCAAATGACAGTCTAGCTGCACACTATATGACCCTGTACCATACGACTAATTCACAGGTGGCCTCGCCACTTCACACAGAGCCTCTCTCCTTCATTCGAAGCAGTAGTTGTGAATTTAACTCGGCTCCTCATTTCCCTACCTCTGCCCTCTGGCTCTTCTATCACAAAGTCTGTAGTTCCTTGATGGGAGAAAATGTTCATCTCTAGGAGTATAATAAGATAAGAAGAAATCTGGAAATTCTGTGTAAAGTAATAAAGAAAATGAGATGGCATTTCCACATTAAAATAAAAAAATCCAAAGGTACAAAGACCAAGAGTGACTTTAAGAAAGAAATTCAGAAGAAGGATCTTTGAAGAAGATTGAAAATAGGAAAGGAAATCAGTATTAACTTTTTTTTCTTCAAAATGTTTCACTGCCTTAAAAAAGTAGAAGGAAGGCTATTACCTTTATTCATAAACTGGTCAGGAGGAATTACGTTAGTAATAGAAGCTGCCATGTAATGCAGATCTGCACAAGATGGAATTTCCATGTCATCACCTTCTTGTTTATTAACAATATTATCTGTAGTCTCTTCTCTAACAGGCAATTCCTCAAGAAGATCAGTAGCTTCAATGTCAATGACATTTATATAATTGTGTCCAACCTGAGGTAAAGCACACAAAAAAATTAAAGAATTAGAGATACAGTTTTCCACATAGGGCCAAGGGTAATTAGATTCAACAAATATGTATTTATTGAAAAGCTTTCATATGCAAGACATTGTACTATACTACTGTGAAGTAAGAATTGACAAAATGGATAGTTTCCGAAAAATCTGGGAAGATTTGTACAAAGTGAGGCACAGTAAAGTAAGCAGACCCAAGAGAACAATTTATAAAATAACACTGTCGTAAAAATGAGTAACTCTGAAAGGGTTAATAACTCATCAATGAAATGACCAACTATCATTCTAGAGGCCCAGTGATGAAGCATGCTACCTGCCTCCTGAAAAAGAACTGATGAATTCAAGATGCAGAATAGGACATACATTTTTAGACATTGCCAACAGAAAAATGTTTGCTTGATTATGCATATGTTACAAGATTTTTATTTCTCATTTTTTCCCCAATGGGGGTGAGAAAAAGTAGAAAGGAGAGAAAATAAATGCATGGTAATTTTTTTAAAAAATTCAATTTAAAAAAAAAACAGTCTCTGCCTTCAGTGAGCTTATATTCCTCTAGAGGACACAACATGTAAAGGGCTGAAAGTGATCTGGTCTATATATCTAAATACAGGCTTCATCACTGCAGAGATACAGACAGAGATACACAGAGACTGAACCAGTCAATAGCAAGCCGATATGGAGCTGCTATGTATCCAACATTACTAAGCTTTGCTGAAGTAAAAGGTAATAGATGGTCCCAGTTTGCAGCCTAGTTGGAAAGTAAGACTTAGATTCTACTTTTTTAACTTAATGATAAACCTAGATTAACTAGGGCTAGATTCTCTAAATGTATTTCACCAAAAACCACAAAGATGACAAAAATTTTAGCACTCATGAAATACAATGTATTATGATAAATACAAACCACATTAGATGTAGGATCCAATGTCAAAGGTATTTCTGATGTTTCAGAGGGAAATCTGAGATTTAAATAAACATCTGGAGCCAACATTTGAGGAACAGTCGAATGTTCTTGCACTAGAAGTTAAGTGAAATCAAGAAAATAAGAGTTAATCCAAAAGAAGTAAAAATTTCAGGAAGCAGACCTAAAACATGAACTTTCTGAAGGTAGTACAGTGGCATATAACTCAGAAACATATATTTTGATAAATGTAAAAAGGGGCAATGGCTGAAATACAAGTAAAATCCTATTCCAAAGTAATTTTTGTGGAATAATGTATCTCTAATAATACTTTTTTAAATTAGACTGAATAAAAACATTCCTCTTCACAATTTAATGACTCCAAGGAACAAAAGAAGTGCCAATAATGTAAAATGGAACTTCAAAAATGTTAATAAAAAACATTTTAAAGATGTAGCTACTTTTTACCCACAAGTAAAATGGTTATAAAATGTCTGCCTCTTAAGATAGTCTCCATATACCAGCAGGTACAATATATGATTGTCAGACATATCTACTCTGTATTTTGACTCACTGTTCCCATTTTATTTGCTAGGAATCTAGTTTTTAATAAGACATCATTGTCATTCTTAACACTTTCCACTCGAATCCTCTGAACAGGGTAACATCTTTTAAAAACTACATTAATATGATACACATTAGCTAAAAATTAAAAGAGAAAAAACTCACTGATATTGAATTGCCTGCATGATACCAATTTAGCTATTTTCCAATTAATTAACTATTGTTTTGTTTTTAAATTAACAGACCTTTTAAGGTAACATGCAATTATCAAAAGGAAAGAAAAACTATATCCTCATGTGGCAGAAATGATCTGTTGAGTTTGATCATATTAAAAATGATTTTTAAAATTAGCTTCCTTATTTTGGAGTGAATTAGGAACTTAATGAAGAAAAAAAAATACTCCTCCAAATCATTCATGTACTTAAATGCATTTTAACATGGAATTACAAGTAGAGTTTATATCATATTGTACACCGTCGTAGGGAGACAGGAGAAGAGGAAGGTGGAAAAAATTTAAAACCCAAAATCTTGTGGAAGCGAATGTTGAAAACTAAAAATAAATTAATTAATTTAACATAACTACTTAGTTATGGCATCTGTTATAAAGTTACTGACCCTACTCAAATTATTTTAGAATATATTTTGTGTATAAATTGCATCCTCCCAATATAATTCCTTCAGGGCAAGGAATTTTCACTTTTTTTTTTATTTCCAGCAACTAACCCAGCCTTTTCAAAGTTACAAACGGTTTGTTGATAGAAATAATTTTTTTAAAAAGTACAAATCACAATTTTTAATACGAGAATTTCAGATACATTGCATACATACTAGACCAGTTTACCGGAACAAAAACAAATTTTTTTGCCTAGAAACTAGTCTGGGTATTTAATGGACTTCTGAAAGTTTTGCCACACACACACAGACTCAGTCATCAAGAGTTAACAAAGTGGGAGCTGAACTTGGAGTCAAGAAGACCTGGGTTCAAACCATACTCACTAGCTGTGTGACTCTCTAGGCAAGTCACTTAATTTCTGCCTCACTTTCCCATATGCAAAATGGGGATAATAATAGCAACTATCCCCCAGGGTTGTTGGGAGGATAAAATGAGATATTTATAAAGCACTCTGCAAATCTTAAAGTGTTATATAAATGCTTGTATTATTATTATTGCACAATCATTTATACATACTTCCCACATTATGCCTGTTCAGACCCACCTCCAATTTGACTTTATTATCTGTGGCCTTAATCTCTTAATGCCTGCCTAACAAATTTTCTATGTTAATAAAAGAAATTGGGGCAGAGAATCCAAAATAAAAATATAATCTATATTTGGCTTGGAATACACTATATAATGCAAGAAAATAGAGAGGTATACCTTTCTCTATTATGTTTTACTTAAGTTTACATTACAATTTACAAACCAAATGTACAAACCAGCTGGCTTGGGGAGAAAGGAGAGAAAGCTAATCTGGAACCAAAACCTGGCCACAGATAACCTACACCAGAATAACTAAGAACCCCTTTTAAAACCACCTTAACTATTTTAAAAGCCTAAACAAATGCCTTATACTTATCTCATACAGAGATGCTAAAAGAGGAAGTATTTTAGTAGCATAAATATAGTAACAATAAAACTAATTTATACAGCCCTTTCAGATTTACAAAGGCCTCTCCTCATATCACCTTGTGAAAGAGGTGCTGCAAGTATTATTACTTCCTTCTTAGAGATCAGAAAACTAAGTCTTTAGGGAGGTAAAATGACTTTCCTAAAGTCAAAGAGCTAGCAAAGTTTGGGAGCTGGGATGCAAACCCCGGTGTTCCAACTCAAATTCCAGGCTTCTTTTAGCCTCCTGGGCAACACGAAGAAACCAAGTAAAGGGCCAGGGTGGCATTTTACCTGGTTCTGTGTTTGTACTTGCATCTTGATTTTCTGCCACCTTCTTTTTCACAGAAGCCATATAATGCAATCCAGCTGAAGTAGTGATGTCCTCTTCTAGCAATTCTTAAATACAAGAAAAAACCCAAGTGAACTATAACCAACCTATTCTATGCACACAGAACAATCTGAAGTCTTGGGGGGAAAATAGGGGCGTTGCACTAAGGTTGGTGGTAATCAAGTTTGGAAACAAGAGCAGGAAACAATTAGTAAACAAAACAAGCAGATAATAGATAATTAAGTATCACATTATTTAGCAGCTCAGAGAAGTCAAGACTGATGAGGGCAGGACTGGTCAAAGAAGGCTTCATGGACAAAGTGGGAAAATGAGATGTGAGCTAGACCAGGAAGGATGAGAAAGTCTGGACAGGAAACAGAGAGAATATCTCAAATAAAAGAACAACAAAAAGCCACAGAGGTAAGACTAGACATGGTCTGTCTGAACCTTCATGTAGTCAGGGCCAGATACAGAAGTCACAGAAAGACAAGCCAAAGAACTGAAGGTTTCTAGTTTGGATAACAAGGAAAAAGTAGTAAGTTTGAGGAGAATTTTGAATGACATAAGGACCTTAAAATGTAAATGTAAGGAACTACAGGCAAAAGGCTAGAGCTGTGATGAACAGACAGAATGCAAGACACAGATTCAGGAGTCACCAGAGATATACTGAAGTCACTGAGAATAGATGAGGTCTTCAAAAACAACACATTGAGAGGACAGGGGAAGATCAAGCATCTTGATCTTCTTAAGACCTAATATGTTAGGCAACAACTTAAATCAATTTTCTGAGTATAGTTACTATGTTCTCTTTTCTGAACCAATTCCTATATTGCAACCAATACATAACCTCTACAAATTCACTTACCTGAATATTTTGTTGGTATGTGTGACCCTACCCACTTAACCATGCCATTTCCTTCTGTCTTCAAATACCAAAGCCTGATGATTGTTCTCTAGGGGAGGTTTTCATTGGATATAAGCATATTTATATATGTGAAAATTTATGTTCTTATTACACATGAGGTGAAAAATCTAGTTAATCTACTTCTTATGATTATGTAAGCTTATCCCTCAAAAAGCTTATCTGATCTTTAAATTAGATATAGCTCATTTATAAATCACAAAGATACGTACCCAAAGGAATTACCAAAACAATCAGTAGGCTGAGGAATAGGTTGTTCTTGCTGATCCTAAATAAATCCCAAAATGAATGTTTGGTTAGTGTAAAATGTGGCTTATTATCTTTGATATTTAACATTATTTAGGTGTTATACTGTATAAAGTTATAATCCATTTCCATGAAGTTTGTTACCCAGACAGTAAAATATAGTATTTTCAATTCACTATAAAGTCAGTGGTTGGTACATATATTTTAGGAATGATTTAGGGTTAGAGATATTTTCAAGTAGTATATTTTGATTATGTCTATATTATATATGGATCCTGTTTATCTTAACTTAGAAATATTGAGGCTATTCTCTTGTAAATACTTAAAAACTTAAGAAAAAAGTCCTATTTCTAGGTGATATCCGTTTTAGAACATAAGCCTTACTATACTAATGTACTGGAGAATTTGTCAATTTATAATCTTTGTAAATGTATAAGATTAATCCAAATAGTAAAAAGGCAAAGAGTTCCATGTACATGTGAGTTAGTAAAGTTTGACAGTGACTTTCCTCTACCTCTTGTTTCACAACTACTTCTAAATCATCTGGATTAATAATGGAATCCTCTGGTCGGAATGTCACACATTTTTTCTCTAGTTTCTCTGAACTCTTTTCTTGAAGGGCTTTCTTAATCCGTCTTCTTTCTCTGTTATAAAAAAAAGTACAAAATTAAAATGAATTAAAGGAAACAAGAAATTGGCAAATGAATGCTCTTAAGTACATCTGAGGGAAAATGTAAGTAGTAATATAATCTTATGTTTATGTAGTGCTTTACAGTTTACAAAACATTTTTTCTCTTCTTTTACAAACTTACCACACAACAACAAATGTGGACATTTCCATTTAAAAGAAAAAATTATATTGAATTTAACAGCAGTGCCAACACTACCCACCTTATTTGTCTCTGTACCCGTCTGAACTGCCCTCTCCTGCACATTTTTACATTTTACATAGGAAAGAGATTAGGGCTGGACAAGCAGATCTGTGAATCATCTGAATAAAGATGCTAAGTGAATCCTTGGGCACTGATAAGATCACCAAATGAAGCAGAATGGAGGGAAGAAGAGGGCCTAAGACACAATCCTGGGGGGCTGACACCCCCAGTTCCCAGAAGTGACCTGGGTAAAGAACCAGCATAGGCAACTGGAGAACAGGCAGTCTCTAGTTTCTTTTCTGAGCTCTAGTCTTGCAGCAACTACAGACTAGGCATTTTGAACTGGATGTCCCGAGGGCCTCTGAAACTTAACACATCAGTTCATAATCTTTCTCCAAAATCCACGTCCCTCTTCCAAACTTCTCTATTTCTGTTATGGGCTTCAATATCCTTCCAGTCACCCACGCACACAACTTCTTGGTGTAGTCTTAACTTTTCACTCTCCATCTATTTAATCAATTGCCAAATCTCATCATTTCTACCTCAGCTCACATCCCTCAAATTTTTTCCTTTATTGTCCCTGATACAGCCACTAGCTCTAGTTCAGGACCTCAGCATTCACCAATATTGAAAGTGCATTCTAAACAGTTTCCCTGCATCAAGTCTCTCTCCATTTCAATTCATTCATCGTTTAGCTACCAAAGTGATATTCCTAAAGTGAGTCACCAGTTGAGAAAGTCTAGAAAGGAAAAAAAAAGCCAAGCTCAGAATCTTGGGGTGAACTCAAAGATAAAGGGAGTTGGTCCATATGATTCTCCCAGTCGGTGCCTCGGCTGCTGTCTCACTCTACAACTTCCTTCAGATCCTTGGGGCCTCCTCCTCCAAGAACATGCATCCACCTCTGCAGCATTCCCACCATGAAACAGCACTCCACTAGGCCAAACCCCTTTTCTGAATAAACCACCTCCCAGGACTCTCTTTTGGGGAAGGTCCCAGGCCAATGAACTTTTATTCCCTTCCTGGCTCTGTTTACTTCTGGATTTCAATGTCATGCTCCTGCATGGGCATCTTCCTCCTGTCCCTTTTGTGTGTTGTCTTCCCTCATTAGAATGTAAGTTCCTTAAAGGCAAGGACTGTCTTTCTCTTTGCCTTATTTGTATCCCCAGCACTTAGTATAGTGCCCAGGCACAGAATAAGCACTTAGTAATGTTTGGTGCCTATCTGCTTGCCTTTCTCAATAATTCTGGGAGCTCCTTATTACCTGAGGAAATGCTCACCAAATGGGGAATGGCTGAACAAGCTGAGGTACATAATTGTAATAGAACACTATTGTGCTATAAGAAATAATGAACAGGACGGTTTCAGAAAAAACCTGGGAAGTCTTCTATAAATTGATGCAAAGTAAAGCGAGCAGAACCAGGAGAACACTGTACACAGTAATAGCAATGTTCTAAGGATGATCAACTGTGAAAGACTTAGCTACTCTGATCAAGACAATGATCCAAAATTATTCCAAAGGAACCATGATGAAAAATGCTATCCACCTCCAGAGAGAGAACTGATGAACTCTGAATGCAGACTGAAGCATACTTTTTTCACTTTATTTTTCTTGTTTTTTTGTGTGTTTCCTTTTGCAACACAAGGAAATATGTTTGTATGACTTCCTACATATACACGCATGATTTATATCATACTGCTTGCCTTCTCAAGGGGTGAGTGAGAGTAAGGAGGGAGGGAAAGAATATGAAACCTGACTTTTTAAAAAAACGAATGTAATTTTTTAAATGTAATTGGGAAATATTTAAGGAAATAAATTTTTTTTTTTAAAATACAGAATTTGGTTTAATTTCATTCTACCCACTGAAGGAGAAATAAAGGGATGAAACAAATGCACTTTTATCTTTCATAAGCAAAATTCATGAACCTTTAAACTTACGGAATATTTTGAAATAAACTGGAATTAAATGAATAAGATCACATTTTGGAAGACAATTTTAAAAATAGGAAAAGACTATGGGGTAAACCATCAGGTGGAGAGTTAAGAGATGTGATTTTGTTCCTAGCTCTACCAATTAACTAGAGTTCAGGAATATTGTAGCAGTAATTCTTGCACTAAGAAGACAGCTGGAATAAATAATAACAACTCAAATGTAAACAGCACTTAAAGGTTTACAAAGCACTCTTCTAACAACAAACTATGATGTAGGTAGTATATTATTTTCTCACTTTATGGATGAGGAAACTGGCTATGAGAGGTTAAATGAGTTTCCCAGGGTGAAACAAATATTAAGTGTTAGAGGCAGGGCCTGAACCCAGATATTTTGACTTTAAGACCAGTACCTCTTACCACTATACCACACTGCCTCCCCAAACAGTATTTTACCAACATTCTTCTATTTGATCCTAATAACCACCTTATGATATCAGCAGTGTATTATTAGTCATATCTGACAGGTAAAGAAATTGAGGCTCAAAGAGGTAAATGACTCATGTGAGGACACAAGGCTATTAAGTGGCATGGCTAGGACTCAGACTTGGGAATCTAGTATTTTTTTCACTATATCATAATTGACTTTAAAATTTATTTCAGCTCTAAGATTCCATATGTATAATTAAAATTAATAATGAATTTTCTAACTTATTTTCACAAAATCTTACTTTAAAACTTACCTTTTTTTATTTTCCTTTTTTGGATCTATTTTGGCCTTTAAAAGGTGGATATTCCCAGGTTTCCCATGTTCAAATAAATTAAGTGATTGTTTCTGCTGGCTTTGTTTAAATGCAATGAGATTTTCAAGTGGAATGAACTTTGGTTTTTGGCACTGTGAAAAAGAGAGCAAATTATGCAGTTAAAAGTAAAATTTAAAAAAAATCCTAATTAAAATACTGTAATCACAAAAAATGGGTTCTAATTAAATTAAAATTCACAAGGAAGAAGCTATCAAAATGACTTGGTATTTAAACAGTAGATCTAGATTTTAGGAGTGCTACAGTCACAGAGCAATAACTAGGATTTCTCATCCATTGGACTAGGCCAGTTAATCAGGAGAGGAACAGGAAACAGTGGACAATCCAGCCTGTTCACCTGCAGTCATTACAACAGAAAGAGCAGCCAACTCCTTAGAGAATCCACTCCATTCCCTATGGCACTGCCAAAAGCCCCTGCTCTTGGACTCCCTAACAGTGAAGAAAATGCACATACCACTCCCTCTCCTGGCCACCTTCCAGAATAGCTATGGAAGAACAAAATTTATGAATACAAGCATAAATAAAAGTCCAAAATCCTCCAGCAATTCTACTGCACTATGTATCAGAAGCTCTATTTGGCTCCACCTCTTACCACTTCCTCAAACACAATTAACCCAAAACAGTGTTATACAGTGTAATCTCAGTGATAAAAGGATCAGACACCAGCACTATGATTTGCTTGCTTCATTGCTACCTAAATATGCTAGATAACTACAAGCAGGTAGAAATGCCCAATACAACTGAGCCTACCTCCTCCTTGCTCTCAAATCTTAGCAAGGCAGCTTTCCCTATTATTTGACTACATGAGACCTTTTTTTACACTTTATTTTTCTTTTTTTTTTTTGTAACACGACTAATATTGAAGTATGTTTAGCATGATTTCACATGTATAACCAATATGATATTGCTTGCCCTCTCAATGGGGGGGGGGGGCAAGAGGGAAGGAAAGAATTTGGAACTCAAAATTTTTTAAAAAGAAAGAATGCCAAAAATAAACAAATAAATTTAAAAATCTAATCCATGGGATTTAGTGCTAAGGACTTTCAGAATCCTGTAGTCCAAACCTCTTATTTTACAGATGAGGAAATTGAGGCTCAGAGGTATGATGTGATGTGCCCACAGAAACAGTAAACAAGCTAGGATCTAAACCCAAATCCTCTGGCTCCAAATCCAATGCTCCTTCCACTATAATAAGGCATCTCGTATTATTAGTTTAAATGTATTAGTTGGTAGTATCTTCTCTATAAGAAATCATGTTATTAAAATAGGAAATTCAAAAATATTTTCATTGAAGCAATCATATATTTGTATTGTTCTGCTATTAAATTAAGTTGTTAAAATCTATTACCTTGCGGTCTGGAGGTAAGCAAGTATGAAGTAATTTTATGCTTGGGTAAAAGATTTCTTTTGAGTCTCTTTCTTTTTCTTTAGGTCTACTAGGGATTGAGGGTGTAGAAATGGATGCTCTCAAGACTGGTGAAAACCTAGTAGTAGGATTAAGTTGCAGGTGTAATAAAGGAATACCAAGAAAATTCTGATTAGGTATCTCAGAGGGCTCTGGTTTCATATCAAATATTTTTTCTTGTTTTTTTGCTGAAGAGTCCTGTTGAGGTGTCAAGGTTTCTTGTTCAACATACTGATCTAAGTTGAGATGCTTAGGGGTTTCTATAGTTCTTATTTCTGCCCATCTCTTCTGCTCAAGGGCTTTCTGTACAGTTTCCACACCATACTGGCTCAAATTCAAATGGGAGGTTGGAGTGATGCTCTGTGCTGTTGAAGGAAGCTTTTCTCCAGAACTGGATGAATTCCAAGCCTCTTTTGGTTCTGGAGGGGGTCTGACTGTAACTTGTGGAGTTCTTACTGGATGGACAGAGAGGGGTTTGAATTCATGCTTCATTTGAATCTTAAGCAAAGGAAAACCACTGGCAGGATTTAAGGTTTTTACAGCTGGAATAAGTGTAGGGCTCTTGTGAATGGTGGGTGTGGTGGACAACAAATGGAAGTGACTGCTTGCAGCACAAGTTGGACAGCCTGGAGTGGTAGACAACCCTTTACATTTTGGAGTTACTCTTCCATTATTTGATTGGCCATCTAAGTGACCTGAAGGAATAGAAAAGGATGGAATATTCTGAAAGAGAAAAAAAGAGATAGTTTATAACTGTAGAAAATATTTCAGAATTCCTTATTTTAAATAGGGTATGTATAGTGAATTTTTTTTTAGTGATGGGAACATTAACTACTAGAGAATAGTAATTTAATCAAATAACAAAAAAACCCCTTAGAAATCACAAAATCTTTTATGTTCTGCATTATATAAGGTACCTGATTATTTCCAACTTTGTTCTGATCAGACTGGACAATTCCTTCATGATGAGGCCTGCCCTTTTCAAACTGTCTGGAATTTTCTCCAATGGATCCAAGTAGGAAATCTTTCTTAAGATGTATACCTGTGGGCTCAATATCACCACTGCCTCTTGTGGGGCCTGAAATTTGGCTTCTCTCCAAATGCACATTTTGAGACTGCTGTGTAGGTTGTATATTGGGAAGGGTGGCAAGCGATGATCCTACTATTTGCATTAGGCTCATGAAGTTGATCTGCTGCAACTAGGATACAATAAAAAAAAAATCATTTTATTATTTAACAGTAAGAAGTCTAAGTAAAAGGAATAGTCACAATCTCTTAGAAGAGTCAATAGTCCCAAGTCATATCCTTTCTTCTTTTTCAGTCAGTTAGTCAATAAATATTGTATTAGGTGCTAGATAAGGGATATGAAAAAAAAAAACTTACTCTCACAAAGGTTACAGTACAGCTGTAAATATAAACATATCTAAGAAGTGAAAAAGATTTAAGAATATTAATAAAATAACATCCTCTACTTAAGTCCTACTATGATGATACAGAGAAGACCTGGGTCTTAAAGACTATGCTAACAGAAAAAGGTTTCAAGTATAGACCTTCTATTGGAACTGTGTGTTTGTCATTAGAGAACTAGATGACATTCCAGGCAAGTTCAAAAAAGGTCATAAAGACAGGTCACAAAACGATGGATTTTTCTGCCACAGTAACTCTCAAAGACCACCTACCAAAATACAGAAAGACTAATTTGCACTGGTAGACAGAGCATACATGCACAAAAAGATGACATAGTTGATCCTTAAAATACTGAAGTATAATAAAATAGCATACAGAAACACTATAGAATGGAATTGAATGAAGGAATAACAGAATGAGTTGATATTCATTACAAAAGGATTTAAGGAAAGATGACAATAGATAAGAAGAGTCAATGTTGGATGAGTTTTGGAAAGATAAGCATATTATATGTTATTTATGGAGGCAAGAAATGGTACAACCATTTTGGAAAGCAATTTGGAGTTATGCAAATAAAGTGATTAAAATGTCCATTCCCTTTGACTGAGAGATTCTAATACTGGGGTCATATCCCAAGGAAGCCACTGATAAGAAGAAAGTCTCTATAAAGGCCAAAATATTTATAGCAACACTTTTTGTGATAGCAAAGAACTGGAATCAAAGCCAGTGCCCATGGATTGGAGAATGGCTAAATAAATTGTGGTATATAAATGTAATTGATATTACTGTACTGTAAAGTAATAAGAAATCTGATGAATACAAAGAAGCATGGGAAAATCTATATGAAGTGATAGAAAGCAAAATAATCAGGACCACCCCCACAAAAATATACACACAGTGACTACAACAAATGTAAATGGAAAGAACCACCAAAAAAAAAATTAAAAATGAATCATTTTACCTGCCAAGACAAAACCAGGAACTATATGAACACAGTTACAAAACACTTCAAAATACAAATAAAGTAAGATCTAAACAACCAGAGAAATATTAATTGCTTGTGGGTAGGCTGAGCCCACATTATAAAAATAACAATTCTACCTAAATTAGTTACTTCACTCAATGGCATACCAATCAAATCAGCAAAAAAATATTATATAGCTAGAAAAAATTATAACAAAATTCATCTGGAATTATAAAAAATAAAGAACATCAAGGGAACCAATGGAGAAAAATGTGATGGAAGGTGGCTTAGAAGTACCAGATCTTGAACTGTATTACACAGTGGTAATCAAAACAATCTGGTATTGGCTAAGAAATATACAGTAGTAGATCAGTGAAATAGATTAGGCACACAATACACAGAAGTAAATAGCCATAGTACTCTAGTGTTTGTTTAACACTACTTACTCTTTATTATGGTAAACTTATCTATTTTAAAACAAAATAAAGCTCCTTAAGTATTTAACAGCTTTCAAATGTCTACGTCTTCTATGAGATGGATCTATGGGAAGGAGAGAGGAGAATAATACTGAGAGAAACTATGGTGATGGAAAAAAACTGAAGACATCAATAAAAATTTATTTGAAAAAAGAAAGAACATGATGCCAAGAAGTTAGTTTTGAGCTAGGTTTAATGAAGGAGTGGAGTATGGAAGACGCAGTAGAGAGCTTTTTAAATTACAGAAATGACTTGTCTGAAGACAGAGATGTAGAAACAAATAGTATATGCAGAAGTCCACATCAGTAACAATGAGAAATAATGATAATATTTATAGAAACCACTTGAGTGAAGAATGCAAATCAGATAATTAATGTGAGTTTTTAAAAATAAGTCAGAAAAAAACCATTCCTATTAAAAACACTAGCAATCATAGAAATAAATGAAGCTTTCCTAAAAATGATAAGTAGTATCTATCTAAAACCATAGACAAGCATTATCTGTAATGGGGATAAGTTAGAAAACTTTCTAGTAAGGTAAGGGGTAAAGCAAGGATGTCCATTATCACCACTGTTATTAAACATTGCCTTAGAGATGTTAGCTATAGCAATAAGAGAAGAAAAAGAAATACAAGATATTAGAATAGGCAATGAGGAAACAAAACTATCACTCTTTGCACATGATGCGATGGTATACTTAGGGAATCCTAGAGAATCAACTAAAAAACGAGGTGAAATAATTAACAATTTTAGCAAGGTGTAAAATAAACCCATATAAATCATCAGCATTTTTGCATATTACCAATAAAGCCCAGTAACCAAAGACAGAAAGAGAAATTCCATTTAAAATAACTGCAGACAATATGAAATACTTGGGAGTCTACCTGCCAAGACAAAGCCAAGGAACTATAGGTACATATTTACAAAACATTTTTCACACAAATAAAGTCAGATCTAAACAACTGGAAAACTATCAATTGCTCATGGGTAGACTGAATCAATATAATAAAAATGATAATTCTGCCTAACCTAACTTACTTATTCAGTGCCATACCATTCAAACTACCAAAAAACTATTTTATAGAACTAGGAAAAAAAATCATAACAAAAGCCATCTGAAGAACAAAAGGTCAAGAATATCAAGGGAATTAATGACAATAAAAACGTGAAGGAAGGTGGCCTAGCCATACCAGAGCCCAAACTATATTATAAAGCAATAATCATCAAAACTCTCTGATAGTGGCTAAGAAATAGTGGTAGATCAGTGGAATACATTAGATACACAAAACATAGTAATAAATAACTACAATAATCTAGTATTTGTTAAAACTAAAGATTCCAACTTTTGGAACAAGAATTCACTATTTGACAAGAAACTGCCAGGAAAAGTGGAAAATATGGCAGAAACTAGGTACAGACCAACATTTTACACCGTGTATCAAGATGAGGTCAAAATGAGTACATGATTTAGACATACAGGATGATGATACCATAAGCAAATCAAGAGAGCTAGGAATAGTTTGCTTGTCAAATGTATGGATAAGGGAAGAATTTAGGACCAAACAAGAGATAGAGAGTTTTACAAAATGTAAAATGGATAATTTTGATTATATTAAATCAAAAAGGTTTTGCACAAACAACTAAAATTAGAAGGAAAACAGAAAGCTGGAAAACAAGTTTTACAAGTATCTCTGATGAGGCCTCGTTTCTGAAATATATAGAGAGCTAAGTCAAATTTATGAGAATAAAAATTATTCCCCAAATGATAAATGGTCAAAAGATAGGAACAGGAAGTTTTCAGATGAAGAAATGCAAATTAAAACAACTCTGAGGTACCACCTCATACCTATCAGATTGGCTAACATGACAGAAAAAGAAAGTACAAATGCTAGAGGGAATGTGGAAAAATAGGTACAATAATGCACTGTTAGCAGAGTTGTGAACCAGTCCAACCATTCTGGAGAACAATATGGAACCATGCTGAAAGGTCTACAAAGTTGTGCATACCCTTTCACCCAGCAATGCCACTACTAGGACTATATCCCAAAGAGATCAAAGAAAAGGGGAAAAGATCTACATATACAAAATTATTTATATCAGCTCTTTTGTAATAGAAAAGAATTAGAAATTGAGGAAATACCTATCAATTGGGGACAGTTAAACAAGTTGTGGTATATGTGATGGAATACTATCATGCTAAAAGAAATGACAAATAGGATGGTTTCAGTGAGCAGAACCAGGAAAACATTGCATACAGTAATAGCAGTATTATAATGAAGATCAACTATGAAAGATTTAACTACTCTGATCAGAACAATGATCCAAGGCAATTCTGAACTCAGTGCAGACTGAAGCATACTTTTTTCATCTTATTTTTCTTGCTTCTTTTTTGTTTTTTTTTTTGTTTTGTTTGTTTGGTTTTTTTTGCAACACTGCTGATATCACATGTGTAGTGGGTATCATATTCCTTGCCTTCTCAATGAGATGGATGGGAGGTAGGGAGAGAATTTGGACTCAAAATTTTAAAAAGTGAACGTATAAAATTAATTAACTGAAACACCAATGACAATAAAATCACGCTGATTTCAACTCACTATAAATTTGTGCTATCTAACCACAGGTCTTGAACAAGCTGTCGTTCTACATTCGTTGTTACTCTATAACTCAACTGCTAAGAATTTTTCCCTTTTATTTTGAGTCTCTAATTTATGGCTGATGGCCTAGCCTCTTTCGCTGAGAAGCTTGACAACATTAAACAGGAGATCCCCTCAACTTGTTGCAGAAGAGATTCTTGTTCTGATATGGGAGGGACCACATGACCTCTGAAATTATCTGATTATGAAACCTCCTTATTCTCTATTCCCCCAGATTTTTCACTATCATCCTCCCCCACCCTTGACCCAAAGGATGAGTTATGTTCCAGCTTTTCTTTAAGACTAATTCTTAAGGCACTTGTATTCCTATTTTTTGGGTCCAACTAAATTTTAAGTGTCTCAAAAGCAGGGACCATAGTTTATTTACCTTTGTAACCCATACAGTCCTTAGCACTATGCCTTGAATATGGTAAACACTGAACAAACATTTGATAAATACTGATGTTTCAATTTAATTTAATAAGTAGTTAATTTGTCTAATTTGTACAAGACATATCTCTATTAAGCTACCACTACTCAAACAAGAGAGCCAGCCACTTATAAGACTTAAAGGCAGTCTATAAAAGTTCAAAAACGGTTTTATAAAACCCAAATTTTTATAACGTATTTTGCTTTCAATAAAAATTAAAAACATAAAACAGTGAATACATTTGATTTGTGGTTTAGCTTTTGTCATAATTAAAATAAGAATGCAGGTATATCCTGATAAGGGATTCCTATTAAGGGAACAAGTTCAAGAGGTCCCCAGTAGGAGACTATTACAATAAAGACAGAAGAGAAAACTAGGATGCAGCCAAGGAGGATCACCTGAGAATAGAAGGGTGAGCTATGTGGTTGTATACTATCTCTAACTCTAGCCTGTTTTTCTGCCTTTCTGTCCAATCATGATTAGTCTTTTTAAAAAATTCCCCTGGCTAAGCTCAAATGGTACTAATCTAATGAAAGTAACTAACACTAAGGTATAAATGTCAATATACTTAACTCTCCCAGACAGTATTTTCATCCTAAAGATTAGCCCTAAAGGATCTCCAAATGATGATGTGATTTATGGAGCCAGATTCCTTCTACAAAAATGTGGCCCATCAGAGAATAAAACAATTAAATTAGCTTTGTTTAGTTCCATGTAACTAACAGCAAAGGAAAAATTCAGAACAGGAAGATCTAGAATCAGATTCTAACCAGTCATTTTCTGAGACCAAGCATCAACAGATTTAATTTGAAAGCAATTTTTGCCTTTCTTTAGTTCTTTTGAAAGAATATCTATTATCTCAACTTCTCTAATTCTGCTTCATATACAAACACACACATGTATATGTGCACATATACACACAAATGTGCATGTGTACCCACGTAGCTTACCTGAACCAATCTAAACAATTCATCATGGAGCATCTGTCTAACAGATTCTGAAGAATTTGGTAGTTGATCTGGGGATACATCTTTATGTCTCCTATGACGTTTGAAATGGGAGTATTTGAGGAAACACTGGTTGTATCTGATACCAAAGGTGGAACTGAGGAAGATCGCTCTTTTGGTGCAGAAACTTGTATGCTGTATGAAGTGGTACATAAAATAGATACAGACAATCACTAATATGAACAATTAAATTCAGAACAGTAATTAGAATACATTGATCCCACTTTTTTCTTTAATTCAGTACACACTGTCAAACTTCAACTTCAGGGACAGTACAGCTTATATTTGTGAAACCAGTGGCTAGAGAGAATGGGTAAAGAATGTCATTCCCTATGGCTAAAGCAGCAGCTGAAATACTAATGACAGCTGTTAAATTTAAAACATAACGTTCAAATTTCACTTCCTAAGCTTCAGATTTTGCATTAACCATAAATCATCTGTAGAGGAATTAATGCTTAAAAAGATGATAAAGATTATAATGCCTGTCAAAACTATTTAAAACAAAGATAGATGATATTTACAAAAAGCTGAAAACTGCATAAACTAAATCATAAAGAAGGCAATTCATATTAAAGTAATTACAGCTTAAATCTAGCAGGAAAAATGAAGGAATCAATACTCACATTTATATATGTCTACATAAAAAGTCAGTTAAACCATATCAAATCCAAGTCAGGAAATACACTAATATAATATTTCCTAATTCTTTCTCTTTCTTTCTAAAAACTTTGGTTTCAAACTTGTTTAAGTTATAAGATCTGATTACCTGGATATTATGTGGAAATTAAAGTCTTTTCTCTGGAGAGATTTAGCTTGGGATAACAACATACTTGGAATTCAAGTTTCGACTAAGGTACACAAATAAGCCTTCATAGTTAGATCTATGAAACACACACTACAGCTGTCCTGTTTATTTCAAGACAGATTTGTGCCTTACTTTAAATAAACACTCAATAACATCAATTCTCATTGTTAATATGGAAATTATTTTTAGGAGCCTCATGAGTCCAAATGCAAAAAATCATCCTACTGATTTGGAAAGACTACGAATCTTCAGGTCACCCTACCTTTCAACAAGTATAAAATAAAACTGGAAGTTGGAGTTGGAAGGAGCATTTTCACAACAGAATTTGTCTTATGAGAGTACAGCATTTTTCAAATGTTCTTTTAAAAGCATGGTTAGAAGTTTAAAATTAGGAACAAAGTCTATCTCTTTTTACAAATATACTGTTTATTTCCTATTTTGACATAAGATTTTGCCTCCCTGGCCCCTTAAAATGTAGACTATACAAGGTTTAAAATCTATTTTAAATATTCTAATGATAAGTAGAAAATACACTTGTAATATCAAATACATGCAAAAATACTAACAGCTTAAAGTACAAGGACACTACAATTTATTTAATGAGAAATGTAACTCATTTTCTCTTACCTAAAAGTATCTGCACTTGAATCTAAACAGAACGAGTGAGGAATGGTGAGCTTAGTGTCAGCAACAGTCTCAACCATACTATAAGATTAGAAAAGAGATTTATGTAGCATATTTTCAGGATTTTACACACATTAAATTACCCCTAATACAGGCAATCTAACTGTCAGTCTTTCATGGATACACAATCACTATCCCTTCATAATGCTGTTGAGTTCATAAATATAGTTTGTTTACAATTGTCTCCATAGCAATTAGCAACTGACTGAAAGGCAATGAATAGGCTTTGACCATTTAAACATAATATATGAAAAACATCTCTGACTGAAAAACACTGGAAAATGAACAAAGGGCTTAAAATAAATATTAGATTAAATTTTCCGAGCATTCAAAGTTTCTTCTTCCTTTCTTAAGTGAAATTTGTGGTCCTTATTACTAAGTCTACTTGTGATACTTTAAGCAATAAATTTTGTTTTTCATTAAGAGAAATATTTGCATTGCACATCTGTCATTTTATTTATTAAACTATCTTTGTAATAGGAGTAGGGGGTAGACATCTTGTTTTCAGTGGTATAGAGAAGTTCTAAGTGAAGAAATTCTTTCTATCAATACAGTTCAGCACCTTCTTGGTAACATATTATCTTAGAGTTGAGTAGAGTACTAAGAGCTTATGTGACTTTCCCAGGGTCACATATCCAGGAGTGCAACAGAAAGCAAGAAACAGTATGATATAGTGAACAGAAAATCTGGCTCCAAGTCAGGAACACCCATGTTCAAGTCAGATCTCTCACACACAATGGCTGATGTGACCTGGTAAAGGCACTTAAGTTCTTAGCGCTTTAGGCTATAAGTTGCAGAAACTCATAGAGGAAGGTCATCATTGCCAAGTCCCTACACCAGTGATATAAAAGGTGTCATAAAAGAAATCAAAAGGTACCTGGTGTACTTGTGAGGACAAAATGAGCTTCTCTCCTTGGTTCATTTAAAGTATGTGCTGTCTAAATCCACTACTATGTCATAGGGGTCTACTGTCCTCTTTGTACTACATCTGCCTTGATCCACTCTGGCCCTTTGGATCTGGTATTTGGTAAAAGTGGGCCTGATCTGACACAGTTCTGGGTTACTCTCTCTGATCATGACTTATCTGAACCATGAATACTTTCTCCAGGCAGCATCGTTCTTCACATCCTGCTTATGTGCCCTTACCTGTGAGGCTCCACATTCACCCACTACTAAACAAAGGCCACCTTGACCTAGGATGTGGATATTACCATTAGTGGGAGTCCATGAATAATTTGTATTGGGCCAGAAAGCTTAGCCAGTCAAAAAAAAGGGGGGGTGTTTGTTTAAAAGGGGGTGGAGAGGTTGCCATTCGGCTGATAGGCAAAGAAACTAATTTCACCCACTCCCCTCTTTCCCTAACTGCCTTTTAATTATTTTTAATTTATTCTACATGTTTGTGTGTGTGTGTGTGTGTGTGTGTGTGTGTGTGTGTGTGTACACACACACACTCCTTGAAGGAAGGGACTGTTTTCTTCTTTGTATTTGTATCTCCAGTACCTAACATAGTACTCTTGATAAAGGCCTGGTGATTGACTGGTTTCTGAAAACTGGATTTGGGTTTTTTAAATGCATTCAAATCCTGACTTCATCATCATTCACTACCTGGGCAAATCGCTTTCCCTCCCCTGGACATCAATTTCCTGAAACAAAATGGGGAGGAGAGAGGAGGGGCTGGGCTTGATCACTCCTGGGTCTCTCTAATCTCATAACTCGATGTTCCCACAGTGCATGGTCAGTTACATGGGGGTTATGAGGAGCAGTTCAAGGTTTGGATGGAACAAGTGTTTACGTGTAAGATGAAGGCACAAGGGGCCTCAATCTGGAGAGAAAAGTTACTAAAATACCACATGAAAAGGTGAGGAATGGAGGTAAGAATGCATAGCAATGATCACAAATCTGGAGGGTGAGCACGGGCAGCAAGATGCCTATTTGTATCAGTCAATATCTCATCTTGTGGTAAAGGACCATGCCTGGCATCTCAGTATCCCTCTGCTGAATTTGAACACTGAGGTAAGAATATGTGCATGCTATGTTTCTTACTAGTACTCTTTAGGAGGCTTCTGCAACAAAAATACAATTCACAAAAGACTTTCCACTAAAAAGGACCTTCACAAACTTTAAACTCATCTAGAAATATTACATACAAAGTAAAAATTGATGTTGGTTGGTCATACTATAGTTTCAAATTACATTTTATATGATATGATAATAGGATGAGAAAAGCATTTTATAAGTAACTCACTTGCAGTTTGACTGAGAGAACTGAGAAATAGAACATTTGCTAAGGCCAAATAAAGTAGTGCCTGTTAGCTACAGTTCAAATATACTAAGATAAAACTTGATTTGTAAGTAAAATAACCTCAGAAAAAATATTAAAAATTGAGGGAAAAAGTTTCACTGAATTCAATGAGCCAATTATCATAATCATTAAAAAATTTTTAAAGCTTACTCTTTCTGCTCAAATGATGTTTTAACCAGTTCTTCCTCTGATTCTTTCGATGGACACTCAACCTTTTTTCTGGAATGCTGCTAAAAAATAACACATGATAAAATGGCATAAAAAAAGAACAACTGTGCATATAGCCATGGGCATCCTGACTCTAATTAAGCCTCATGAACAACCATTCCCCTAGAAAAGGGGTTCTTAACCTGGGGTTCTTGAACCTGGAAAAGAAAAAAATTACACCTCTCTGTATTTTCACTAACCTTTGGTTTACTTTGTAACTCTAATTTTAAAATATTATTCTAAGCAAGGCATTTATAGGATTCACCAACTGCAAAAGGAATCAATGCCACAAAACAGGTTAGTGGCATAGTTTCCCAAAGTCAGTGATACTGATGCCCTGGAGGGCACTGGAACGATTCAAGGGGGCAATAGTAGTTTGAAATGATGCAAAATTCAAAAAAGCTGTTAAAGGGTTAAAGAAAGTAGATTTTTGGAGGGGGAGGATTTGAGTAATTTTTTTTTAAAGGGAGCAATAAGCCAAATAAGTTTGAGGAGCTGTGCCTACAGCAACTAAACTCCAACAAGCAAATAAATGGTCTATGAAAAGTCTGTTTCTTTTAATAACACTGTGGCCTAGCAAGAATTTTAAATGGATGACTTCTGAAACTACGCTCTTATCCATATATTTAGACTGCATAATCTGCCACCTGTCCCTTGAATAAGACATAGATAGGTAGATAGAAAAGTGAAGGACAGATAAGCTTATAACCTAGCTGAGAAAAATGCAGAATGGTGCAATTGTTCTTCCTCTCATGCAAATACATGGTTCTTAATTACTCTATTACTTTAACTTTAAAATATGGTGTAATGGTCATTTTGTAAGAATTCTTTCAAGTGGTAAAATATCTAAAAATACCTTCAGTCTACCTGTGAATAACGTATTCTACCAGATGAAAGTTTAAAGTTCTAAGACACCAAAGAATATATAACATGTACAAGTTTTCCTACATGTACATTAAAGAAATTATACTTTTTGCCTGACACTTAAGACATCTGCCACTTTCACTGATTATATTAAATTACTGGAGTAAAATTGTGAAATTAAACAGACACTTTCAACATTTCAATTTTAAGGAAAAAATATTGCATGGGGATTTTTTTCATCAATAATTTTTAAAATAAGATGAATAGTGAGATTTTAAAGATATGTTTATACTCTTAGCAGATGCATTTATAACATTAACAACAAGAAGAAATAGCCAACTTGAGTCACCCACATGTACCCTTTCTTACTTCTTCTGATTGTCCTTCTAATGACATAAGGCTGATAGAAATTTCAGTGTTTTTTAGACTTCCAAATGATTCTTCAGAATTCTCTAGATTGAGACACAAAAAAGCAGAAATAATTATCTTAGAACTGCACTGGTTTTTAGAACACTTGAAATAAACAACAAAGATGGAAAATTAAATGGCGATCAATTTATTAACTTTTTCAGAGGCATATTTTAAAAGTATGATTATTAAATCCTTAGGTTCTTCTCAGTGATCATTCAAAACTTTTACACTCTCCTCAAGTCCCCATTCCCCATCACTTATAACAGAGTGGATGACCTTCTGCTTCACTGAGAAGTGAAGTCATCTAATCTCTCAACCTCTTAAAACATCTCATTATCATCAGCCATTTTCCTTTCCCATTATCTTGTCTCAGAAAAGAGGCCTCTCTCTTACTTTTATGTTGTTAGACAACCTCCAAAACTTTCCTCTAGCAATCACCCCTTTTGCCATACATTGTCAATTCAATTCAACAAACATTTATGTGACTACAAAGAGCTAAAGCACTCTGATAGGTACCACAAATACAAAGATGAAATAGAAACAGTTGCTGTCGCTGTCCTTAAAAGAATTTATGTTGTGGGGGTAGCCAGATGGTGCAGTGGACAGAGCACCAGCCCTGCAATCAGCAGGACCTGAGTTCAAACGTGAACTCAGACACTTACTAGCTGTATGATCCAGGGCAAGTCACTTAACCCTGATTGCCTCTAAAAATTGAAAAGAAAAAAAAAAGAATCACAATGGAAAGATTTTATATTCTTTGGGGGAAGAAGAAAGGGATAGAAATATAAATATATATGTTTGTGAGTGTATGCAAATATGTATGTATATGTGTGTATGTAAATATGTATAAGTATAAATGTGTATATATACATATGTATATCCATACAGATAGATAAATGCAAGACAATCAGAGCAGAGACCATTAATAAATTAAGTAAATCAGTGAAAGTCGCATGGAAAAAAGTGACACCTGAACTAAGCTTTGAAGGAAGATAAGGATTCTGAAAGAAATAGATGAGGAAGCACACTGGGATGGCTTGTGCAAAAGCAAGAAGATGAGAAATAGAAAACCAAGTCTGAGGAACTGCAAACCACTAGTCCAATTGGCCTGGAGCGGAGAGTCCATGATGGGGAATGCCATGCTCCTTTCGTCTCCTTAGGAACATGCTCAGGTCTCCCAATCCTAAAAAGGACTTCTTTTGACCCTTCTATCCTCCCATCTCTGTCCGACCTTTCAATGACAAATTTTTTCAAGGGTACAATGTCTGTCTACACTTGCTCTTTATAGGCTAGTGCCCCTTTATATCACAGTACTGAAAGTGCTTTCCCTTCTATTATGACTCACATTCAAAAATATCAATTCCTGCAGTTGACAGAAAATAGGAGTATTGCCCCTTGGAAGGAATTTTCCTGTTTCTGATTGTGCAGTTCCTTACCACCTTTTGCTCTTCTACACAATCATTTTTCCCCATTTGTCATGAAATCTCTTGCCGGGTCCATGTCCTCCTCCTCATCTGGGCAAAAGTTGCCCCCAAGAGCTCCGATTCCCCTTCTTTGAGGCAGGATGAATAGTCCTTCCAAACACCAAATCCCTGGAGATTATACCCACTGTAAGGTCCCCATCTCCATTTACAGATCTCTCTTCCCCCATGGAGGCATTTTTCAGTGAGGTCCCCATTTCTACCAATGAAACAAGACTTCTCCATTTCTTTTCCTCTGTTTTAATCCTTCCCTTTGCCTCCTCCCTATTCTCTTGTAGACCTTCTGCCTCCTGAGAGGTTGCAGGAGTTATTTGCCCTTCATTATTAACCTTTGACTTGATTAGGGGATGTCACCTATTCCCCTTTATTTTCTACCTCCCCTTTCCCCTTTCCTACATCCTCCCATTTTGCAATCTAGCCACACAGACTGAATGACCTGTAGACAGTGTGTTGTAAGATTTAGTCCATGATGTTTCAGGCCTCCACTGTTACTCCTTCTACTTGACTTCTGCTATTAAACTTGCCTCCTTGTGTCCTTTGAAAGAAATCTCTTAATGGTCTGTTGTTATTTTGTTGTTGACAGGTATATTTTTTTCTTTTTAGTTATTTTTTTCCTGGAGGTAATTTATTTTAATATGCTACTTGGTTGCTGTACTTGTTTATCTTTCTTATATTCCTATTATCTGGTTTGTTTGTGAAGCAAACACATTTTACGTGGTTTTCATTATAGGAGTGTTCCATGTTGAGGGCCGATCTTAAGAGTCTGATAAGGGTTTAAGATCCAAGGCAGAGTTTGACCTCTGCCCAGGCTTTTACCCAAAAGGGCTCACTGATTAAGTGGTACGGCTCTCCAATCCCTTCCTGATTAGGAGGTCCCTGAGACATTCCTTCTCACTCTTTGAACCTTAGATTTACACATTCACTCCTCTATGCAGGTGGCACCAAGGCGCCTGGGAAAACCTTGGAAAATACAACCCAATCTAGGAACCCTGATAACGAGGAAATTCATGTTGTCACATCCTCAGCAGATGTTCTGGGGAGTATCTCATGGGGAGGACTCTTTGAAATTAGGCTAGATTTTCTCTATATATCCTGTACCCTCAGATGAATAAACTGAGCCAGTAATTCTGCTCCACCTGGCCCATGTCATAAGTTATTTCACGCTTCTCCGTTTGGTGTACAATCTGGTTGCAGGCAACAGTTCCAAATATTTCTTTTTCATTGAACATATCTCTTCATTAATGATTAGGCTCAAGTTTGCATGGTATATTGCTTTGGGAACACATTATTCCATCTCTTCCTGGGGTTTCTAGTGGGTACAGAAAAGTCTTTTGTTATTTTAATTTCCTTAACTTCATATTTGTAGGTCTTCTTCCTGGTCCCTTGCAAAATCTGTTGTCAATGGAATTGTTAAATTTAACCACTATATGTGTTGGAGTTTTTGTTTTCTTGGAAGTTATCCATGGATTCTTTGAAATGGCACTCTGTTTTCTGTGTTCAGAAATTGAAGGCAGTTTTATTGGACTACTTCCAGCATTATTCTCCAGTTTTCTTGACCTGTCTTGTTTTTCTGGGAAACTTATCCTTAGGCTATCTCTATGCATCCTGTCACAGAGAGCATTAGGTTTTGATTATATAAAGATCATGTTTTCTTTTAATTTTATAAATTTTTGCTTCTCTTCAAGATTATCCTTTACTTCTGTATGTTTTCATTCCCAATCATTTATTCTCTCTTTTGTTTCTTTGCTGAAGTTTGCCATGGTGGATTCAAGTTTTTTTATTCTGTCAATTATTTCTGCTGTTCAAGCCACAAATTCTGCTTTCACAATTCTTATTTCTCCTTTAAACCACTTGTGAACATCCTGATGTTTTTCCATACAGGTCCTCTGCTTCGTTAGGTATCCTTTTTCTTGCAATATTTATTCATAGATATCTGAGGTTATTTGGCCAATCTAGAAGCCATAATTACTTCTGTTATTAATATCTTCCCTGTGGGTTTATCTGCTCATGTTAATGAGTTTTTTTCCTCCTGGAACTTTTGGTAATTTCAGTCTTTTTCTCTTATATTCCCCTATTCCTCTGACTCCCTTTTCTTTTGATGATAGTGACCCCCAAGAAAGAGACCTCAAACTCATTTCAACTTTCTCCCATACTGAAGAATTCACCGGCCTTGGTGTCTGCTCCAAATCACTTCTAGGGAGACAGAACCGTGCCCATCTAGATACCAATCTTCTTTTCCGCAGACCTAGTGGAGTGCCACAGATGCTGGTGTCCTGCCCCAGTTCCTTCTATTCCTCAACATTACCATGCTGCTTTCCCAGCCACAGAAAGCTTCTGCCTTTTGGTTTTCTAGGGCACAAGGTTGAGAACAGGATAGAGTTGAGTTTCATTGCAAGCCGGTGGGTCAGCTTATGAAATCCTGCTAGAGCGTGATGGCTGGTGGAACAGGGGATGCTGAGTGAGCATGCTGTAGGTTAGAGATTAGCCTTCTCTGATGATAGTTCATTGGGTTCTTGGTGTTTTAGACCTTGGAGACAGCTAAAAGTGCTTTTATCTCTTTCAAAAATTCCTATTTTAGAGAGGTTTGAGAGGGCATGAGGATAAGAAAAAGTGTCTAGTCATCCATCTTGAATTTGCCCTGTACAGCATGTGACACTATTGAACACTTTCTCACTCTGGATAGTCTTTCCTCCTTTGCCTTTTGAGTTCTCCCACCTCTCTAATCACTCCTCTTCTTTGATAGCTCTTATTCCTCTTCTATTGATCTCTTAAAGTGGAAATCCTCCCACGTTCTGACTTGGTCCTCTTTTTTCTGTATGTATGTGCTGTTTTGAGTTGATCTCATTCACTCTTACAGCTTCAGCTGTCACCTCTAGATAGATGACCACCAACCCTACCTAAACTCTCCTGAACTACAACCCTTATTTCTAACTGCCTACAGAACATCTATATTGTCCTACAGGACAAATGGCACATCAAATTCAATATATTCAAGAGAAATGTTTTTTCTTAATTATCTTTCCCTAATAATTTGCTCCTTTTCCTAACTTCAATATTTTTGCCAGCATTATACCTAGTCTCCCATGTTTGTAATCTTGGTTACAGTTACCAAAGACCTACTGATTTTACCGCAGCAGTATCTTTTATATCTGTCTCCTCTTCTCTATTCCCATTTGTTGTAGAGAGAACACTAGTGGAATCTGAGTTAACTTTCCCATAATCTCACAACCTCAACTGCTGTTGTGATCAAATATGCTATGGAGCAGACCTGGGAAAGTTTAAGCTAACTCAGCTATAGACTCTTTGGGTAAAGAAAATATAAGTTTTAGGACTTTAGCAAAGGAGCTTCTGAGACCTTAAAGAACCTCCTTGTCAGAGGTTTTTAACCTGCTTTAACATTCTTGGACTAGTTTTTTACTACTATGTGGATTAATTTTTATCTGAAGATCACTGAATGTTTTTATTAAAAGGAGTATTTATCTAAATCCTCAGGCTCTGGATGATCATTTATCCCAGATGTGGTACCATAACTGTTACCACTGTCACATCCTAGATCAGGTCCTTTTTAGCAACCTGACTAGGTCACTGTAATAACCTCCTACCCTTTATTCTCACTCTACACTAGCCTTTCCCAAACACACATACATATGTGTTATATGTATGCATGTATATACACACGTGTGTGTAGACATATACAGATGTGTATACATATATGCCTATATTCACATGCACGATATGTATGCGAGTATATATACATATGTATGTACACATGCATATATCCACACTGCTGTCAAGAATATCTTCTTCAAGCATAACTATATGCATGAGCCAGGCAACTAGGCAGAGCAATGGACAGAGTGCTGGGCCTGGAGTCAGGAAGACCTGAGCTCAAATTAGGCCTCAGACTAGCTTTGTGACCACAAACAAATTTCTTAATCCTGTTTGCTTCAGTTTCCTCATCTGTCAAATGAGCTGGAGAAGTAAATCGCAAACCACTCCAGTATCTTTGGCAAGAAAACTCCAAATGAGGTCAAGAAGAGTCAGTCACAGCTGAAGCAAGTGACTATTAATACGCATGCCAACCTCTTATATAAAACCCAGCATAGGGCACAGTGCTTGGGCCGTTGTAGGCACTTAACAAATTTTAATTTAATTGAATATTGAATTGAATTGAACCCTTCAAAAGCTCCCTACTGCCTACCTAGTTAAGTTCAAATGTTGAGAATTCTCTCCAAATAAACATATACTGGTTTATACTTTTGTACTTTTCTGCACAATTCCAACTTAAAGGTAGGTGAAAATTTATGTATGTCTATGTAAGCTGTCCATTTTAATGCTTATTAAGCTACAATGGCATAGGCGAAAATTAATATCCAGGATAGATCACTCACTGACTATTAGAGAGGAACATTTATAGCTCTTCATAATCTGATGCAATCATGCCTCTCATTAAGATCTCATATTACTTCCACATGTATTATGATCCAATCAGAGTACTTTGGAATTGTGGTTGGTCATTGTGTCTATCAGATACTTTCAAAGTTAATTATCTTTACAATATTGCTGTTACTGTGAAGATCGTTCTCCTGGTAAAAATATGGAAGGCTTCATGAATTTGCATGTCATCCCTGCCCAAGGGGCCATGCTAATCTTCTCTTTAGAGTTTCAATTTTAATATATGTGCTTGAAGTAAGCACTCATGACTCTTTAGTCACTGGCTTAGTAATTCTTTGGATTCTTAACACTCTATGACCTTCAGATCTAGGGATCTTGATCAACTGGATCATAAGAGACGATACTTTTTCATACAAATAGCCTAAGGGACATTGTAATGGTACAACAGGAAAAAATATTATAAGTAGCTAAAATATTTTAAGAAAAAATATACCTATCTCCAAGCTAATAAAGATAAACTCTTTAATAATAAAATAATTTTAAAATTATAGTTTCAGACAACTCTAAAATAAATATAGCAACTACAATATTGGCTTAAAATTAGCATCAAATTTATAACATCAAATTAATAAGTTATCTACTAAATGAACTTACCTCCACAGTCTGGCACCTTCATTTCCTCTTGTGTAAATATTTCCATTTCTTCTAGGATGTCTTCATCAAAATCTGTAAATTCTTTATCAGTAACATGAGTAAAAGAAATGCTCTCCTCAATGAGTTCTTTTATTTTAGGTTCTTTTGATTGAGTTGTTATTCTACTGACAGAAACATTAGAAAAAAAAAATTACAAACTAGACCAAAATGTGGCTCTTGATAAAAGTACTTTTTTTCAAAATGGTTTAGTCATTGTTATTTTTTAAAAGCAGAAAAGACTTTCTTAGATAGTTATGAAAAGACCTGTATTCAAATGATGAGAATTCTAACATATTTGGCCCATTTCAAAAAGGAGTCTTTTCTGTCACTCCTTAATGAATATACATCCTGCATACTGAAATGACTAAAAGAACTTCAGTTACTTTCACAAATAAAAAAATTTATTAAAAATTGATTACTCATAGTTTTTATGCAATCCTCCAGGTTACATGTCAAAATTTAATATTCAATCATAGCCACCTTCTCAAAAAGATTTAAGCAAAAACAAATAACAGGAAAAATGAGTGATTTTTCCATCATTTTAAAATAAATTGTTAAGGGATCCTCACTGCTTACTATCATAGTTAAAAGACATGCAAAAATCAGTCATTTAATACCTTTAGTCTCTACTCCAGAAGTCTTCCCCACACACCTATTCTAATGAAGGGAAATTTTAAGTAAAAACTTACTCCAAAAAGTTGTTATAAGGTCCATCACTATTATGAACTTCCTGAATTTCATTTGGAGTTGACACTGACGCTGGACAGCCAGTATCTACAATGCTTTCTTTCTCAATATTGTGTTTAGCTTCAGGTAAGAGCACAGAAGGCAGAGAATAATGATTCTCTGGAATCTAAAATAAAATATTTGTAATGTTTATTACTGTATTCTTTATTTTATTTAATCTTAAGTACAGAGATATTTCAAAGATCTGTGATTTGCTCCAAATGGGGACTCCATCTACAGCATCCTCCATCAACTGCTAATAAGGTTTTAAGTGTCCATGGTCACAAAATTTTATGTATTAGAAGTAGGATGGGAACACATGACTTACTCTGGATACTACACCACACTGGCTCATTATTTAATCACATTCTGCACTTATTCAAAAGTGTGTATATCTCGTGAGAATTAACAACATGTAATATGGAGTATGCTCTATAAAAGTTAATACTAACTAAATATCAGAAGACACTGTGTACACAGAAGGTCATTAATAAATGTTTTTGGAATGAAACTGTTAAATTTAAAGCTTCACTGAAACAAGAAGCAATAAAATGCTATGCTATTGTGTCACTAACTACCTAGGGTTTAGGATGGACCAACAGAAAAACTAAATTTCCAATTTTTTGTTGTTGTTAATTCATACAAAGAACATTTATTAAGCACTCACTATATAAGGCACTCAATCATTAGGCACTGCAGGAGGAAAGGAGAACAAAAATAAGTAAACAAATAAAATAATGTCCCTGATCTCAAGGTCCTTATAATCGAATAGGAGAAAAAAAGACTTTAGATAATTAAACATATTGCATATTAGACTCTTATAAATGCATAAGAACTAGGTAAAGTGCAATGAGATCAAATGAGGATAAAATCAGTTCTAGGTTGGGGGGCTTTGAACTGGGAGTTCAAAGATGGATAGGGCATAAGAAAACTAATACAGCCTACAGTAGAGGAGGCCTCCACCACACAGGCTGAAATGGACACAATGCTCCAGACAAAAGCAAGCCTTTATCACACAGGTAATGGATGAACATTAACATTTTCTGAAAACTCCACTGCTTTTTGGACCTCCCTTCCAATTTGACCACGAGTGTAACCCTGGCACCACATTTCAGTTTGGTATAATCCTCGCGGACCCCAAAACCAAGCCCAAACTGCCCACAGTCACCTTGTGAGGAGAACACATACCATCTTTCTCCGCCCTCACCATGACCTCTAGCTCTTCCATCCATCCCAATTTTCCAAGTTTTATATTGGCCCGATTTCCCTTCTGCCCTCACAGACTTGACTTCATAATTAGCTAGCTAGTTCAAGTATGTATTATTCTTTACATTAAATCCTTTGTCCCACCATGATTTCCACCTCAACAATTCTCAAGTTGGGATCACCCCCATCATCTACCGCCACAGAATTACAGAATCTGAGAGAGGAATGGTCCTCAGCAGTCACTATATAAATATAAAAAAGAATTCTCACTCTAACATACCAGACAAGTGGTCCTCCCAGTTTTGATCAAAGACAAAGAAGGGGAACCCACCAAACTCTTCAGGCAGGCCATTCTATTTTCAGAGAGCTTTTATCGCTAGGAAGTTTTTTTTTCTGCTATTGTCTAAATACACCTCTTTGAAATTTCCACCCACTGCTCTTGATTCTATCCTCTTGGATCAAACAAAACAAATCTACTCTGTCTTCCACCCAACAGTTCTTCAGACGCTTAAAAACAGCTGTCACTCTCGCTTGAGTCTTCTCTTCTGGTTAAACACACCAGTTATTCCCATGAAACCTCATATGTCACAGCTTCAAGGTCCTTCTGTGGACACTTTCCAGCTTCTCAATATACCTCTTAACCTAGGCTGACAACTGAACAAAATACTCCATAGGAATTCTGGGCAGAACAAGGCAGAATATAGTAGTAGGAATATGTCACCTCCCTATTCCTGGAAGCTATGCTCGTCATAATGTAGCCCAAGATGACATTAGCATTTTTGGTGACCGCATAACACTGTTACGCATATTGAGTTTGCAACTCAACCTCCAGTAATATGGCCTCTTTCTCCACCATTCTACTGAAACTACTCTCTTCAATGCACTAATGACTTTATAATTGCCAAATCTGACAGTTTTCACTCCTCATCCTTCATCCTTTTGCAGTATTTAACACTCTCGCTCAGAACAAAAAGCCCTCTTCTCTTTTTTCTCTACATCATCCATAATGCTTAATTCATCAGCTGCCGTGGGTATAATTATTGTCACATCTATGCAGATGATTTCCAGATCTATATATCCAAGCCTACATATCTCTCCTAATCCCCAGGTGGGAATCACCAACTGCCTACTGAACATTTTGGAACTTATTATCTTTCACCCAAAACCCAGCCCTCACCCATATCTCCCCAATCTTTGTCAAGGGCATCACTATGCTTGATGGGTTCACAATCTCAGAGTCATTTTTCGACCCTTCGCTCTCCCTCACCCTCACCCTCACCCATGTATCTAATTCACTGTCAAGTTTTGCCAAGTTTATGTTCATTCCAGCTCTTGCATTCATCACTTCTCTCTCCTCCAGCCACCATACTCATTCAGGCCTTTGTCACCTCTCAATACCCTAATTGTTCTCTCTGCCTCTAGCCTCTCTTCACACTGATCCATCCTCTACACAGGCTGACAGAGTTATTTTTCTAAAGCACAGGTCTGATCGTAGCATCATCATGCTCAAACAGTTCCAGCGGTTGCCTGATACATGCAGGATCAAATAAAAACTCCTTCGTTTGTAATTTCTCAACTAGCCTGACCTGCCTTTCCAATCTTATTAAACATTATTCCTTCTCATGCACCCCATGGTGAAAGCAGATTATCCTTCTTCCTGTTCTTGACATCTTACATCCCTCTTATATCCACAGCTTTGAAGAGGCTTTCTCCTATGCCTAGAATGCATCCCCCATCACTTCTGCCTCTTAGAATCCCTCATTTCCTAGAAAGCTCATTTCAAATGCCACCTTCTATGAGGACTTTTCTGATGTCAACTGCTAATGCCTCCCTCCTTCCCCAAAATCACCGTGTATATATTTTGTATATATTTATATACATACATGTTTTCTCTCCTGATACAATGTAAACTCCTGGAAGGCAAAAACTATATCATTTTTACTTTTCTATCCAGTGTCTGGCACATAACAGGTGGTTAATAAATATCTGCTCATTAACTGTCTGACCACTCTATCCTCCTTAACATTTCCTGCTCTCTTAGTTTACATGACACTAGTCAATCCTGGTTCTCCTACTACCTGACTATTTCTTCTCAGTTTTCTTTGCTAGGTATTAATAATAGCAACAACATCATCAACAATAAGTGATATTTATAAAGCACTTTAGGGTTTCAAAAGCACTTAAGGCTCAGGTCAAGGGCCACCTTCTTAAAGATGCTTATGGTGATACCCCTTACCCCTTATTATTAATGCTTTTATGAACTGGCAAAAACAAGTATGACTAGTACGGTCCCAACTTCTTAGGATGTATGTATACTGAGGCTAATAAATCCACAAAGTGGGCATTATCCACCCCTAAGCCTTTTGTGGGATGGTACAGTTAGAGATGAATTCCTTATGTCCCTGCCCCACATTCCTCACTCCTGACTAGGCAATTTAGAAAATACTTTCATTTCACTGGTCCCAGTATCTTCCCTCAGAAGGACAGGGCAAGCTTTTATCAGTGATGAGTAAGTTCTTTGTCTAACTCTATAGAAGTTTTAGCCCTGAGAGCTTCTAGGTCTATGATAGGAGTGTGAAGGTGCTTTTAAAGTTCTGTGCCCAGAAACCAACCCACTGTGTGCCACCTGCAGCTGAAAGCCATGGGGGCTGCACACTAAGACTATGCATCTTGGCATTTGTTCTCCTCCTCCCCTTTTAAATAGTAATGAAGTTTTGTTAACTACTCTCCCTGTGGGCTTCTGCTGCTCTTCATCTTAACTGGTCTGCACTACAGCTTCTTACCCAAGCCAAAAATTACTTTTATATTTTGTACTTACACACAGTAAGATTCTTAAGAACAGACTGTTTCATCTCTTTTAACATAATTCCTGGCACATAAAGGGTTTGTTTAAATGGACTTCAACCCCTTAATTGTGTGTGTCTACCATGGATGCTAATTCCTCTTATCTTCCTCTAATTGCTCTCAGAAAACATCTACTCCCATGGCTTCTTTTCTAACCACTACACAAATGACTACCTACTCCAGCATCCATCTCTCTCCTGAGCACCCATCTCAAAATCCCATTCTAGAACTTCAGTTCACGTGATCAAAAGATGGAGGATTTGACATTTTCTCTGACCCTCACACAACCTCTCCTAAACAGATACTATGCTCCAAAGATAAAGCAACTTCAGCTATCTCCCTGATCTAGGACAGCAGAAACTCAAAACAAGGTAAAGAACTCCATGAACTAATGCCTAATTTGAGTTCACTAAACACCTCCTCGCCCTACTGCCCACCACTCTACCAGCAAGGAGACTACACTAGTGACTACTGCACAGGCTTGCAAAAAAAAAAAAATCACAACCCTACAACCCAGGCCCACATCTCTCTTTCTAGTACCATAGAGATCCAAGCACCAAACTAAAAATTTACTAAGGCCTCCATTGCTAGTACCATGGCAGGGTTCTGTGCTGCAAAAAATCCCTTCAGTAGAGTGGAGGATCAATAACCCCACCCCACCCCACCTCTCCTCTTCAAGCCATCGTGAACTAAACTGCAAACAACAGCTGTCAACCCAGGCTACAACAGCACCAAATGGCCATGGTGTATACTGCTAGGTGAGAGGATTAAGAAACAGAGGGAACAGGACAAGACAGGATGGTACATCATGTGGAAGGAGCAGCATGGTAATCCACGAAAGCTGAGGGAAAGAGCCCAGCATCCAGCTGGGGCCAATTCTCTTCCCCCCAAAAGTCACTGGGGCAGCGAGATGGCAGAGTGGATAGAGCACCAGGCCTGCAGTCAGGAAGATGTGGGTTCAATTCCAGCCTCAGACACTTATTTGCTGTGTGACTCTTGGCAAGTTACTTAACCCCTATTTACTTCAGTTCCTCATCTGTAAAACAGGGACACACTGAAGAAGAAAATGACAAATCACTCCAGTATCTCTCCCAAGAAAATACCATGGACAAAGTCCATGGGGTCATATAAAGCCAGACATGAATGAACAACAAAAAAAGTCACTTGGGGCAAAGACCTAAGCTGGTGAGCTGTTAATAGCCTAGCAGAGGAAGAGGCTGAAATACTTTAAAATCTACCATCAGAGGGAAATGCAGCAGAAAGTGAGGAACAGGGGAAAACAAGAGGAGAAAAAAAGACTGACATTACCGAAGATCTCAGAAGGAAGAAAAACTCAAAAGTCTTCCAAGCATAAGCAGATAAATCAAGAAGGAAAACATTAACAGAAGGAAATATGGCCTCTAGATCTACTAAACAAGTTCAGGCATCCAGTGCTTAGCACAGTGCCTGCCACATAGTAGGCACTTAATAAATATTTACCGAATGAATGAAATACTTTTAAAAAAGAAAAAAAAGGGTAAATGATTCAACACTTGACAAGACAGAGGACCTTGAGGATTTTGATAATGTGGAACTAGAACACACTGTTCTTTAGTGATTTCAAAGAGAAATGAGAGTTATAATTATGGCCTGCAAAGCAGAAATAATTAGCAGAATAAAAAATATAATATGCGATGGCAATCTCACTAAAGAAACAAAAGAGAGGACAACTGATTGGATATGCGAAAACACAGAAGTGAAGGACAATCTAGAAGAAGAGAAGCAAAAAGCAGTAACACTGAAATAGAACATGTACTCTATTCCAGTAAAATATATTGATCTTGAAGACAGAACGTGTAGAAACAGCTCATCCCATTTTGGACACCTGCCCTTAGCAAGGTGTCCTGCTAGCACCTTAACTGTAACACGTTTAAAACTCAACCCTTCATTTCTCCTCCTCCTAACCTGTTTCTCCTAACAAACTCCCTACCTCATTCTATTATGTTACTAACCCCCTTATAGTCACTGGGGATCAAAACTTCACAGTTATCTTTGACTCTTTCCTTTCCCACCCACATCCAATCTGTTGCCAAATCCCAGCAAAAACAACTCTGGAGTCTATCCTCTTTTCTCTATTCCTATTGTCATCACCCTAAATCAGGGGTGGGGAACCTGCAGTCTCAAGGCCACATGCGGCCTTCTAGGTCCTTGGGTGCAGCCTTTTTTTTTTAACAGAAAAAATTCTTATACTAAGGTGATTTGTTCTGTGAAGTTTGGATTCAGTCAAAGGGCCCCACTGGAGGACCTACAGGGCCACATATGGCCTCAAGGCCTCAGGTTTCTCACCCCTACCGTAGTTCAAGGACTCTCATCTGGATTGGTGTAAGTCTTAGCTAGTCCTCATAGGTTTACCTATCTCCAGTCTTTCCCTTCTCTAATCTATGCTTTAACTACTGCCAAAATAATCTTCTTAATGCCAAGGTATGCCCATGTCACTCCTCAGTTCAAACATAATCTGTATATCCTCAATGACTCAGGAAAAAATAAAAACTTTTTAGTCTCCCATTTAAAGCTGCTAAACTCTGTATCCAATCCATTTCCCCAGCCTTTTTTACATTAATCTCCTTCATGCACTCTATAATAATTATGGCCTAACGACTATTCACCAAAGTCTTCACATAACTCTCTCTTCAGCTCTGTATGCTCTCACAGACTGCCTCTTTGGAAGACACTCCCTCTTCATTTTTTTCTGTTGTAAATCTCTTCTATCCTCCCATGCCTACCTCAGGTATTCACCACTTCATTAAATCTTCCTGGACCCTTCCCTGCCACCTTCCCACCCCACCCCTCCCCCCTAAAAAAGCAGTATGTCTCTTCAAATTACCTTAGAGCACAGTATGTACCTCTCATTTGTCAAGTAGGTGGTACAGTGAATACAGTACTGGCCTTGGAGTCAGGAAGACTCAAGTTTAAATCAATCTCTGACACTAGCTGTGTGACTCTGGGCAAGTCATTTAGCCTTTCCAAGCACCAGTTTCCTTATATAAAATGGTGATACCACCACCTAGTTCAGAAGGCTGTTGTTCAAGACCAAATCAAACAAAATATTATATGTAAAGCACTTTGAAAAGCTTAATGGATGTTAGCTATCATCATCATCATCATCATCATATTCTACCCCATATCATATATTTATATGTATACATATCATAACCTCTGATTAAATTGTAAATTCCCAAAGGGCATGAGCTATTTTTTTCATATAGTTCCAACATCTGGAACATAGGGGGCACATAATAAATGATAAATCCCATTCACTTGGTAAAAAACATCAAGTATTTTCTTACCTTATAGATCACATGACTTGTTTGCTGTACAAAGTGTGACTGTTCTAAAAGCCTTAAGGACGTGAGAATGGCAGCTGCTGAGGTCCTCACCCGTATGATGGGGCTTTGGGAGGATGATTCAGGTTTACTGAAGTCACAGAGCAATCTTCTATCAGACCATCTTATCATCCATTCTAGTAGTTTTGCTATACTGCCAAATTTGTTCTTTAGTTCTGGAGAAAGTTCTTCATGAGGAATAATGTCATTCCACTGAACTGCTTTGTAAGTGAATTTTGTAGTCTTAAAGTTTTGTGGAAGAAAAACTTGTTTTGGTAATCTGTGGGACATGGGTATCTCTCTATTGTCATCTTTAATTCTGTACATCGATTTTTCTTTTAAACCAAACAAGCCTTTCTTTCCTGTGCTTTTAATTACTTCATTCGAAGAGTTTTGTATAAAAGATGTTGGCCCTTGAACAACTAATACTGAAGGTGAAGATGTTTGATTTCCCAAATTTTTGAAGTTTTCACTATTCAAAGTAGATGATTTTTCAGATTCACAAGACTCAGGAATAATAACATAGCAGGAGCCAGCTCTGAACACATTCTGGCTTTTGGGTTTGCCCTGACGACGTTTTAATGTTGTATGAACATCAAAAAGCAAAGAATTAAGCTCATGTTCCTTAAGATGGGCTGAAAAGCTACTTAGAAAAGGAATACCAGGATTATTAGAACCAATCAGGTCTTTTTCAAGTACATAACTCAAGAACAGATCAAGGAATTTAATATATTCATCATCATCACGTTCAAATTCCCAAACACCTACTATAGGAACTATATTTTCTCTAGGTAAATTTTCATGATCACCTTTCCTTTCAGGACATTCTTCTGAATTGAACTTTTTCTTCTTATTGTCATGCTTACTAATCAATGTGAATTCTGCATGATTCTGGGCATTCCTATAACAAAATATAAAAAAAATTAATTCAAACTAATCCTTCATTACTGACAAAGTCTTCTCTCATAAACAGGTCAATTAATTTCTTTGGGCCTTAATTCCCCATGTATAAAAGGGAAGAGGTGGGAATGGGGAGAAGGACAGGCTGTTGATGATGATCCCATCGCAGACTTCCTATAACTTGAAAAAACTGATGATTCTCTGAAATGCAATACATAAAAGATATCAAAGGGAGAAATTTGTGAAGTGAAATTAAAATTATGTAAAAATACATAAAATCTACCAGAAAGAAAAATATGAGGCAATCCTTTTACAACTCCCTGACTATCCCACACTCACCACAGCAGCTTTTCCAAACATTTTATCCCTTTTTTAAAGGGATTTTATCTCTCTTTTTTTTTTAAAGGGATTTCTTGGCTGAGAACCTTGCCCCATATTTCACTGAAGAAACTAAGGCCATTTACTGAGAGCTTCCTATTCTCCTCCTCATCATCATTCAACATTCAGATGCCTTCTGCCATTATACACACCAGTGACTCAGTTCCAGTCCATCTTCTCCAGCAGATTGCTCCCTCTATCATCTCTGCTGATATTCGATCTCTTCCTATCTGATTGCTTCTCTATTGTCTACAAACATGCCCACCACCTCCCATTTTCAAAAACTCCTTACCTGATCCATCCATCCACTCCCACTGATTATTGTTTAATCTCTCTCCTCCAATGTGTGGTTAAACTCCTTGAAAAAGTCATTTAAAATAAGTGCTTCCACTCCCTTTGTGTCACTCTCTGAAGTCTTTGAAGTCTGGCTTCCAACCTCATTCAATGGAAATGGCTCTCTCCAATGAGAGTTGAAATGCTTTTTCCAACTCTAATGGCCTTTTCTCAATCCTCATCCTTTTTAATACTTTTGTAACCTTTAACACTGTCAATCATGTTCTGCTACTTGATATTCTCCTCTAGGTTTCTGTGAAACGCTCTATCTACTCCTCCTGGTCTGACCATGACTTTTCAGTCTCCTTTGAGCTGTAATCTTCATCCACGTCTCACTTGATAACCATGGATATCTCACAATGCTTTGTCTTGAGTCCTCTTTTATTTTCCTCTTATATTATTTCACTTGATGATCTCATCAACCTATGGATTCACTTATCATCTCTATGCAGATGTTTCTCAGATTTAGGCTTAAATATAGATCTAAATCTGAGAAACATCTGCATAGAGATGATAATTGAATGCTAGAGGATATCAAATTTATTTGGCCTACTGCCCTCTTTTTAAAAAAATTATTCAGTGCCCCCTGGAAATCTACTTTCTTTAACCATTTAATGTTTTTTTTTTTAAATTTGTGTCATTTCAAAAAATACCACCCCCCTGGGTTATTCCAGCGCTCCCCCAAGGGGCAGTATCACCCATTTTGGTAACCTATGAACTTCTCTCCTAACCTCCAGACTCCAATTTCCAACTGTCTACTTAACATATCAAACTGGATGTCCCACAGACATCTTAAATTTGACATGTACAAAACCGAACTCATTATTTTCCCCTCCAAGCGCTCCCTTCTTCCTAAATTCCCTACTTCTACTGAGGATGCCACTATCCTCCCAGTCCCCCAAAGCTCACAACCTAGATATTATACTCAACTCCTCACTCTCTCACTCGCCACATCTAATTTGATACCAAGTCCTATCAATTTTATCTCTGAACTATTTCTTGAATATGCCCACTTCTCTCCTTTGATATTGCTACCAACCGAGGCAAGCCCTCTTCCACTCAGACCTGGGATTGGTGTACAATAGCCTTGGGTTGATCTACTTGCAAGTCTCTCTCTCCACTCCAAGCCATCCTCCATTTAGTCAACAAAGTAATTTTTCTAAAGTGTAAGTTCAACTATGTTAAACTTCCCCATACACACTCAATAAACTGCAGTGACTCCCTATTACCTCCAGGAGCAAATATAAAATCTTCTGTACAGTCTTAAAAGCCCTTTATAACCTAGCTTTTCCTAACTTTCCAGTTTTCCTACACCTTACGCCTCCCTCCCTAGCCCCTACAACATAACTCTTCAATCCAGGTACCTAGTGACACGTCTCCCTGCTAATTGTTGAACAAGATACTTCATCTTCAGACTCTGGGAATTTTCACTGGCTGCCCTTTGTGCATGAAATGCTTTCCCTCCTCATTTCTGCCTCCTGACTTCACTGGATTCCTTTAAGTCCAAGCTAAAACTATACCTTCTACATAAAGCCTTTCCTGATTCCCCCTTAATCCTGGTGCTTTCCTTCTATTGATTATCTCCACTTTATCCTGTATACATTTTATGTGTACATAGTTGTTTTCATGTTGTCTTCCTAATGAGACTGTGAGTGAACAGGGACTTTCTTTGTATACACAGCACTTAGCCCAATGCCAGCCACATAAGTAGGTGCTTAATAAATGATTGACGGATGAGCATTTCACCAAGGAATACTTTTATATGTGTTATTTTCCACAATAAATTCAAATAGATATGTGAACAATAAGTCCATACCATTAAAAAAAAAAGTATATATCTTCTCACAACTATGAAGAAGAATTCCTACACAAACAAGAACTCTGTACAAGTATTTCTACTCAAACCCATCCCAAGTGAAATACAGATGAGGCACATATAAAAAGCAAAATAAATAATTTTGATTACATGAAATTAAAAAGCTTTTACATGAACAAATGCATCTAGAACAGTAGTAGAATGAGAGAAAATATTTGTATCAAGTTTCTCTGATAGGGGTTTGGTATCAATAATATATAGATATGTAACAGATATAGATAAGACCAAAAGTCATTCCCTAATAGGTAAGTGGTAAAGAACATGAACAAATAATTCTCAAAAGAAGTTTGAACATTAAAAACCACAAAAATGTTCCAAGCCACTTATGATAAGAGAAATGAAAACTAAAACAACTCTGAGGTTTCATCTCATGCCCAGCAAACTGGCAAAGATGACAAAATAAAGGAATAGTCAATGTTGGAAGGGCTGTGAAGAGATAGGCACACTAATGCACTGTTAGAAGAGCTGTGAATTAGTGTAACCATTCTGGAAAGCAATTTGGAAGTTATGTAAATAAAATGGCTAAAATGTCCAAATACTTTGACCCAGAGAGTCTATTACTAGGCTTATTGCTAGACAATAATAAAAAGAAAGGCTCCATATACACCAAACTATTTATGCAGCACTTTTGTGGTAAAAAACAACAGGAAACAAAGTACCTGCCCATCAACTCAGGTACAAATAGAGGCTAAACAAACAGTGGTATAAGAATATAATAAGTATTGCTATGCTATAAGGAACAACAAATATGATGAATATGAATACAGAGATTTATATGTATAGATTTATACATATAGGAAAGACTTACATGAACTGATGCAAAGTGAAGTAAACAGAGGCAATGAAACAATATGCAAAATGACTATAACAATGTAAAAACAAAGAAAGATCACAAAATAATTTAAAATGAATGCTTTGAGAGTAGAGCAACAGGAAGCAGTACAGCAAGCTCCTCACTCAAAACTTTTCCAGAAAGATACAGGAAATGCACCAGTCTGAATTCAGAGGAAAAACAACAAGCAAAAGTCATAGTAAATCATTTTCCAGCTGAGATTGGTATAGGAAGACAGACAGAGAGGTCTGTAGACAATGGGGACATTTTTCCCCAAACAAAATTATATTAAGTGAGCTCCACCACACCTTTGATCTGAATTTACTTACTCTCTTTTTTTTTCAGATGACAAAGTTTCTGAGAAAGTATCTGCTGTCTCTGTATCACTATGAGCAAGGGAATTTCCTACTTCGGTAAGAGTACTCCTGCTCAAACTGGTCCCAAGTGAAAACCGGTCATAAGTATGAATCTTATTATCTGTAGTCTCTTCTTCAGGTGGTTCCCAGATATTCATTTCAAAAGGGCCTATATTCCTCCTTACTCGTTTCAAAGCTTTCACTCTCACTTTGTAAATAGAATGCATAATAATAGACATCATTTCCTCAGTCTGTGGCCCTAAGAGGAAAAGGATAATCAAAGAGAATTTAATGTTACATTCAATAATAAATGTTTAGAAGGATAAGGCAGATATCTATTTCAGTAGCAAAAATAATAGAAGTGAGGGAACAGATTTTGATGATCTTCCAGCTCCTTCAGATGACAAATTATTAAAATGATACAGGATCAATCATAATCTTCTCAATGGAAAGGTAGGAGGGGCTATGTTATGAAAAACTCTGAGTACCAAGGAGAATATTTTCTATTTGTTCCTTGAGGCAATAGGAAGCCACTGGCGTTTACTAAGTGGGGGGGGGGGGGGGTGACATGAATGGACCTGCATTTCAGGATGATGGCTGTGGGTACTGGGCTAGAAGCATTACTATTCCCAAGGTTCTTGGGCTCTGTGTCCTAGGCCTTCTCTACTGAAGTCTAAGGGGAGACGGTGAGGAAGATGTGGTAGTGGTGGTTTGACTTGTCTGACAAATGTTGCCTCCTGTCTCTTCCTCAGGGTGCCATAATCCTTCAGCTAGACTACCTAGTCTGTCCTATAACTATGGCAGACGATTGGCAAGTGGAGAAGATAACTAGACCTTTCCCTACAAGAGTCACATGCCCAGATGCGAGGGCTGTGCCAAAAGCAAATTTTGTGGCCGTAGGGTATTCTATCAGGGTTCTTGTGCTTAGCTGCTTGTTGGTGAGAGTTGGTTAGCAATTGTTGCTGGTAGCAATGAGAATGGTGGGCTCCTTCTCCACAATGATTTCCCTTTTCAATGGTGGCTGCAGAGGCCAAAATGGAAGCAGGTCTAGTGGTTTAGGGAACATTACTATTCCCAAATTCTTGGATTCAGGGTCCTAGGCTATCTCCATCAGGAGAGATAGTGATCACAGCGGTGCGAGTTCAACTTTCCTGGCAAATGCAGCCTCTCATCTTCCCCTAAAGATGCCCTAAGGGGAATTTCTTATATATACCAAAATACACATCAGAGCACTTTTTATGTTAGCAAAAAATAGGAAACAATGTAGGTACCTAATGAGTAGACAATGGCTGGACCAACGTGCTGTATGAAGGTTAAGGAATATTAATATATTGTAAAAAAATAACTATGAGAAATTCAGAAAAACATGGAAAGATATATACTGATGTAAAATTAAGCACAAGGAAAACAATATACACAATGACTACACAAGAACACTACTAAAACAAGGACAAATGCTGTATAATTACAATGACTAATCTTGACCTGGAAAAGGGATAAAGAAATGTTCCTCATTCCTTTCATTGGACAGGTAAGGACTATGAATGTAAAATGCAACATCAGCTGTGGGACTCAGTCACTATCTTGGATTTGCAATTTTTCATAGTGACTTTTTTGTTATAAGGAAAGTATCACTGAAGGAAAAAGAAAGGTATTGGGGATTTTGGGGGGGACAGGAGAAGGGAGAGGTACAAAAGGGTACAAGGGCTATATCTCAAAATGACTTTGATATAAAAACAAACAGCATTAATAAAACTTTCTTAAAATGTTTGATTTGCATCCCCAACACTAGCACAGTGCCTGGCCTTTTAACAAAATTAGTTTTAGATGATAATTAGATGTTAGAAGTTAATAAAAGAAACAAGGAATTAATTAGTTTCTGACTCTTAGTATAAATACTTCAAGAGAATATACAGAAGAGAAATTACTGAAGCTATCTCTAGAAATCTCTAAAAAACAGATATAGGTATATTAATATATAACCTATTGATCTGGTCTGGACATTTATTAGATTCTACATATAAATAATAATGACTTATAAATTTATAATAAAAAGAATAAATGACTGTTTAACAAAATGCTTCTGGGGCAGCTAGGTGGCACAGTGGATAGAGTACCAGCCATGAAGTCAGGAGGACCCGAGTTCAAATCCAGCCTCAGACACATAACAGTTACTAGCTGTATGACCCTGGGCAAGTCACTTAACCCCAACTGCCTCACCCCAAAAAAAAAATGCTTCTCAGACTGAAGATAGCTCAAGGTACTTGATAAAGGAATAATGCAACAATGTTAGAATGCCTAAATTACCAGACTCAGATAATGAATAATAGTTAAGAACACATGGTATCTTCTAATTCTTTTTCTACTTCCACATGATCACCTGTTAAGGAAACTGAGGCCTAGAGTGGCTAAGTGACTCATCAGCAGTCATACAGCTAGTAAATGACAGAGCCAGCCCTATGCCTCCAAATTCTTTCCACTAACCTATACTGGACTTAAGCTTTTACAGAGAACGTTCTTAGGGAGATAAACTAAGAGGAAACCAAACAATACAATTAGCTCCTCCCTAAAATGTACAGCTTTTTCTAGCTTCTAGTTTTCTCCATCTCTAATAAACAGAAGACACAAAGAAGAGCACTGTCTATGGATTATAAATACTGAAAATCATATTCCTCAGCAATTTATGCATTTGATATCAAACAAAATCAATTAATCGCATTACCTTTCACGGTACAATGTCTGAGTCTCTGTTGAAGAGATTTATATTTATCTCTTAAAGGTACTCTTATATCTTCAGAATTGGGAAAGGCTTTCACCAAAATTTCTGCTACCTATGCAAAAATAAATTTATCTTAGTTCTATGGGCAAAAAAATAACAACAAAGGCAAAGTCTTGCAAAGTTCCAGCACCCAATGAGCTAAAAGTTTTACCTTTCTGGTAGGTGGAAGTTCTCCAATAAGACTCAAAATTATATCCTGGACAAGTTCTTCAATATTCATAAACCTAGAGAAAGGTAACATTCTACATGCCCATTCCAGCGCACTGAGACAGTGCTCTACCATACAAGAATCAAACTCCAACTTCATATCCTAGAGAGAAATTAACAGAGAGGGAAATAATTCTGGAAATATTTTTCTCCATTCAGTAAAATCATCTTAAAATAAGATTAAGACCATTTAGAGTAATTTCACAAAACAATCTGATGAATTCAACGTCACCACTATTATTTTACTATAAATATGAATACCTTTTTCTTTTCCACATTTTCTCTTGCTATTTGATATCGTCTGCAGCTGTATGACAATTTTTCCCGGACATGAAGCATCCAACACAGAGCACAGAGTTCTCTAAAGCAACCTGAATCAAAAATAGTTAAGTAACTGACAAATATTAGTCAATATATACTCATGTCTTTGTATTTTAAAGAGATATACAGAAATGTCCCAAAAGTCTTAGTGCAGTTTTAAGCTGCTAAAGCTTTAAAGTGTGCTGACTTTTTTTTTGGGGGGGGGGACTAGGCAATGAAGTTAAGTGACTTGCCCAGGATCACACAACTAGTAAGTGTCAAGTGTCTGAGGCCAGATTTGAACTCAGGTCCTCCTGACTCCAGGACCAGTGCTCTATCCACTGCAACACCTAGCTGCCCCCTTAGTGACCATTTTCTAGGAGAGGAAACTAAGTCCCAAAGAGGGGAAGGACATAGCCAAGGTCACAGAGGTAGCAATAATAATACTTAGCATTTTGAGGTGCCCCCCGTGTACTAAGGCATTTTGAGGTGCCCCCCGTGTGCTAAGACTTTTGAGATACCCTGTAAAAATACACACATTATGTAATATCCATTAGATCACCAAATAAGCTCTAGTGAGTTCACCAGATAAGGAATTCCCAGTACCAAGGCAGATTAACATTCTGTAATTTACAGTCATAGAGAATTGTCTGGGGAATTGCAAGATGCCTTTGCTCAGGGTCACAGACAGTATGCCAGAGGCAAGCCTTCAACCTACTTCTTCTTGACTCTGAGGACCAGCTCTCTATTTATTACCCCATGCTGCCTCTTTTTGTTGTTCTTACTGTTGTTGAGTCATTTCAGTCATGTCTGACTCTTCGTGACCCCATATGAGGTTTTCTTGGCAAAGATAGTGCCATTTCCTTCTCCAGATCATTTTACAGATGAGGAACTGAGGCAAACAGGACTAAGTGACTTACCTAGGGTTACACAACTAGTAAGTGTCTGAGGCCAGATGTGAATTCATGCCAAAAGATAGACATGTGTAGAGATGAACATGAAAAAATATTTTTTAATCTTAAAAAAAATACAAAATTAATAGTTATAACCAGTTTCCTCATTTAAAAAATGAAAGGGTTGGACTAGATAATTTTCCAACTGAAAATTCTAAAAATTCATTTAAGTATCACCTAAAGCATAAACCGTATTATTCAAACCACAATCACCACCACTATTTAATGGCATAAGACCCAAATTGCAGAAACTGTGGCCTCAAAATATGTACATACCCTTGAGTGCTGAAATTACAAATTCAAAGTCCTAATATAAAAATAGTAACCAAATTTTAAAATACTTTTGAATAGTGCCAACATAAATTCCTGTTATAAAATATGAAATACAAAAATACATGCACAAATACTTTGACATACAAAAGATGCTCTATTCTATTATTTTAAGAGGTTGTTTGTTTTTTTTTAAATCTTGGAAAGTCCCTTATCACATGCAATGATTTAAGCCCAAATTAACTTATAAATCATTAAGCTCATAGTGTTACAAACCTATCGTTTTACAAGAAACTTCATCAAGCTTTTGGTCTTCAGGGGCTCCAGGTCGATAGAATGCCATACCAACTTTACAATAATGAAGCAAAGACTCTGGAAAAGGACTTAATAAAGGAAGGGAGCCTTTAATTCGAATCTGAAAAGAGAAAAATGATTAAAAAAAATTAATTTTACGAGAATTTAGAAATCACTAGTACATTAGATTTCACAAAAACCATTGTGGGCCTAGGCAAATATGGGGGGGGGGGAACAGGAATAACTAGGTAACTGGACCAGAAATTTGTAAAACCAAAGCAAGGTTTGTTGAGTTCACCAGTGAGGGTGCCTCTCCCACTTGGGCAAAGTCACACCATTCAGGGAGGGAGCAGTGCTTTTTATATGGCTGGAGAGGAGTGGGGATAGGGTAAAAGTTGATTGGTTAAGGTCTATATCACTGGGGCTCAAGGTTAATCTGTTTCAGGATTAGGGGTTTCTTCATAACAGGATACAGGGGGCTAGGCTGTTTCTCAGAACAGGCTGCATAACAGATATCATGGCATGTCCTACTTTGGGTTACTTGCATCGTAACAGACACATGGGAGACTAGAGATACAAAAGGGTGAACAAAATGGAGTAATTCTCAAAATGGATAAACACGTTATTTAATCAAATAGAAAAGAAAATGAGACTATGATAAAATTTTGTCATAGCCATACAGTTAAAATCTTTCTGGAATCAGTTATACTTTAAAAAACCTACCTTATCATTTAAATCATTCTGAAGCTTGCATGTATCTTTAGAGAGGAAAAAAGTGTCTAAGTAAATCACTTAACTTCTCTTATTTTTTCACCATCTCTAAAACAAGGAAAACATTATGTATTCTCAGCTTTCTCTAAAGTAAAACAGAAAAGGCTGAAACTTGTAAAGCCTTCTGACCTCTAGGCCTGGTTTCTCAATGAAATCAACATCATTTCCTACTTACTGTTTATAAGCATGATTTATCAGAGGGCAGCCTAGTGTGTGGTTCAAGTCCTGTTTCTGACACTCCCAGCTGTGTGCTCCTGGGTAAGGCCTCTGACATCTCAGGGCACTAGCCAACACACTAAAACTATGAGGTGCAGAGATAAACTACATTTGTAGAACACACCTCCAGATGACAGATGAAAACACAGATCTAAGCCCGAATTGCCAGGTCTGGTTATTTTTTAATAGTCCTAGACAGATCAGGTGATTGTTCTGTACATGTCAGCCCATGACCTAAAGAATTCCACATAAGCTTATGGCTGATCATATAAAATTTTTAAGAAAAATTAACAAAATCCATCCCAGTCCTGCTCTGCAAAATGTGCAAAAAGGTCTAATATGTTTTTATAACTTATTTTAAACCTGTCTGATACTGCTTCATACATATGTGAATGTGGGGCAGGAAAAGCTGACTGGCCATCAGTCATCTCACCCAGAAACAAAGGAAAAAGGGGATGTCTTGGGCTCCTTTTTTTTTTTTTTTTTTTAATTTGGCAATATTTTAATTTACTACATTTATAAACATATACATTACATGCTACAAAAAATTTTTTTAAAAAAAGATTTTTAACTCAAGAAAGTGTATAGTGTTATAATACAATGGTACATGTTTATATTTTGTTTCTAATTGGTTTGCTTATCACCCTTTCCAAATCATTAACAGTGAAATGTTACTAAAGGACAATTAAAAATTATCTATTTCCATTATTAACAATTGGGCTCCTCTTTCACCAAGGACATTCCTATTTCTAGCACAGCCTCATATTAAATTGGACATTTACTAGGGGCCTCTAAACAGGTAGTCAGAGTTTTGTGCTAAGTGTTGGGGACACTAATAAAAATGACAAAGTTTCCCCATCCTCAGGGAGCTTCAAATCTAGCCTCCATATGGTGAGCACGCAAGCAAGCAAGCATGACAAGTGACCATTTCAGAAGGCAAGAGCTCCAACAGAAAAGACTGACTCCACAAGTGAGACACTGAGCCAGACTCCTGCTCTACTTCAGTGTAAAAATAACTGAGACAGCCATAAAAGAAGGAACAGGATGATGCGAAAGTTGTATCAGTCAAGATGGTAAAGACAAACAGCAGGGCCAAGGGTGAAGGTGACATTACCTTTTGCATCACTTTTCTTGCCCATCTCAATTTTAAGATGTACCACTGAGCTGCGGGAAAGGAGCAACAAGCTGCCCGGAAGAGCAGAAGGATGCGCTGAAGGATGCCAGACACCTTCTGGCGATAATCCTTCTCAGCTTTTAATAGGAGGTCATCACCATGGTCCTGAGAAAAGCAAAGTAAAAAGAGGAAATATATCACATTTGTAAATGAAGGGAAACGAACAACCATTTATTAAGATCTTTATTATGTGTGAGGCACTGCGTTAAGGGCTTTAAAAAACATTATTTCATTTCATTAGGGAATCAATCAAATAAGGAATATTAAAAGTTAAAGCAAAAAAGAAAGAAAGAATGATATTTAATGGCCCTCAAACTGAAAAGTTACTAAAGAATTACAAGGGGGAAGACAGCACAATCAACATCAATCCTCATGCTTCAGGGAGACACTGTCATGGCTCTTAGGGACTCCAGCTGCTGCTATTTCATGAGGATCCCACATTTGCTCTTCTTTCCAGAGCAGTACAGGGACACATCTTTCTGATACCATTTTCCCCCATGCTTAACAAAATGGTACAGTATCTCTATATTGGGGCAGGGAATGCTAAGGAAATTAGATGAAAAGCAGCATAGAGTAATGGATAGTGTGCACTTCTTCAAGTCAGGAAAACCTAGATTCAAATCCTGTTTCTGACACTGGCTGTATGACCTAGGACAAGTCTCTGATAGTTTCAGTTCCTCATCTGTAAAATGAGGGTGATGATAAGAGCACCTGCCTCAAAGGAGTATTGTGAAGATCAAATAAGATAATGCCTGTAAAGCATTCTGCAAACATGCTATATAAATACAAGCTATTACTATGATGATGATGATGATGATGATGATGAGAGGTACAGCAGAGATCATGGCTTCACTCAGAGAAATTGGAGAGTGAAAAATATGATAAGGTCAGTATCTAAACAGGCAAAGCACAAGATTTCCAAAACATTTTAGTGTAGTTTCTAACTACAAAAATCAATATAACTATAAAGTCAGATGACAGAGAAAATAACTATTGAGGACCTAAAATTTACTTTGTATCAGCTCTTCCATTTATTATCATAAGCAAACTTCCATACCTATTCACTTTATATACTTTATATTATAATACACTTCATAAAATATTCTTTTTTTTTTAGGCAATTGGGGTTAAGTGACTTGACCAGGGTGTGTCAAGTGTTTGGTCTGAGGCCAGATTTAAACTCAGGGCCTCCTGACTTCAGGGCCAGTACTCTATCTACTGCACCACCTAGCTGCCCCAATGATATTCATTTTTAAGAAAACTCTAAAAACAAATAGCAAGGGCTTGTATTCAAAGAGAAGGTAGAAAAATAAAACCTTCCAGAATTTGTTTTTCCATTTAAGATTCAAAAATTTAACAAATGTGTACAAAATACTGTCTAGAATATTGAAGAATAAAGACAAGATATAATAGTTACTGTCTCAAAAATAAAATAAAATTTCCATTTTGATATGAACTTTACTGTAAAAGGGATGAGGTAGTTTCCATATTTAAAATAGACATGGATAATACTAAGATTTTCAGTAAGGATGGAAAAAGACAAAATCAAGATCCATGATTAGAATAACAATGAGACACAGCTTGGTTTATGGAAAGAACACTGGACCCCAAGGAGATTAAAAAAAGAGAAAAAGGGCCCAATGTACAAAAATATTTGTATGTTATTTTTGTAGTAGCAAAGAACTGGAAAATTAGGGAGTGCCCATATATTACAGAATGGATAAAGAAATTATGGTAAATTAATGTAAGATTATTGTGCTGTAAAAAAGGTATGAAATAGTTTCAGAGAAACTAGGAAAGACCTGCATGAATTGAAGCAGAATGAAGTGCAAAAAATCAGGAAAACAACTTATATGTTAATGATATCATAAAGGGAAACAACTTTGAAAGATCTGAGAATTCTGATCAATATAATGACCACCTACAAAACTAGAAGCCTGATGAAGCAGCATGTTGCTCACTTTTTGACAGAGAGGTAATGTACTCACATGCAGAATAAGTCATACATTATCAGGCACAGCTGACGTGGACGTTTATTTTACTTGACTCTGTGTGTGTGTGTGTGTGTGTGTGTGTGTGTTTTAAAGAGCTTTTTTCTTCCACAAAGGGTCAAAAGTGCAAGTAGGGACAGGAATAGAGTAGCAATAAAAAGAGAATCACTGAGACCACCATAATTCCAGAGAAACTATGATGAAATGTACTGCCTACCTGCTGAAAGAGAGATAACAAACTCAACTTGCAGACTGAGACACACTTTTTGGACATGACTAATGGAGGAATTTGTTTGGCTTGACTATGTATATGGAAGGGGGAAAGAAGGAAGGAAATAAAATAAAATTTTGTTCAATAAAATTAGATTAAATTTTGAAAAGGTCAGCAATGCATATTTTTTAAAAAGCAGAGGAGAAAACAGAAGGCCAGAAAGAAACAGACAAGCGGACAGTTTGGAAAGCTGTTCATTAAACTGACTATATATTTTAAAAGAAAATTAAACTATACATTAATTTCTCAGAGAAGAGGGAACACAAGAGGGACAAAATGATGAAAAAGTTCTACTACGTATTATTTTAAACAATCAATCTAATACAAGAAAAAAAGCCTTTCAAAATAGGCAGAGCAATAACAAATAACAGATTAGAAGTATTTATTGTATACTTCTGTATCCAACACATTGGAAGTATTTTGGGGAATTTCTCAAATCCAATTCTAATTTGTTTTGTGACAATAAACACAGAGAGCTATACTGTTTAATTACTTAATAGGAATGTTACATGAAATTACTTTTTCTCATTTGTAAATGGTTTAAAAGATTTTATATATTTCAAGACACAGTTTTTATTATGGTTTTCTTCCTAAAAACCTTGCAGGAAACAAACCCTGCACCTCTTATACCTATGGCTAAGGGCAAATTTTAAACTACTAAAAACAGAGGCAATTACAAAAGACAAAATAACTTCAATTATATGGAATTGAAAAGATTTTGCATGAACAAAATTAATATAACTAGGATAATAAGAAAAAAATTTTTGTATCAAATATCTCTAATAAGGATCAAATATCAAAGATACATATGAAACTAACAGAAATATGTAAGACCAAAAGTCATTCCCCAATAAATAAGTGGTCAAAGGATATGAACAGTTCTCAAAAAGACTACAAAACTATGAATAATCACATATTAATGGATAAATAAAACTAATACTCAAATCACTAACAACAAAAGAAATGCAAATCAAATAAACCCTAGAGTTTCATCTCATATCCAGTAAATGTGCCAAGATAACACAAGAGAGGACTACTCAATGCTACAAGGGTTGTAAAAAGACAGGCGTACTAACGCACTATTGGCAGGGCTGTGAAATGGGACAACCAATCTGGAAAGCAACTTAGAATTATGAAAATTAAGTGACTAAACTGTCTATACCCTTTGATTCTGATATTCCACTATAGGATATACCCCAAGGAAGTTAGTGGCAATAAGAAAGGCCTCGTCAATAACAAAATATTTATAGAACCACTTTTTTTTTTTAAGCAGAGAAGAATCCGAAACAAAGTAGTTGCCCATCAACTAGGGAATAGCTGTGGTATACGAACCTAACAAAGCATTATTGTGCTGAAAGAAACAATGAATATGACGAAGAGAAAAGTAAAGGAAGACTTTTATGAACTGGTACGAAGTGAAATAAGCAGAAACAGGAAAATAATATACACCATGATTACAACAACAAAATAATGGAAACTGAATACCGCAAAATTACAACAACCAAGCTTGCCCCAAAGAGAGAGAAGGTAGCACTTCCCTCTAAATCTTTGCAGAGGTGAGGTATGCGTGTGGAACACTACATACAATGTGAGATTCTTTCAATATGCTGATTATTTTTTTCTGAACAGTCTTTTTCCCCCTTTTTTACTTTGTGTCATATGAGATGGCTCTCTGGGAGTAAGGAAGAGGGGATACATTGGAAAGCAAAGAAGATATAAAAATGAAAAATAATTTATTTTAAAATACAATGAAATAAAAATGGACAGGATAATTGATTTTCAAAGTATTTTAATTTTTAAGCCATCCTACTTACCTCACTAAGAACAGCTGGCTGAGGACAATATAATGGAGGAGAGGGAAGATACAAGCCCATAGGTACTAAGCCCCATAACCTCTTACTGAAGTCTTTGGCTGAGTCTATCAAAAGCTGAAAGGTCTCCGAAAGAATATCAGCATCAGCCATAACTGCTGCTCTCAATACTTCCTGTATGGAATTAAAAAGTAGATCTACATCTTCTTCTTCAATGGGATCTATAAAATGGGAAAACAAATATTAACAATAGCATTTTATAACCATTAATTTGTGGAAACTGATAAATTTCAAAGCTAAACATCTAACTTTTTACAAGTTAACTCTCAAGCATAAATATACTTACATACAAGTAGTTAAAATTACATATTAAGTGTCTACTGTATGCCAGATACTTTGCTAAGCAATAGGGACACAAAAACAAAGAGAAGCAAAAATTGTAGTCCTTGCCCTCAAGAAGCTCACATTTAAAGAGGGGAGACAACGTTCATGCAAAATATATACAAGTGGAAGGTAATCCCAGAAAAAGGCACTAGCAGCAAGGGAAATCAGGATTTGAGATGAATCTGAAAGGACCAAGAAACCTGAGAGTTGCAGGTGAGCATCCCAGGCACGGTACACCAGCACCAACTAGTCAGATTTGTTTATTTGTTTGTTTTGTTTTGTTTTTTCCTTGTCTAAGACACTTTTTAAATTTTTTTAAATTTTATTTATTTTGATTTATCAATAATCACTTCCATATGTTTTGAGTTTAAAATTTTTCTCCCCCTTCCTCCCCACCACCCTCCCCAAGATGGCTCACAATCTGATCTAGGCTCAACATAGTCAGATGTTAAGAGGGATGCGTGAGAAACACCAAGGAAGATAGCACTGCTGGTAGATAATAGAGGGAAGTAGAGTCCAAGGAGATTGGGAAGGTAGGAAGGAGCCAAGTGGCAAAAAGCTTTAAATGGCAGAGGTCTTTATGTTTGGTCTGGAGGATCAGTGGAAGTCCCTGGAATTCAAGGAAGGGCTGACATGTTTATGCTCCTACTTGAGAAAAATCACTTTGGCAACTGAGTGGAGGATGGACAGAATGCACAGACCAGCCAGGGAGACCGACCAAAAGGCAGCTGTGATCACACAGGCGTGTGACAACGAGGGCCTGCACCAGGATGGCTGGCTATGTGACTTAAGAGGAAAGTTATATAAAAGATGTAGAGAAGGGTGATGATAGACTGGATATACGGAGTTGATGTGAATGCAGAATCAAGGAAGACACCTAGGTTGGGGGCCTGAGTGAATGCAGGATCAAGGAAGACACCTAGGTTGGGGGCCTGAGTAACTGGGAAGATGGTGGTCCCCTTGACAATAAAATAGAAGTTGAGAAGAGGGGAGCTATGAAGAAAAGATAATGAATTCTGTTTGAGGCATGTTCAGTGTGAGATGACAATCAGAGATCGTCCAAAAGGCAGCAGGTGGTAGAGACTTCTTGTTGTTGTTATTTGGTCATTTTGGTCATGTCCAATTCTTCATGACCCCATTCTTGGAGGTTTTCTTGGTGAAGATACTGGAGTGGTTTGCCTCTGCCTTCTCCAGGTCATTCTACAGATAAGGAAACTTAAGTAAATAGGATTAAGTGACTTACCCAAGGTCACACAGCTAGTGTCTGAGATCAGATTTGAACTTGAACTTTCCTAACTCCATGCACAGCACTCTGTCCACTGTGTCACCTAGCTGCTCCAAGGAGACTAGGGCTGTGTGTGTGTGTGTGTGTGTGTGCACGCGCGCGCGGGTGTACATGTATAAAAATAAATCTAGGAATCATGTGAATAGATCACTAAACCCATAGAGCTGAAGAGATCACCAAGTAAAATCCAAAGGGTCCTCTGCCTCATCAGGTATTTAGATATTTTCCTTTGTCATGCAATATTTATTCATAGATATGTGGACTCTTTTAGATAATCTAAAGGCCATATTCCTTTAGGCCCCACATCTGTTCTTCTATTCCTCATTTCTTTAGCTAAGTACTGTTGTAGCTGTGAGCCCTTCCAAGCTGCAGTCCAGGCACAGCAAGCATCTCTGCCTTCTGGTCTTTCTTAGCAAAGGGGAGGGGATGAAGGGAGATGAGTGGGAGAGGCAAAGCACTTGTTTAAGAAGGTGGGGGAAGGTATGGTTTGAGGAGGGATGAAAAGCTGCTGCGGTGAGATAGGGAATTGATTAAGGAGGAGCAAAAAAATCACTACATCATAGTAATGTCCCAGTTAAGATTATATAAAATCAATTTGTCATGAATACTGAACAGTTTCATAGTTTTCCCCATTATTTAGAAGCAAGTGACCAAGAGTGAAGGCAGTAGTTGTAGGAGTAACATAAGAATGAGGCTTGGCAGGGTAAGATTCCAATAAGAGATCGGGAGACTAGAGACAAGAGCGCAGGGTAGAACAGGTTCAATAAGATGTCAGGACGGGCATTACAGGGACAGCCAGTGCAGGAGTTATGACCTGGAAAAGAACTGAAGGATAGAGGCACCAGAGGCTACAGGAAAGACAAACAAGTTTAGGGGTTGTGAGGCAGGGGTAGAATTACAACACATTATAATCAGATAGAGGAATCCCTGAGTTCATGAACATGAAAGTGGAATATTTGCATATAATAGCAAGAGCAAAGTTATGACCATTTCTACAGCGGAAGTGAGGTGGAGAGATAGGTCACGGGAAAAGAACAAGTCAAGGAATTAGGAAGTAAAGGTGTTTGAGAGAGTATCAAGATGTATGTTGAGGTCCTCTGGTATGAGCACAGGAGTTGGGGAGAAGAGAAAGACTGTGAACCAGGCAACGAATTCCTTGAGGAAGGAGGGAAAGTGTCCTGGAGGGTGGTAGATAATGCCTACTAAAATCCTGACTGAATGATAAATAGGGGCTGAATGACCCTTAAAGGAGTCAGGTTACTGAGTGCAAGTGGTAAAGGAGCATGGTGTGTATTCCTTGCATCTCCAGTGCATAAATCCTTCTCCATGAAGGATTATTGGAAAAATACAAACGAGAAACACACAATAGTAAAAGTATAAAGGGATTGTAACGTACATACATAAAAATAGGGCCCACAAAAATATCATAGATCCATCAAGGCCTCAAAGCATGTTTTGAATCTTAATCAGTTTGGGAGAGCTCAGGTGTTTAAATTACAAGTATTGTCTACTCTTTTCAGACAATAAAATTAAGGTGTGGTTCAATCTGTGGACACATAAGTCTTTTAGAAATAGCATGAAAGAATTTACATAAATTAACACCAAATGACAGGCACCATACCTGTAAACTGCTTGTATTTAGGACCCAACTCATTAGCCACTTCCAAAGATGCTGGCTGACCTAAAAAACACTGTAGTTTTTCCTGAAAAATTCGTGTTGGAGTCATGTTTAATGGTAGAGTTAAGTCCTTTTTCTTACACCTTAAATCATTTGGGAAAGGAAAACAAAGGGAAAAGTCAATCCTATTCTGGAAGAAGTGGAAATTCCAAGATTTATTACACATCTTTAATTTATAAAAAGAGTTATATATAATAAAACAATAGATATTACAAATATAGCACATTACTATTTAACAAGTTCCTTGCCTAAAACTATACTTTAAGAAATAGATAGTGCAAATATTGTTATTCTTGATTTATGATTAAGAAAAATGAGGCATAAAAAAGTTCACAAACATGTTTATGGCTTCATGACTAATAGTATAGGAACTGGGGCTAAGAGCCCAGTTTTTAGAATTCACCATCTGGTACTCCTTCCAAAAAACTATACTGTCCTTCTCACGTTCAGATATCAAATAAATATCTACAATCAAAATACATTATTCAGAATTTTAAAAACAATAGAACACAAACCACTTTAACTGACTACTTTATAACCTCAATTAAAGAAAAGAATGAGAACATAATGGATTACTTTCAACTTCTATATGAAATGTACAGGTCTGTTTTTAATCTTTGAAAATATTAAGTGGCCCTTTAAAGGTAAGTATTAATTCAAAATAAATACTTCTGGAAGTGACAAAGTTACTATATGAAATGCAAATAATACTAATAACAAAAATTAAACTCTCAAAATTATGACACTAGTGTGGTAACTGTGAACTTAAACATATTTGAAAAATACACACCTTGATAAATTGCTGTTACTTTTATAGCATAATTTGAAGGCTAAACCAATTGAAACAGCCATCTTCCAGTCACCAAGTCTGTGAGCAAGCCACACAGCCTCTGGGACCAGACCAGCGATAAACAGCAATTCAATAGCATATTCAACTGTCCATAGAGAAGAGAGGTTTTGATCTCTAATAACACTTGCCACCTTAGAATGTTGTAGAGGAATGATTCGAACAGACTGTTCTGTGAACAAATAAAGAAAAGGAGGAAATATAAAATTTTAAGTGTATTTATAAAACAGCTTGGAATTTTTTAGGATAACAGCATGCTTCCTTAAATGTCTATGTTGACCTCTCCAACTAGCTAATTCATTCAGTCTTCTCAATACAGTCCCAAACTGTTTGGGGTTATTTGGCTGGGGGGGGGGAAGCATGTGAGGTTTTGATTTTTTGGGTTTGTTTTTTTTTAAAGAATGAAACCACTTTATTTAGTTTTCTTGAGATCCTAGGCTGGCTTCTTTAAAACAAAGCCACAGAAATCCAAAGGACCCAAACAGACTTGAGAAATGATACTTAACAAATTCTAAAAGTTCCTTTTCACTACCTATGTGAATGGTACAGATAAAAATGAAAATACCTGGATTTGACTCACTGATGAAGACTCATTTATACAATAGTTTAAATCAATCAACAAATATAAAACTGTCTCCACACAGCCTTGTGGATTTGAAGTTAGTGCCCTAAAAGCTTATTTAGTATAGCCTTCTTGGAGCTTTTATCCCAAAGGCGCTTGACATCCTAGGAGTTGAGAATCACGTTGGAGTTCTGATCAAAGAATTGGTATCACTTATTTTTGTCTACAGTATTCTCAGTCTTTTCTCTTCTTTCTTTCCCACACTCAATTCTGATCCTTACCTATTTTTCAAGACTGAGAGAACACAGAGAGGGGAAACTAAGGGCAGAGAAAACAAATGTAAATAACCAAAACTAGATTCTTTTGTTAGTCCCTACTCAGACCTCCAATCAGTATAACATGTCAGGCTTCCTGATGACAAATCCTATGTCAGAGGCTCTACAGACAGCCTGACACAGGAGCCCAAGGCCAAATACCCTAGGCTTCCCTAAGGATGCAGCATCCCAACGAGACCCAAAAAAGCCAGAAGATGAGGCTTTTTTTGTCTTTGGCCACTCATACCCATGGTTCCTGAGTGGATGACGTGTTTTTCTGCCCCAATAAGAAAAGAGGTTGTATTAACTGGAAAAGGCTCCTTCAATATCTGGAGTTCTGCTTGCCAAAGGGGTGGAGCCAAACAGGGTTATTCCTGGCTAGGATCATAGCACTCAGAAGCCTAGTAGCCTACACCGGGCACAACAGTTCACATGCCAGCATTACACCCTGTCCTGTTATGTCTATGGCTTAAACTCGTCACCTAATCTTTCTACTTCTACCTGTAGACTTTACTTACTGCTTAGCTCCCTTTTACTTTTCTCAAATCTAGCCACCTATAGTCTGACTAACAGTGCTCACTATCTTGTTACTTACCTAACTCTCTAAATTCACCTAAGTTCATTGCCCATAGCTTCTGGTTATCTAAGCCAGGACAGAACTTCTTTCTAGCTTCAACAAGAGAAAAAGAATTAAAAGCATAAATAGGGTTGGGGAACCTGTAGCCTCAAGGCCACATGTGGCCTTCTAGGTCCTTGGGTGAAGCCTTTTGACTGAGTCCAAGTTTTACAGAACAAATCCTTTTATTAAGGGGATTTGTTCTGTGAAGTTTGGATTCAGTCAAAGGGCCACACTTGAGGACCTAGAGGGCTACATGTGGCCTCGAGGTTGCAGGTTCCCCACCCCTGGATAGGACCTGTGCCTGAAGAAAGAAGTCACCAATGAAGGAGAAAAAGGATACAAAAAGGGGATTCTGGAACTACTAAAGACAATCATTACTGACCTAAAAATTTTGCCTATGATTTGTTTTATGTTCAAATGTGTAAGGACAGCTGATTCGTATTCAAAGACAGCAAGTTCCCTATACCAATGAAATCAGAGACTTGGTCTTATTAAAAAAAACTACCAAATACAACTTGGCACTTTTTTTCTACAGCTCTTAGCAACAATTTGTTCTCAAATTGTCAACTGTTCAAATGTACCACCACTGGACAAGCCAGTTAATGTCTCTGAGCCTCAGTTGCCTTATCTAGATAATGCTTCTTAAATTGTAGGTCTCGACCCACAATTTAAGAAGTGCTGAAAGGGTCACGAGTGGAAAAATATTAAGAAGCCCTGATCTAGAACATGAAGCAGTTGGATCAGATGAATTCTCAGGTTCCTTGAAATTCTAAGATCCTATGTCCTAAATCTCTTTCATGATAAGAACAAAAGTAAACTTCAACTGAGTACCTTGCTAAATGATCACAAATTTTTAAAATGTGGAATCGAATAAATGCATGAAACTCTGCTGTAATACTTCTGAATGTATATCTGTATATATGTACAGCAGTTCTATTTTAAATAGTCACAGAAACCACAGAATCCCAAAAGTGAAAATGAAGTCAGATATCATTTCTGTATGAAGGCTCTCATGACGGGGTGAGAGGCAGAAGGAAAAGGTTGTTATATTTATTCCATAAACAATTATTTCAAAAGGCGTCAACAAAATTTTACTTAAAAAAAAAAAAGAATATCTGTACAACATTGATGACAAATAAAGCTTGTCCAGGTTCTGCCAAAAAACATCCAGTAACAGGAATCCTTATGAATATCAATTACCAAAAAGAGATGACAAAGTATCTCCAGTAAATGAAAGTAGAAGCTGATTTTACTGGCATTCTCATGTTACGAAAGTCAGCTCAATTCAAGCTAGAGAACTATCTTTAAGTGCCGTCAATCAAGCAGAAGCATAATTTAAAGTGTTATATCTGAGAACAATAAAGCATTGTTTGAGCTAAGCCCAATTAAATACTATTCTTTCAATAAAAATACCTGATTCTATGTGAAGCGGAGGAAGAACACCCACACTGTGAGGTGGGAGAACATAAAGCTGCTGGTTGGTGAAATAGGCAGCCATGAATCGAGCCATGCACTGAACAACCACAACTGCAGCCTCAGGATGAATATTTCCAATTATTCCAAAACCACAACGAAAACTCTCTGAAAAAGCAACAAAAACATAAGTAAAATGAGGAGACTCTGAACGAACCAGCAGAAAAGTGTCAAACATCAATCTATCAACAATTCTTCACGTATGGAACTATACACTATACTAAAATCCAGGAGGAAAAAAACCAAAAAGACGTAGTTGGTGATTATGTCTTGGTGTCTAACCTTATAGCTACCTGGAATGTTAAACTAACTCAAGTATTAAAATCAGAATAATTTTAAAATACAAAGAGTCTCACAACATAATTCTAGTGATGCAAAAATTATAATCTTAGCAATTTTTTTTTAAACTACAAAAAAAAAGCACTTAAAAAACTCCAGAATACTACTGGCAGGCATTAAAAAACCTGAGAATTAATACTAATCCCAAATAACCATACTAAAATTCAGGTTTTAAAAACATATAAGATGTATATCACACAGCTAAAATATAAAATTCAATCTCATTTCCCAAGAAGTAAATTTAATATGTAGATCATTGTATGCAATAGCATGTACTGTAAAATAAGTGGAAGTTATAATCTTCCTAACATTACTAACTGCTCAATTTTGTCATATCAAGTTGGAAGAGATGGGAAGGAACCATTAGTTTCTTCAGATTTGAAGAGGAAAGAACTAAAGTGCCCAAATAAGAATGTATCTCGTATAAAATATATTGCAGTTTCGTCTCACTTATCCTATGGTTAATATTCATTTAACTCTCAAGTCCTCTCAAGCTATTATCCTTTAAACTCTATTCTCTTTTATAGCTAGAAGTTGTCTAGTTATCTTTGCTTATTTGTTCTCTCCTCTAACTCACTTCTCAACCTTCTGTCATCAAGCTTCTGACCTCATCCCTCTCTTAACTGCCAAATCCAGAGGCCTTCTCTTAGTTCTCATTCTTCTGATGTTTCTGTAGCATTTGACCCCACTGCTCTCTCTGGTTTTGCTTTGATTGATATTTCTTGGTGTTCTTACCTATCTCCTTTACAGGATCATCATCTATTTCCTGTCCCCTAACTGTGGCTTCAGCCACTGTTCTGGGCTTTGTCTTAAGCCCCCTTCTCTTCTTTCTTCAAATTCTCTTTTAGTGACCTCATCAGCTCCCACTGGTATAATTATCTCTAGGCACATGATTCCCAGATCTATAGATCCTGCCCTGGCCTCTCTCCTGAGCTTTAGTCCAGCACCACCAACTACCACTGGATGTCCCGTAGGCATTCTGCAAGCATACTAAGGTCCCCTCCTTTCCCCTCTAAGATAAATACTAAGAAATAGTTAATTTAGTATTCTTGATTTGAACCCAAACCTTATCTATTAATTATAAAATTACAAAGAACCAAATTGCTATCCTCAAGTCCTTGATTTTTTGCTTGTCAAGGCCTTATTAATCCAATCCTTAGGGACAGTTTGTACCAAATGAACAGATCCTGAGTTTTCCTTCAACAATGTCTCAAACTCAAGTCCAAAACCAAAAAAAAGACACCAATGATAAAGAGCACAAGTCAAGTCACTTCCCTGTAGTGGATCTTAATTAATTCTAGGATCAAATAGGAGCAGCTAGGTGGCGCAGTGGATAGAGCACCAGCCCTAAAGTCAGGAGCACCTGAGTTCAAATCCGGCCTCAGACCAAACACTTGACACTTACTAGCTGTGTGACCCTGGGCAAGTCACTTAACCCCAATTGCCTAAAAACTAAAAAAAAAAAAATTCTAGGATCAAATATAAACTATTCTATTTGACATTTAAAGTCCTTCGCAACCTGGCCACAATGTACCTTTCTAGCCTTATTATACAGAGTAGCCCAAACATCTTAGTGCAGTTTTATGCTATTAAAGCTTTAAACTGAACTAAGACCTTTGGGCTGTGCTGTATATTACTCCCTTTCTCACTCAATATGATCCAGTACAACCAACCTTTTTATTGTCTCTCATCCACAACTCTCCATATCTCCAGTCTACTTTTTTTTTCCCCCACTGGCTGTTCTCCATGCCCAGAATGTACTCTTCCTCATCACTGATCTTTAGAACCCACAATTTCCTTCAAAGCTCAGCTGAAGTGCCACCTTATACATGAAGCTTTTCCTTATTTACCTCCCCCTCCAAAAGAATCAGCTTGTATTTATCATTATGTATTTTGTTTATACTTATATAAATTTTGGATATGTATAAGTTGCTTCCTCAGAATGTAAGCTCTTTGAGGGCAGGGACCACTTCAACTATGTCTTTGTATCCTTCTCTCTACCCCTCTGCCTAGAACAGTACCTGGCACATAGGCTACTATGTATAAATAATAATAGAATTAATAAATGAATAAATGCTTGCTAATTAGTCATACTTTTAGTAACTTCAGCCATTCAGAAGAGAACCTAGGATTGAACAATAACAAAAATATCATAAGACACAAAGATCATATATTAAACCAATGTAGAAATTCATGACAGTCTATATCAATGTCCTTTCCTTTAACTATTTACAATGTTTAGTTGCCAGTAGCTTCTAAATCAAGCTGAAATGCTTGCCATATGTTCCCATCATGATCCATTTTTCTAATTCTTCAAGTAAGCCTACCTCATTAACAAAGTTATTGTGCATTTATAACTTTCTACCTGCTTAGTGATTTAGTATTTAAATCTAACCCAAAGAACAAATCATTAAGTTACTTTGCGGCTTATATTAAGAAAAGAAAAATGGTGAGGACCTCAATAAGTCACTTTAATAAATGAAGAGCTACAGAAAAAAAAAAAGAAATGTATTAAAGAAGATATTTAGAATATTAACATGTATTCCTTTTGGAAAGAATTTAACCAATACTATGCAACCATGAAGATTTTCACCTCAGAAGAAAGGCATCAAGTTTTCAATACCAAACTTAGTCTAAAATTATATGCTTTGGACGCCAGCAAAATTAGATACATTCATATAAAAACATACCTGGAAAATATTCCTCTTCTTTGATAGACATTTGAGATTGTCTCAGAATTTCTCTTACCAACTGATCACACATTCCTTGAGCATCATTTAAATTATAACAATAGAGGTGACAATACAATTGAGCAAGATAATAGCGTGTCTGAAGAAAGCATGTCCTCTTTCCTCCTTGACCAAACGATAAAATGTTAAGCTTTCATTAAAAACAAAAAAAAATTAATAATACTTAGCTCTTCTTTAAGTTCTGAACAAGCTACAATCTACACCTCCAAGATTATTTTTCATTACTCCCCTTCAGTTGACATTTCAGCAAAACTGGCCTCCTTGCTACTCTCCATTCCCTGCTCTTTACCTTTTGCCATTCCCCAGTACCTGAAATGTCCTTCCTCCTCACCTCCCCCTCCCAGAATACCTAGCTTCCTTCAAAGCTCAGTTCATGTGCCATTTGTGATAGTGACACATTCTTAATGCCATTAGTTGTTAATGCTCACTCCCTCCTCCTGAAATTATCGTGTATATACTTATTAGCTTACATATTACACATAAGCTCCTTGAGATCACAGAAAGTTTTTCATTTTGTCTTTGTGTCAACTAGCATAACGCTTTGCACAAAGTAGACCTTTAACGTCTGACGGACCGAATTGGCTGGATTGCAATTATCCACATTTCAACAGATTCTACTTTATTTCACATAATGTCACGATAACTAATGTCCACCTATCTAAAGGTCTGATGAAGAGATTTGCACATCAGTATTAACTGTAGACCAATGATGACTCGGGTTTCAAATATATACAGGGTAGAACAAAAAGGTAAACAATGCAACTACCTGAAGGAACCATCCACCATGAAGCATTCTCAGGTAAAATGCTTTCTAAGTGGCCAGAAACAAGAAGCTCCTTCAGAGCAGGGATTGTCTTCTGCCCATTTTTGTATCCCCAATGCTTATTACAATGCCTGGCACATAGTAGGTTCTTAACAAATGTTTATTGATTGAATGATCGCCATTTAAAAGTTAGGAAAGCTCTTCTAAAACAGAACGCTTTTTGAAAAGACTCATGATGGAAAAGGCTGTTACATCCAGAGAAAGAACTATGGAGTCTGAATGTAAAAACAAAGCATACTACTTCCACTCTGGGGCAGTGGGGTTCATGGTTTTTCCCCTTTGTTCTGTTTCTACTTTCAAAACATGACTAATGTGTAAATACGTTTACTATAACTGCACATGTATAACCTATATCAGATTGCTTGCCATGTTGGGGAGGGGAGAAAGGGAGAAAGAAAAAAACTGGAGCTCAAAATCTTATTAAAAATGAATGTTGAGGGGCAGCGACATGGCACAGTGGATAGAGCACTGGCCCTGAAGTCAGGAGGACCTGAGTTCAAATCCAGCCTCAGACCAAACACTTGACACTTACTAGCTATGTGATACCCTGGGCAAATCACTTAACACCAGTTGCCCAAAAAAAAAAAAAAAAAGAATGTTGGAAATCATCTTTACATGTAATTGGAAAAAATAAAATACAATTTACAAAAAAACACAATAAAATAAAATAAAAAAATAAAAGAATACTTGTAGCCAGGAACAGACTACCCTATTGCCTCAGTCTAACAGTATGTATCACTAATACTTACAAATCATAAAGACCCCAAAAACCAATCCCTAAATTTCTACTTGATTTTTTTTTATAGAAATCTGCCTAGCAAAAGTATTTTGATTTTGCTTTTAGCATGGATGAACTTCTCTGAGCCAGGTTAGTGGACAGAAGTTTCACATCTTCCCAAAGAAGACAAAAAGGCTCAATGTGTAGTTCTTAGTCCTCATTTCTACATTTTTCCCGTTAAAGAAAGGTTACTTTATTTACAATCCCAATTTCTCTCCTTTTGAACATGTAATTGGGGTCATTGACAGATTCTGTCATTAACTAAAAAGATACAAGAACTTTACTTATAGATGTAAGATACACTGAGATTAAATTTTAAAGGACACCTTTTTGACAACTAGTATGAATCAATCTTCTATTATATCTAGGCATTAAAAATGCTTCCAGCACTGTGAAATCTGGAGTTATTTTTAGTGAATTAGCAGGCTCAGTAAATCAAATGACATATTTAGTACCCTCTAAATTAGCAAGTATTGTTTCTTTTTTAAATTAAATTTTATTTTAAAATCAGCATTTTCTCCCTCCCACTTTCTTCCTCACACCCACCTCCCACAAACTGAGAAAATAAGAACAAAACCTCTGTTACAAAAACAATGCAAAACAAATCCCTGCACAGTTATGTCTCCAAAAAATATGTCTCAATTAATACTCTAAATATTTTCTATCAGGAGATGAATACAATCCTAAGTTCTCTGGAACTGTGGTTGGTCATTGGGCAAGTATTTCGGGGGGACAGTACCATTACCTATTGCTTTGGTTTCTTGTAGTGCTTTCTTCCATAGCTGAACAGATTCTTCATATGATCCCAAAAGAAAGTATTCCTCACCTCAAAAAAAATGAATGCCAATGATCACTAACATTGTTAAAAACTCTTCTGCTGGTAAGGAAACAGTTTCACAAAAATATCACTAGTGATACTATAAATTTCTTTCCATTAAGATTTTAAGACAGTCAACATTTACAAGTACCATATAACTATTTATAGCCTTTGACCCAGTAAGGCTACACTGGGAAGAGATGCCAAAGAAAAATAACCACCAGAGAGAAAAAAATAATTTGTCCAAAGATGTTCACGGCAATACCATTTATAAGAGCAAAACAAAAACTGGCAATAATCCAAAACCCCATGGGGAAAAGCTCAGCTGATTTTGAAAAATAAGCATCTTGATGATGTTGAATGGACATATGACTTTGGGCAAGTAACTGCTTCTGTCCAGGTTTCAGTTTTTCTATCCATAAAATGAGAAAACTGGAAAAGTCTCTTTCAACTTTAAAATCTACAAAAATCTATGCTATTAATAATGTTAAATGAAAAAGACAGAACACCATATAGTATTTGCACCCAAATTTAACCACATATAAATATGTGCAGTTACTCTAATAAAGATAGAAAGAATAGCTGGAGCGATATCGTCTCATCTGCTTGATGTTGTTTTTATACAAATTGTTTATTCATAATGAAATGTAAAAAAAAAAATGCCTTTTTATTCCATTGGTTTAAGAATAGACATGACAAATCCTTATCACTACTTCCAAAATGAGACAAAGACTAGTAACATATTTTTAATCATATAGACTGAAATTCCTTTTGGGACACTGACCAATTACAGACTTAAGCTCCAAAGCTTGGTTCAAGCAATATCCTGCCGTCTGTAGAACAGCTTGTACATGGCATAACAAGGATCTGACAATGGGTTCTTCATGTGCTATCCTTTTGGTTAATTGTCTATCATCCTTAGGGTCCATCCTACTTAGATGAGCTTGATACCACAAAGTCTGTTTGTACAATAACTGCCAAAGGATGGATAACCTGCACAGAAAGTTAGGTATCATATAAAAACCAAACTACAAACTGGAAATGAATATGTAGCTTACTTTTGATATATCTAGTGGTAATTATCATTTTCCAAATATCTGTCTCAATTTAAATTCTAAAAACTACATATTTTATCATGAACAGCTACGTTCACAAATATTTTCTGGCAATATTACCAGCAAAAGCTGGTAATATTTTTCTAAATTATGTAATTCCAAAATCTAAACTTAGTATTTTCCAAGTTCCTGATTAAAATATTTGTACAGTTATAAGAAATTGTTATAAAGATTGCTTTTGTTCCACAAGTACCGAATTCAATATACATCCTACAACACTTTTAATAACAAGAAGCCTATTTAAACCTCTAGTGACATAGTAATATAAGTATACAATCATACCTGTGGCCTGGCTTTTGAACAAGATTTATGGCCTGAGGAGGTATCTTTAAAAAAGAATTCCATGACCATGATTTCTGAGTACAGTTGTAAGAAAGTTTTTGAAAAATAGGTACCACCAATGATTCATGATTTACTGTCCTATTTCCATCAGCTGATGTTGAAATCACCTGATGCTGAAGAGTATATATACCATTTAGACTGTCAGAGACCATCTTAAGTAAGTTGAAACAACCTAAAAGAGTATCTGAGAATAACTGATCTTGTTGCTGAATGAACATCAACTTCAGTGTTTGAGATGTCAGCTTTACCAAATGTCCAACATCCTGTCTGTATCTCAGATCCCAGTACTGAACAGATAAACACTGATGAAAAAGTTGAAAGACACACTGCAGCCACGCATTATGCCTTATGGTCTTATTTAAAAAAAGACTGTGTTTAGGAGGAGGACATTTTACAAACTGAAGGATGTAGAGAAAATGAGTAATACAGATTACTGTGTAATTTAACATTAATTTTTTGTGTTCCACGTTTTTTGAAATTCCAATATTCCAGGCTGCAAGAAGATTTTTCTGGATAGAATGTAGTTCTGTTATGATATCATCTTTTTCCTTAGTATCATCCTTTGCATGAATAGTATCAAACATGGATGCAAATTCTAGTCTTCCTTCTTCAACTTCATCAAACAAAGAATCACTTTTCTGATTCCAAAAAGGAAAAAAACTGTTGGAAAATTGCTTACTATTATTACTTTCTTCTACTTCATGATCCTGAAATGAGAAAAAAAATCTGAATATCAAATACCTCATAGTAATGATGCTATAGACATGATCAGGGTTCCCCCAATTCTCTTTCCCCTTAACAAGCAAGAAACAGAGGCTATATTTCTTGACAGTACTGAAATCAATACAGACTCTTATTGTTCAGAGTAAATAAAATGTGATGTCAAGTACCTGCAAATCTGCCATTTTCTCAGTCAATTCCCCTATTTCTTCCTCTTCTTGCAAGAACCTGGGCGTGGCAGAGACAACTGAACTTTGGTTTCCTTGATACTTTAACAGACTAGCCCGGAGTGAACCCAGTGATCGCAATCTCAGATTTTTTCCTTTAGACTATAAAAGGGAATAGTGTGAGACTTTACAAACTCATACTTTCATTACTTTTTCCATACCAGAAATATGTTAGGGTACAAAAACAAATGACAGTATTTATAATTTTAATTTTTATAATAATGCAATGTAAATATGTTTTACATTATCTATAAAAATCATACCTGAGATATCAGCCCTTGATGTATTTTCTCAAGCCTTTGGGTTGATTCAAGTAGAAATGATTTCATAAGTACTGATGGGGTTAAATTATCAAAAAATCGAAGTACTGTAACCATATATCCATCAGAGACAATTAGGTAGGGTAATCTTGAGTGTGTTTTTACAGAAAATCTCTGTCTCATCAGGTCATTATCAGAGGCTGATGAATCAAGGGAATAACTTGAATCCTGAGGTACAAATTGCTGTGGTCTAGTAAACAAACCCCAAAATTTAAAAAAAAGGATTAGAAGGGGCAAATTTACAGGGAAATAATAAAACGTTTCTATTTTATATTGTTTTCCAAGGAAAAAGCCAAAAAAAAAAGGTAGAAATAAAAAGTGATATTATAAAAAGATAAAAGAGGAAGAATGAAAAGCAAAGATAAAATTAATTTTTTCCTTTTAGGAACATGCAATAATGTATTTTGGGTTAAACAGTATATGTTATAAATTTTTATTATTATTTTATATTTTCAGCAAATTATGGCATTTTCATCAGTTCTTTTATTCTTTTTTTTGCCTCCTAGCAATATATTTAAAACAGAAGAGAAACCTAATTAGATTTTTAAGGTCCTAGTTTATATTTCTTATTTTTATAGCTCTCATGAAAGCTAGTACAGTGCCTTGTACATATGTACTCAAGAAACATTCATTAAATTTGATGAAGTGGAGTTAGGGACATTCGCATTCTGTTGATAAAGTATAAAAAAATAAGAACTCAGTAATAAGGTAAGGTGTGTGGAAATGGTAGTGGAAAAAAATTTTTTGTCTGCTTCTAAGTGAAACTTGGCATTTCTATAATTTAATTAAGTATTCTTTGAAATTAAGTGGTTGCATAAATTAGTTTTTAAAGTGCCTGAAATGTACTAAAGTATACGGTGTTCTTAAGAAAATGGCTTGGGGCAAAAATAAAAGAACATTCAGTGGAAAGGATAAGAGATAGTGGAATAATTCCTAGATCTTCTCTACCAAGAGTCTTTCTATCTGCTGCCCCTCTAATATTCTTAACAGCAGTTCTTTCCAGTTCTAGGGCTGGAGTTAGAGGAGAAAAAAAGAGAGAAAGGAGGTTCTATACCACGATGTGCATTTCATTCAATTCTACATGCTAGAAATTTAATATGATAGAGGCCAACTACTCCAACATAATAAAAGTAGACAAAAAGTTTTTGTAAACATCCAGAAAATTCCATAAATTTAAATAACTGTAGTAATAGCTACATTTATATGGAAAGTCACAATAAGTATACATGCTAACTATTTAATATCCTTTTAAATATGTAAATATTTAAATATGTAGCTACATTGCTACATTGGTTAAAAAACCTTTTATATTTTGTTTTAGAAACTATTCCAGTATAAATATTTTAAATGACAATAAAAATTGGGAATCACTGATTCTCTTATAAATTATAAATCATTTGTGACTTAATACACAATTGAAAAAAATAATTTTAGTGTAGTATACAAATACCTCCTAAAACTTGCTTCATGACTAACAAATGCCATTTTCTAATAAAAAAAAAATTCAAAGTCATAAATCTAAAACAATGGCTAGATTAGCCAGTACTTTTATTGGGTCACTTTAAATTCTACTTTAAAATTAATGAGAGGTGACATTCATATTAGAAACAAAAACATGTTTTATATATTCCTACTTCAAAAGTTTAGGACAATGTGATAAATCAATAAGGGTTTCTTGCTATTTAAAAAAAACTAACAAATTTCTGGGACAAATGCAAAAATTTATGTGTCAAATTAATTTTAAATTATAAATTTTTAAAGAGTTAAACTTTTATCACAAGAAATGTAATATATGATTAACTTTTATATTTTTTCTGATGCTATTAAGACATGTAAATAATATACTTACATGGCCAAAATGTCAATTTTTCACCAGGGTAAAGCCATAATAAGAAATAGGAGAGAACTATAAATGAGAAACAGATATTGAAATGACAGACACAAAAGAAAGACTTAATGTGAAAGATGAAATTACATTAAAAAAAACTATACAAGTAACACCCAGGAAGGAAGATACCATCACAAATTATATTATATTACATCTCATTTATATGTTATTATAGTGTCTCACCTATATGTTATTAGTGGATGAAGAGGAATAAATTCTGCTGGTCCAAATTCTATAGAGCAACCAAACGTGACCAAAGTTAGCAATTCACCCAAACAGGTCAACAGAACCAAGGAGCCACGTTTTAATACACAGGCCAGAAAAAGGCTATCATGAGTCCAGCTGATATCACCCACCCAGTAGGACCTAGAAAAAGAAAAATACAACACATTCACAAAACTCTTCATCAATAAAATGTAGGCTGCATTTTCAAAAGTCCAGGGTTTTCCCAAATGATGTCTTCTGAGTTACAAAAGGCAAAGATTTAAAGGGGTTGGAAGATGAATAGTGTAGAGTTTGCCATAACTATAATACTGATTCTATGTATTTTATTTGCTGGGGAGTATGTTATTCATGTTCTCAAAAATTTTTTTCTTCTGTACATTCCATTAAACACATTTATTTGGATATCAAAATGCTAATACCCACTAGAAGTGTAAGTCTATCAGGCACTCATACATATTTAATTGTAAACTGCTTTAGTCAGATTTAGCAGCCTGCAACTATAGAGTAGGGATCACTAATATTCTAGAAGCATATTTAGTAGGTCTCCAAAACAGTTCACACTGCCATGACACATCCCAAAATATAGATTCCCTCCTCATAACAACCAGTTAGGACCACCTCTTCCTCAGATTCATTTATAGATACCACTCTTAACTGCTCCCATCCCCAAAGAAATGATCCCCTCTCCAAAGGCTAGGGACTCCTAAATCATACAATACTTAGCTGAGAACACTACCATTCAGGAATGGGAATTTTGATTGTGGAAGAAAGAAAAAAAGTTATCTTAAAAAAGGGAAAATTTGGGTGAAGTGGACAAGACTGTACAGCCAAAGATGCATTTGAGCTGCCTAAGAGATGGCAAGGCTGGGGGAAGGGGGAAGACAAATGTTGTCTTCCTTGCAGTTTTACCTAAGGGCAAGGGTTGGGGGGGAAAGGGGAAGGAGAGAGGGAGCAGAATAAGCATTTACTATGTGCCTGGCACTGAGCTAAGCACTTTACAAATATTCTCTTAATTAATCTCACAATACTGCTAATATCATCCCCATTTTACAATTACAGAAACTGAGGAGGACTGAGGTTAAGTGACTTGCTCAGGGGTCACTAAGTGTTTGAAGCCATATTTGAACTCAGATCTTCCTGGTATGACATCTATCATCTGTGCAACTACCTCTTAAGCCCTGATGTGCCACTGAAAATCTTTTCCTGGGCTTCATGCCACAGTTTGCCAGTTTTTACGTTAACATATAAACAAGACTGTGAAATTATAATCCCGGCCACTCCTAGTCTCCCCATAAGTCCTGTTCTGTTCACCACTTTATCAGAATTGTCTCATCATACTTCAACCCCTCTTTTCCTAAAAAAGGAAAAAAGTGAAAAATAAAGAGATAAGAAAAGAAAGAGAAAATTTTTTTTACAATTCCCCTCCCTAATACCTCCCTCTCCCACTTTTGATAATGATTGATTCAGACTTTAATATCCAAAACTTCTAGAATCTATCCCTCACAAACAACAATGGATATAAAGCAGACCCTTGACATCTGTAAAATTCCAAGACTTCTAAAAATTGTTCTGCAATAACTTCTTTAAAACTAAAATTATTTTGGCATTCTTTAAAAGAGATCTTACCTAATGAGTCTGGATGGAACCACAGGATTCTTATTGCTACAACCTTTAAGACTACCACAGAGAGTCACAAAATTCAATACGTTTATAAACAGAATTTGTGTGGCCTAGAAAACAAACAAAAAAACACCAAGAAATAAATTAAGGATTATTTTGTAACCTGCAAGAATCTTTACGAATAATTTTGATTTGAGATCAAAATACTAAACATAATACTTACATTAAAATACTAAACTCAATTCTGCCAATCCTATACATACTAAGTGCTATTGGACTTCAGAAACTTCCACTCATATAATGGAAACAAAGGAGTAAAGAAAGTGGGCAGATAGCTATAGCAGGAACTGTGTAAATACTACAAATACAAAAAGAGGCCATGGATAGTTCCTTCACTCAAGGATCTCACAGTCTAATGGGGGAGACAGCATGCAAACAACTATGTACAAACAAGAAATATACAGGAAAAACTAGGGAACAGTTACAGGGGGAAGGCATCAAGATTAAGGAGGTCCCTTGCAGCAGGTGGGACTTTAGCTGGGACCTGAGAGAAGTGTCAAGGACAAGCCAGGAGGAAGAGAGGAGGAAGGAGAGACTCCTAGGCATGGGGGACAGCCAAGGTAAATGCTTAGTTGGGAGATGGGGTATCTTTGTTTGAAGAACAGCAAGGTGTCTGGTGTCACTCGATAACAGGGTATGTGGAGGGGAGTATGGTAGGTAAGTAAGGAAAGGGAGGAAGGGACTAAGTTACGAAAGGCTTTAAAAGGCCAACAGAAAATTCTGTATTTGATTCTGAAAGTAATAGGGGGCCACTGGAGTTTACTGAATAAAGAGTGGCAGGGTCAGATCTAAGCCTTAAGGCGGTCAATCTGACAGCTGAGTGGAGCATGTACTAGAGTGGGGAGACTTGAGGCAGGCAGACCCACCAATAGGCTATTTCAATAGCCCAGAGGTGAAGTGATGAGTACCTGCACCAGAGAGGTGGCAGTGGCAGAGGCTCATAAGCCACCTGCTACATGAAGTCTTTCCTAATTAGCCCACCTGCTTGCTAGTGTCCTCCCTCCAAAATCACCTAACAATTTTGAATATATTTTCTATCTACCTACATTTATATATGTCGTCTTTCCCCTTAGAATGTAAGCACCATGAGGGTAGGAATTTTTGTCCACACAGTGCCTGGCACATGGAAGGCACTTATTAAATGCTAGTTGAAGCGTAGTCCCAAAGAAGATATGTAAGCAGATAACTCCTCCCACACCTTTGGGTGGAGTAGGGAGGTTTCCCTGGGTGCTGAGGATTGCATGTAATGTCAGATTTTTTTCAGTGTATCAATTAGTTTTGCTGAATTTTTTTTCTATTTTTTTAACTGTTATTTAAGGAATAGTTCTCTAAAAAGGAGAGTGGGAAGAACAGAAGGGGGAATATAGGTGATGAAAAACAAAAGACATAAATAAAAAAAAATTAAATTCTTGTTGATTGATTAATTAGTGAGTTTTTAGAAGTCCTTTTAAATTAAGCCTCAGACACTTGATACTTACTAGCTGTGTGAACTTGGCAAGTCACTTAACCCCAATTGCTCCACCAAAAAGAAAAAAAAAGTCCTTTTGACCTTCAACCTAGATTTTGATAAAATTTTAGAACACAGTTTTTTAATTTTTTTGCTGTCATGGATCCCCTTCGCAATTTGGCAAAGCCTATGGTACCCTTCTTAGAATGTTTACAAATGTGTAGAAGAAAAGGAAAATAAAGAATTAGGAAGGCAATCAGTTATAATGAAACAGATATCCAAAATTTAAAAAAAACAAATCCCCAGACTCTATGTTAAGAACCCTTGTTTTAAAGTCACCTGATACCTGAGGCTGACCTTGAGTTCAAACAGAGACTTAGATACAACATACAATATAATGGAAAGCACTAATTCTCGAGTCAGAGGACCTGAATTCACATCCTGTCTCTGACACTTACTATCTGCATGACCTTGGACAAGTCACTTCATCTCTTGGGTCTGTTTCCTCAGCTATTAAATAAAACAGATGGCCTCCAAAATCCCTTCCAGCTCTGAATCTACTTCTATGATGCTAGCGCATTTACTCAAGGATCCACTCTAGCCCAAGGCCCAATGAAGGGATTCCTAGGTAGGCAGGAGAGTCCCAGAGGATCTGTGATCTGCTTCTGAAGGCGCTTCAGGCCTCAGGGCTGTGGGATCTGTGCCCCCTACTTATACACCAAAAGTGGTAAGAAGGTTTGAAGGAGTCCTAGATCATTTGTTATTGTTCAATCCTTCAAACGTGTCTGACTCTACGTGACCTAATGGACGTCTGTCCATGGGGTTTTCTTGAGAAAGATATTAGAGTAGTGTATCTTTTCCTTCTTCATCGTGTCTCCATTTTACAGATAAGGAAATGAGGCAAACAGGGGTTAAGTGACTTGCCCAGGGTCACAGAGCTCATAAGTGTCTGAGGCTGGATGTGAACTCAGATCTTCCTGACTCCATGCCGAGTGCTCCAGCCACTGAGTCACCTAGCTGTCCCATCCTAGACCACAGCTTTGGATCTAATTACCAAGCAGCTGCTAGAGTACTAGTAATACTAATACTAGTAGTAACGAGTACTAGTTGCTAGAGTAATAGAGTCATATATATATTCTAGAGACTCACTATCAAGGCAATAAAATATCTAGAGAATAAAATGATATATTCAAGGAAAATTCTAAGATGATTTCAAGTCAGCCTTTTTACAGATTCCACTCAGCTGGAAAGATTATTAGTTCTACTGACCTTTGGATCTTTCTGATTAAGAGTTACTGCCAGGGTAAGGCCATCCCTTGAAAATGCTATAATCAGGGCTCCTCTTGATTTTACTGATTCACATTTAGGAACCAAGGTACACAGAAAACATTCTTGATGTGCCCAATGGACCTGGTATGACAATGAACTGTAAAAATAAAATAATGGAATCATAACAAATTCATCATATACTGCTAATTTTAAAAAGTAATTAAAATTTAACACAGTTCAAATAACAGACATATACATATACTGATTTCTATCTTTGAAGACCATCTTCAAGACACTTCAAAATTTCATCTGGTGCAGAACAGTTAAATCAGTTAAATAAGAGCAATCTAAGTGTTTTGTTAATAGTCCAAACCTTTCTGTCTGATGGGTCTAGATTTCCTGATACTCAGAGTTGAAAGACCAGCAATCAGTACTGGTTCTGCTACTCACAGAATGTGTTAACTTGGAGAAAATCATTTCACTCATCTGTGTCTCAGTGCCATCATTTGTAAAATGGTAGTAATAACACTTTACCCTATCTACACTACAAGGATGTTGTAAGGAAAGTGCTTGGTAAAACTTAAAGTGCTAAGTGAGTTAATATTCTATTGTGTCTATACAATGGTTAATAAACATTTTGATAGGAAATTTAAAAATATAAAAATTCATGTGTACAAAGAGGCCACATTTCTTTTTAACTTCCAATTTGTTTTTTTAACTTTTCCAAATTACATGTCCTTATAGTCCTGACATAAATCAGGTTCCCACTACGTCATGATTAACAACTTTGCCAGTTCCAAGAAAATAAGCAATACAAAAAAGGGCAAAGATTTCACGGGCCCCAAATTTTTAAACATCAACCTCAAGGAATGAAATAATACTCTTTTGGTCTGTTTTTTTCTTAACCTGAAAAGTACAAGGGAGGGTCCATGAATGTTTATCTATTTTACTTTTTGTTTATTATTTTTTATGTGTGCTAAAAGAACTTAAACAGAGGGTACATAAACAGGGGTTAGGGTTTTTTATTTTTAAAAGAAAAGTTACTCTCACCTAACAGATCGAGATACATTTTCATGCCATTGAAGTGCCAAAAATGTTAACATCAAATATTTCCCAGAATAAAAGGTAAATGAACACAAGCAGCAATCACCAAGCAACTGCCAAAACAAAACAAACAAAAAACAACTGATTTTTTGTAAACTAATTTGAAAGCCAAAACTAAAACATTTCTCATATCCAACTGGCAATAGAGTACAAATTTTAAAAATCATATCCTTTGACTCAATGATCCCACTGTTAAAATACAGAAAGGCTAAAATACAGAAAATAAGAAAACTAACTATGAAACTATTTATAATTGCATCACTTGTAACAGCAAAAACCTAGAGACAACTCACTGTCCAACAGTAAAAGAATGACGTACCACAGTCAGATCACTTAATGCAATGGAACATTATAATGTAATTAAGAATGGCAAGTATAAGATATATAAAAAATATGGAAAGGCTTTTGAAATAATGGAAAGCAAAAAAAGCAGAATGAGGATAAGGAGATCCACGGGTATGTAATACTACATATATAATGTCAGACTTTTTTGATATGTTGATTAGTTTTGTACAACTGTTTTTCTCTTTATCTTTAAATTCTTTATCAAAAGGGATGGCTCTCTAGAAGGGAAGTACATTAGGAAAATATTTAAAAAGTAACAAAATTTTGTTTTTTTAATAGCGTCAGCACATACTTATAAGAAAACCTTAAGTAAGGGGGCCTTAGAATTCAAACAACACAATTAAAAAATATAATGCTCCAAACTAAATGTGAGTTATTTCTTATCAGTCTTAATCCCACTAATTCTATATTGTTGCATATGCTATTAAAATAAATATTAGAAAAAAACCTATTACAAGTCTAAACCATACTCTTTTCAATATTTAAAGAACTGTGGACAGGAAATGTTGAAAATTTTTCATATGACTAATGAGTCAATCTTACAACTACCATCCCAATATACAGCTAGAATTCAACACATCTTGCTAAAATAGATCTCATTATTAACTTTTCCCCTCAATTTCAAATTTACCTCATTTTTTATAAAAACAGCATCTACTACAGCTTCTTTATCTTCAGGAGAAGGCAAAACGATTGATTTTTCAGGTTTGATTTGTGACCACTGACCCAACAGTGAAGAGTTTTTGGAATATATAATATTCTCAGACTCCAAACACTCCCACAACAAGATGCATCCAGAAGGTATGGTTAGCAGAACTCTTTTTCCATCTCCTGATACATATACATACAGTCTCAGAGAACATTCTGGGGGGAAAAAATAACCATTCATCAGAAGGCCAAATTTCGTGGCTCTATAAATTTTTTTTTTATTTCCCAATTTTTCTTCCCTACAAATTAGAAATTCTTGATATATTAACTTCATAAATTAAAAAGAAAAAACACTCAAAACACACAAAACATGTGCAAAGTAAGAAAATGGATGAATTTATATAAAGCACAAAAATGTTAGGTACGCCAGACACAGATGTCAACAAAAACAATGAAAAGAGATTTCAATTAGGATTTTTAAAGAGTACTTTATACTTCCCCCTTTCTATTTTTTGATAAATGCAGACAATAAAGGGACTCCTACCTAAGGCTGCTGTTATCAGTGTCTTAGACTCTTCAGTTGCAGATACGGTTTTCAAGCAGTCTTGATCTTTGTTCCAAAGGAAGATTTCGCCAGTGTTAAGTAACCCAGTCAGCCAAGCATCTGTTTCCAAAAAGAAAAGTATTCCTTCTAAACTACTGTTATTAAAACACCTGAAAATGTTCAGCCATTCATATCGATTATAAATTACTACAAATTGAAATCCATTTTTCTGTGGAATTTCATTAGGATAGGGAACTCCCAACAAGAAAGCTCTCTACCAGTGCAGACTGGCAGCTACTCTGCAATTTATAATACTAAAGGACTGTCTGGGAAACTGAGAAGTTAAGTGACCTCCCCAGATTAAAAGAGCCAGTAATTGTCAGAGGCAAGGCTTCAAAGCAGGTCTTCCTGGTTCAAGACCAGTTCTCTATTCACATAACTATTACTTCCAAAATCAACTTAATTTAGGTTTTTAGAAATATCAGCAAATCTGGCCTCAGACCAAATACTTGACACTTACTAGCTGTGTGACTCTGGGCAAATCACTTAACCCCAATTGCCTAAAAGCAAAAAAAAATATATTATATATATCAGTAATACTTAACCATTACTAGAAGTTGTTAAGATGACAACATTTTTCTGCAAAAGCTGTAGACGAGGGATTTTCTTCTTTGTCTTTCCAGATGGCAAATTAATTTCATTTATACACTTATCATCCAATAGGAAAATAGCTTCCTTTTCCTATGGAAGAAGAAACAGTGAAAACACTGCGGTGCCAAGCAGAATTATCCCTTCACTTATTCTAACTATCATAGCATCAATAAAAAGAGGGGATAAGAAAGACAGAAGATAAAGCTTGTTAAGTGCCAAAGGCAGGATTCCCCCCTAATTCTTCTTGACTCCAAGTACAGTTTTCTTCTTACTATGCCATGGGTTCTTAACCTCTTTTGAATCACAGACCTTTTTGGCAACCTAGTGAAGCCCATGTAACCCTTCCAAACAAACCGAAGTGCTAAATTTCAGTTAGAGGTTAGTGAAAATAAAGATGCAATTGTTTTTCCCTAAATTAACATATTCCCTGAAATCTGTTCATGGACACCTTGGGCATCCAAGAAGTTCAGATTAAGAACTCTCGTACTATGCCATATTATAGATAGGCATACTCTACTAATTCTTTGCTAGAGAAGGAAATGGCAAACTACTCCAGTATCTTTGCCAAGAAAACCCCTCACAGAGTCACAAAGAGTCAGACATGACTGAAATGAATGAACAACAACAACATTAAGTCTTCAGTCAGTCACATTAGATTTATCCAGGATTATGTAACTGTCATGGAAGAGTACTTATACAAGGTTCAAAGGGAAAATAAATTCCCTTTGCATGTCCTTCAGATAACTCCTCTTTGTTGTGTATATTGGGCTGAACGCATAAGGGCTACCACAATGAAATCCATGATTATTCAAAAGAGATCAGTCTAAGAATTCTTACAAATGTAACCATATAGATGAATGCCTATTGTCCAGACTATGATATGCAGTTGGATGTCCAGTCTATCAAATTAGTATATATTAGTATGTCTCTCTGGGACAAACACGACCAGTGGATAATGAGGTAGGCTCACAATTAAATAGGAGAAAGAAAATTATATGAATTACACCTGAGAAATTATGCATGCTTTTACTAATTCCAAGCTGCTCCTTGGGGCAAAGAACTGATGAAAACAGATACATTTAAGTATTAAAGAAGTATCTTATTTGAGTGGTATCTTTAGATGGAGGATGCAGAGTTGCAGTTGAAGTTCACAATACCAGCTTGAGGGGGCATGGAGGGTTATGATCTGATCTGGCTCCCATCCCCACTTTTAGGAGATTCCTCTCTTCAGATGTACACCACCCTAGCTCCAAATAACACTAAAAAATTTAACCAAGAGCAAAATGTATTTTTCAGATAAATTCTTCTTGGAGAAATAATTTTCCTAAAATGAAAAAGATCTTTACATATTTTTAAAAATCACACTTTTTAGGGAGGTTACATGGGATAGTGAGAAAAACACTGTCCTTGAGCGGCATCCGAGCACCTGGGCTGCCAGCTGTTATCTGCGTGACTTAGGCCTCAATTACCTCATCTGTAAAATGAGACTGGACTGCAGGACCAACTAAAGTCCTATCAAGAGCCAATATTTATAAGCAAAATAGTCTGCCTGCTGACATACTTCAGATAGATTAGGAAGCATTTTACTTTCAAATAAAAGGGTGTTTTTTTCACCTTATTCTACCTTAGAAGTAATATTATATATAAAATATAAAACATTTAACAAATACATATACGTTTATATGAATGAAAAGAAATACCTACCTGTCCCAGCCAGGAAATTCGAGGCCAAGGTTTTTTCTGTTTGATACTTGTTGATAACAAAACTTCTAGTTTAACCTCCATGTTGTCAAGAATATCAATGAGTAAAATAATTAGGAAAAGGTTACAGGATGCCTTAATGAATGATAGGGAAAAAACAACAAATCAATTTTGGTTTTTAATTTCATATATCCATGTGAGCTTTTCAATATTTGGGGGTAAACTCCTTTTTACACAACACATATTGATAAATAACTTCTCCCTCTACCCCCACTCCCTACCCATTTCCATCCTCCAGAAAAAAAAAATAGTTTTCTGAGAAGTGAAACACATCAGCTCAAAAACAGGGATACTGTTCAAGCCTGTTTCACATCCCATCACTTCCCTAAAAGATTATTCAATAGCAATTCCTATACTTCGTATTTCTATCTGTATGCAGTTTAGTTTTTCAATTGTACAAAAACTTTGTATTTCAATGATTACTTCCTTGCAAACTAAACAGAAGTGACAGTGCAGCTAGGTGGCACAGTGAATACAGAACCAGCCTTGGAGTCAAATCTGAACTCAGACACTTGACACTTACTAGCTATGTGACTCTGGGCAAGTCACTTAACCCCAATAACCTCACCAAAAAACAAAACAAAACAAAAAACTAAACAGAAGTGTAAAATCATAAGCACAATTACCAAACAAACAAACAAAAACCCAACCTAACAGATACTCCTTTTTTTGGTAACAGAGCTCTTCTCATTTTAGTCAAGGGAAAACACAATGTTTTACAGAAAAAACAAAGACTATCTTTATAGCTTACTATATCACATACACTACACATAGTTCTCAAGAGATTTATGCTGCTGATAGATATTAAGTTTCCCAATCACAACAAAATTCATTCATTTCATTGAGGAAAAAGATTAGACTGTAGTGTTCCAAAAATAAACTTCATAATGAAAAAAATTAGAAATACAATGAATAAAACATTAAGACTGTAAACCAATACAGCAAAACAATGTCTTTATTTAAACTAGCAAATGTAATTTACTTGTGCCATAAACAGTTCTAAGATCTAGTCTGTATTCTACACAGGGTGAAACACAATCATCTGGTGAGCTTTTTATCCCCAGAGGAAAATATTTTAACAGGTAGCCCTCTTCTTAGATACTGAAATGCCTAACTTGTAGGTTTGCTAGGGCCTGCTAATTTAGATTAGGTGATACTTTTTCATCTAGAAAGTATGGCCTTTTCCATGTCACTCTAGAGAGGAATACTAACACTTCTGGGAACCTATCTCTGCTCTAAGAAACAGGGGAAAAGTAGAGAATAAGTAGTAAAGGCAAATGAAAAGGCAGTGGGATTGAGCCATTTCTGTGGTCAGATAGAGGTAACCTATTCCTCAAGGGCCAAGAGGGCCTATATTAGCCCACAACGATTCATTAAGCTAAGCACTGGGGACACAAAGAAAGGCAAAAAGACAGACACTGTAGTCAAGGAGCACATATTCTAAAGGGAGAGACAACATGTAAACCAGGTACCTTAGAGATTTATACACAAAGTGAATGGAAGGTAATCTGAAAGGGAAGGCATCAATATGCTGGAAGGACATGGAGAAAAGGCTCCTACTGAAGGCAGGATTAGAGCTGAGTCTTGAAGGAAACCCTGGAAACCAAGAAGCAGGGACTAGGGAGCTTGCCTAGATACTGGGAGGGACTGGGTGGTAAAGGGTGAGGGGCCACTTACGGTGAAGCATTCATGCCTCCTGCCTCCTGGCAGACACCAGATGACCTTAATACATTTGAATGAGACACGGATGCTGAGATATAGCCCATGTGTTGATTTCTTTGCTTGATTATTCTTTGTTACAAGGGAGGAAGGAATAGGTAAATTAGCCAGTAAGTGACAAATGCAGAGGACAGAGAGGAGGAAGAGGGGAGAGAGAGATAGTGATAGAGATAGATTAATTAAGAAAAACACCGAAGAAAACAAAAAGGGCACACAAACAGGTGGTTTTTTTTACAATCCTGTTAAATTTAACATACTATTTTTAAAACAAAGAAAACAAAAGAATTTCACCGTTTCAATATGCAATCCTTGCTTTCTTTTTTTTATTGAAATGTTAGTTGATAAATAATTTCGTAATAAAATAGACAATGCAAAGTACATAAATTTGTTTAAAGAGGAATGGTGAAGAAGCTAGGATGAAGGTGGCAGGAGGAAGAACTGTGAGAGGCAGGGGCTTGGAGGAAGACTGACAAATGAAGAAGGAAGGGAAGGAGGGCCGAAGCATTTCTACAGCGCCTACTATGTGCCACGCACTTGCCAAGCACTTTACGAATAAGGCACAGATGTTATTTCACCGGATCCTCACAACACCCGGGGAGATCGATGCTATTATGATCCCCATTTTACAGACGAGGAAACTGAGGCAGAGAGAGAAAGGTTAGTGACTTGCCCAGGGTCACCCAGCTAATAAGTGTCTGAGGCTGGATCTGAACTCGGGTCTCACTGCAGGCCCAACGCTCGGTCCCTGCAGGTAGGATGGGGGTTGGGGGGGGCAGTCACTGTGTGGAAGCGCGGGACCCTGGGGGGGCCCTGCGGGGCGGGGCCGGAGAGACTTACCCGGGCGGGCGGGGTGACAGACCGGCGCAGGTCGAAATGCAGGCCGAAATGAAGGCCCAGGAGCCCCCGAACGAGCGCCAGGGCAGGGCGGCTCCGGCGGGAGGGAAGCTGCGCGGCCGCGGGGCCCCGGCTTCTCCTGGACGCAGATCCCGGCCCACCTCCCCCCTTCCCGCCTCCGCCCCGCCTCCGGCCGCACTCAGCCCGGGCTCCCGCAGCAGCCGCCTCCCTGCGGCCGCCGAATCGAGGCCGCTGCGCATGCGCAGAGCGTCCTGAAGGCTAGGGCTCCTCCCTTCCTCCCCTCTCCATCCATCGCCATCTCTCCCATCCTCCCTCTCCCATCCTCCTCTCCATCCTCCTCCCTCCCTCCCTCCCTCCTTTTCCCATCCTCCTCCCTCCTCCCATCTTCCTTTCTTGCTCCTATCCTCCTGCCTTCCTCCCAACATCCTCCCTGCCATCCTGCTCCCTTCTCCCCATCCTCCCCCTCCCTCTCCCATCATCCTCCCTCCTCCTTCCCTCTTCCCATCCTCCCTCCCACCCCTTACTCTTCCATCCCCCATCGTCTTCCCTCTCTCAGCCACCTTCCTCTCTTACTCATCATCTTCCCTCCCTCCCTCCCTCACCTTCCTTCATCTCATAATCCTTACCCTTCTCTTCTCCCACACTCATGCTTTTGTCACATAATCAGCCAGCTTTCCTTATTCTTATACAATTGTTTCATGACACTTTTTATTTTTGTTCTTCTTTGGAGTTCTTTGGCTGTATGTTGCAGCCGGCTCACACTTACCCATGTCATTCTCTGTTGACTTCTCTGTGTTACTCATTTTCACTTCTTTGGAGGCGGCTATTTTCTGTTCCATTGCCATATAATAACTGCAGAATGTTAAAAAGATGGGCCTTTGCTCTGATGGAAAGCTTGGAGTCGTAAAGGACATTAGAAGCCTCCCAAAAGCAAAGGTTTTCCTCTCCCCTCTGGTCTCCTAGGCACCCTGGGAAAGCCCAGATGCTCTCTCGCCTTCCTAGACATCTCTTCTTCCCTTCGTCTTCTCTAATCTCCTCCTTTGCTTTCTTCCACTAGCTTACTTTCTCTCTCTATTTCTCTCCCTCCCTTCTTCCCTCTGTGTCCTAATTCTTCTCAGCTCCCTAGGGAAGCATCTCTATATCTCCTCCTCTCTTCTCTCTTCTTCTAGTCATTCTTTTTTTCTTCTCCTTTTCTTACTGTATTTCTCTCCTACTCCACCTTCTCTTCTTCAGCCACCACCTCATCATCTCCTACTTCTCTCGTCCGCACAATCCTAGATTTTCATGTCCACCTAAATTGTTTGACTTTTATTTCGGGCTCTTTAGTGCCCCCTCCCTTCTGTCTTTCAATCTCTATCACTTCCAATCATTGTCCCCTTCTCTCTGTTCTGGCTTATAGCATGTGGTTACCCCCTCCATTCATTTATCTATTGATTCACTCACTCATCAAATAAAGCATTAGGCTATGATCAGGGGAATTTTTAAAAATTATTTAGTTTTTTTTTCACCAATTTCATATAATACAATTTTTAACTTTGGTTTTTTAAAATTTTGAGTTCCAAATTCTCTTGCTCTCCTCCCCTCCCATTGAGAAGGTGAGCAGTTTGCTATAGGTTATACATGTGCAGTCAATCAAAACATTATCTCCGTATTAGTCATATTATGAAAGAAAATGGAGCAAAAACCTCCAAAAATAAAGAAGTTTTTTTTTTAAAAAGTATGTTTTGATCTGCATTCAGACACCATTAGTTCTTTCTCTGGAAATGGATAGAATTTTTAATCATGAGTCTTTCAGAATTGTCTTGGATCACTGTATCACTGAGAATAGCTAAGTCATTCACAGTTGCTTATGGTACAATACTGCTGTTACTGTGAACACTGTTTTACTGGTTCTGTTCAGTGTAAATCCAGGTTTTTCTGAGAACATCCTGCTCATCATTTCTTATAGTACAATAGTATTCCATGATAATCATAGACCACAACTTGTTTAGCCATTCCCCTATAGATGGGCATCCCTGGATTTTCCAATATTTTGCCACCAGAAAAGAGACGCTAGAAGTATTTTTGAACATACAGGTCCTTTTCCTTTTTGTTTTTTATCTCATTGGGATGATACAGACCTAGTAGTGGTATTGCTAGGTCAAAGGGATTTGCAGGCCTTTGGGCATAGTTCCAAATTGCTTTATGGAATGATTAAATCAGTTCTCATGGTCTAAATCACTATTGATTAGAGAAATGCAAATCAAAACAACTCTGAGGTTTCACATCTCACCCATCAGATTGGCTAACATGACAAAACAGAAAATGACAAATGTTGAACAAGATGTGGGAAAATTGGAACACAAATGCGTTGTTGGTGGAGTTGTGAACTGATCCAACCATTGTGGAGAGCATTTTGGAACTATGCCCAAAGGGCTATAGAATTGTGCATACCCTTTCACCCAGCAATACCTTCCAGGTCTGTATCCCAAAGAGATCATAAAAATGGGAAAAGGACCCAAATGTGCAAAAATATTTATAGCATCTCTTTCTGTGGTTGCCAAGAATTGGACATTGAGGGGATGCCCATCAATTGGGAATGGCTGAACAAGTTGTGGTATATCAGTGTAATAGAATACTATTGTGCTATAAGAAATGAAGAGCAGGCAGGCTTCAGAAAAATCTGAAAAGACTTACAAGAACTGATGCTGAGTGAGGTGAGCAGAACCAGGAGAACAATGTACATAGTAACAGCAACATTGTGCAATGACTCACTTTGATAGACTTGCCTCTTAGCAGTACAAGGATCTAAGACAACTCCAAAAGACTTGTGATGGAAAATGCTATCCCTATCCAGAAAAAGAACTATGGAGTCTGAATGCAGATCAAAGCATACTATTTGCTCTATTTTTTTTTGTTTGTTTCTTTCTGCTTTCTCATGGTTCCTCCCATTGTTTCTAATTCTTCCTTACAACATGACTGTGAAAATAGGTTCAATATGAATTTATATATAGAGCCTATATCAAATTGCATGCCATCTTGGGGTGGGGGGAAGGGAGGTAGAAAGAGAAAAATTGGAACTCAAAATCTTATGGAAGTGATTGTTGAAAACTAAAAATAAATTAATATTTTAAAAAATCAGTTCACAACTTCACCAACAGTGCAGTAGTGTCTCAATTTTCCCACATCCTCTCCAACTTCTGTCATTTTCATTTTCTGTCATATTAGCCAATCTGATAGATATGAGATTATACTTCAGAATTGTTTAATCTGCATTTCTCAGCAATAGTGCTTTAGAGCATTTTTTTTTCATATGGCTAGAGATAGCTTTGATTATTCTGAAAACTGTCTGTTCATATCTTTTGATATAAACATTTATCAATGGGAAAATGCCTCTTATTGTAAATCTGATAGTTCTCTGTCTGAAAGATGAGGCTTTTGTCAGAGACATTTGATGTAAATTTTTTTTCACATTTATGATTACTTTTCTCTCCATCCTGTTTCCCCCTGTTTATTCTACTCTTTCTTCTTTCACCCTGTTCAACTTCAAAAGTGTTTTTCTTTTGGCTACTGCCTTCCCCAATCTGCCCTCCCTACTACAGCCCTCACCTTTTTTATCCCCTTACCTTCCTACTTTCTTGTAGAGTAAGATATATTTCTATACCCAATTGAGTGTGTATATTATTCCCTCATTGAGCCAATTCCAATGAGACTAAGGTTCAAGCATTCCCCCCACATCCTCCCCAGCCCCTCCACTGTACAAGTTCTTTTGTGCCTCTTTTATGTGAGATAATTTACTCCATTCTACTTCCTCCTTTCCCCTTCTCCCAGTGCATTGCTTTTACTCACTTCTATTTTTTTTAAATATAATTTTTACTTTTATTTTTTTACATATCATCCCATCGTATTCAACACACGCCAATCCCTGCCTGCCCATACTCCTCTGTGTGTGTGTGTGTGTGTGTGTGTGTGTGTGTGTGTGTGTGTGTGTGTGTGTGTGTGTATTCTTTCTAACTGCCTTAATATTAAGAAAGTTCTTAGGAATTACAAGTATCACCTTCCCACATAGAAATGCAAACAGTTATTGAGTCCCTCTGATTTCTTTTTCCTTTTTACCTTTCTATGCTTCTCTTAAGACTTGTATTTGGAAGTCAAATTTTCTATTCAGCTCTGGTCTTTTCATCAGGAATGCTTGAAGGTCATCAATTTAATTAAATATCCATTTTTTTCCCATGAAGGATTATACTCAGTTTTGCTGGGTAGGTAATTTTTTATTGTAATCCTAGGTCTTTTACCTGCCAGAATATCATATCTCAAGCCCTGCAGTCCTTTAATGTAGAACCTGCTAAATCTTGTATTATTCTGACTATGGCTCCATGATATTTAAATAGTTTCTTTCTGGCTATTTGCAGTATTTTCTCATTGACCTGGGAGTTCTGGAATTTGGCCACAATATTCTTGAGGGTTTTCATTTTGAGATAGCTTTCAGGAGGTGTCTGGCAAATTCTTTCAATTTCTATGTGTCTGAGGCTCTGGTTCCAAATATCAGAGCAGTTTTCCTTGATAATTTCTTGAAAGGTGATGTCTAGTTACTGGCTGTCTGAAATGGGGCATCTGGGGCTGTTGTTTATAGCTACACTGAGATAGCCTGGCCTGGTCTAGCTGACTGCACAGAGGCCTCCAGGCCTACCACCCCTGACCACTAGCCTGTTACGTTGGATCTGAAGACCTCACAGCTGGCTCACTGTGTTACTGGTCCCTGCTGAGCCAGACCACAGGGCCGCAATTGCTGATCTGTGCTGGAGGTGAAGGGCTCCTAGTGGTTTGCCTGGATGCTGCCTGCACTGGACTGTCTTTTTATCTAAGTGAGACATAACTTTCCTGCAGTCCTTCTAAGTTATCTTGGGCTAAAAAAATGTTTTGTGGGTTCTGTAGTTCCAGAATTCATTTCAAGGCTTGATTTAAAGTTATTTCAAGGCAAATTGCAGAGAACTCAGGCAGCTTCCTGCCTTTTATCTTTGCAAAATCTTTGTATGAATCATATATACATGACTTGAAGGCACTTTCAGTGAGGGTATCAGTAGGACCAAGAAAGCTTTCAAAAGTGATACTCAGTAATGGACTAGATCTTTTCCATTTCACAATTAACTGAAAGATGCAAAGAATATAAAATTCCATTGTCATTCTTGT